TGTCGTCCTTTTCTAGGTAGCTAACTAGGGTTCTAAGGGTTCGGTAAAGCTTAGTAATAGTAGTCCTCGTAAGGGACCGGACCTTATACTAGTCCGACTCCTCTTCGAGTCCGTACTCGGCTAAGTTGTCCTTAAAGCGTTCTACGTACGCCGTAGCGTTCTACCCTTCGAACAAAGGGTTCCTACTACTTCCTAGCTCTAGTAGGCGACGCCTGTTCTAACGGAGAAAGTTAGTTTACCCTTAAATTATCTTTATAACGATATTATAGAGGGCCTCGGGCATAGAAGGCTCGACAGCCCCTAGTTCGACGGCGCTTATAATAACTAGTCGTCGCCTGATTTCTTCGTTAATAGGGTCCGGTAGGTTATTAGATTCCGAAGATTCCGCTAATTCGTAATACTCGTTTTCGCTAGAGCTAGAGCTTATTCGATTGTCGTAAAGTAGTTAAAATAAAATGCTATAGGAAAGTGTTTTTAGTATATATTGTAGGTTTGGTTTGTTTCGATGTTGCTATACGAGAAAATAGTATGCTAGGCTATTTTCTTCTAATATTACCCCTAGGGTAGCATTAGAGTTTAGTCTCCTAGGGGTCGCCTAGACACCCCTAGGAGCTTTAATTTAGTAAATTTAGACAAAAGCCGCTCGGAGGAAGGAACTACAATCTCTATTTATACCTAGATCCTAGAAACTAGCCGCTTTACTAACTATCGTTATCTCTTTTAGCTAGGCGGGGGGGGGGCGGGGACCTTCTTTTTCTAGTAGAAGGCTAAGCACTATCCGAACGAGGTAGCGAATCCCGAAACAGTCTACCTAGTTAATAGGGGAACTGCCTAGGCATCCGACCTGTAATCTAGAAATTGCTATCGTATAGATAGTCTTAGCAAACTAAGCAAGGCCGATAGGTAATTAATCTATCTCCTCCTTAGGCGGGCGGTAGCTTATCTCGAGTAAGCAGTACTAAATAGGTCTTCGACCCGGAGCCGAGTCCTTAGAAGCTAGCTATAGTTATAGACTAGGCCCTAAGCTATAACAGTCCTAAGGGTTTGCAGCTTTTCGGGGTTAAAGCGATGCCCTCGTTAAGAGGTTTCTCTGCTTGTCGTAACGGCCCCTTAAGATACTTTAGTATCGTCCGTATCGTAGGCTCTTATCGTGCCCTCGCTTCGGTTATAGCTATTCGTACCTAGAGACTACCTTTAATATACCCGAACCTGTTAGATATAAAGAGATAGCCCTACCTTCGGCTCTAATAAAGGACGGAAACTAACACTACTACTACTACTTGTAGCAATAGTATAGGCTACCGAGGGTAATATAACCTATAGTAATATAGGCAGCTATGTTTAGCAAGATAGGTTAACGAGACTATCGCTTAGGCTAATAACTAGAGCCCTGCAATATAGGCATTATAGAAGTGTAATATAAATAATGTGCTATACGAGGTTGATACTCTATCTATAATGTAGAAGGAGGCCTCTTATATAGGCTTAAAACTGGCCTATAGGTATAGGGCCGGTTACTAGCTAATACTAGATCTAGTCCGAGACTTTAGCAACTAGCGAACACGCTACTAGCGGTCTCGTTACTGCTAAGGGTAACGATAGCAGTATTCCTATCGGTAATAATGCTAACTTAATCGCTATAAGAAAGCGCGCGGCGTATAATCTCTACGCTAAAGAGAAGAATAAGCGGCGTAAGACTACTACTAAGAAGATAGTCGGCACTATCGACAGATTGCGAGGGTTATTGTCCGAGTCTAACGTTCTACTTAGTTAAGAGCTACCGGATAATTAAGAGAGGTTGTCTCGATTGCTAGCAACTCTAGTATATGCTTACTAGCCCTCGAAACAGCGCCGCGTAGCGATAAGGAAGCTAGTAAGAAGAGAAGAAGTTAGTATATTCCTTAGTACGAAGTAGGAAGAACAGATTAAGTAGATACAAGAGATAATAGAAGAGATGTTTAGTATAGAAATATCGGGGGAGGACGAGGTTAGTAGCGGCAAAGTGCTAGATAGTACTAGTAGAGAAGATTAGTCCGATAGAATCTCGTATCTAACCCTCTACCTAACAAAACTATTAGCGGCGCGGTATCGTCTCGATTCCGCTCCTCTTAGCGAGCCTACTACTACCTCTATAGACCTCGTCGTCGTCCTCTTCGTTTATATTAAGAAGTTACTTTTAACAGTTTCCGTTTTTCTTAATAGAACTTCGTAGCGACGACGATAGGACCGCCTAGTCTACGAGAATAATAGAATATAATAAATACACGCTAATTGCTAATAAATTCGCTATTAAATCTTATGCTAGAACATACCGTTTAACTAGATAGACCTAACAACTCGACCCTCCGAGTTCGAGACGAAATCTCTCTCTCTTAATTACTCTTAACCTCGATATTACTATTAACCTCGCAATAGGCCTTATAATTCAACTATATTGCTATCGCTATTTCATCTCTAAACGCCTCTATCTACGTCTTCTCGCGTACGATATCTAGTATATTAACACTCGGTCCGCGCCCTTCGAAATAGTTGTCTTTATCGCGTACGACTAGACCTCGCTTTTAATATAACGATCTACGGTTAGTAAGGAAGTTATAGAGCGCTATTATTACATATATAAGACGCACCTACGTTAGTATATTAAACTCCGGCGCTGTCTTCTAGATCTTAAACCTGCGCTTAAAGATACTAAAGATCCGCTCGATAATATTACGTAGCGACGAGTGCCGGAGATTAAATAACTTATTCTTATTCTTAGGCTTATCTCGCGACTCGTACTACTCGCGTAGGTAATATCGTACGCCTCGAAATAGCACTAGCGTTATATCGGTCGATCCGTATCTAGTATTAGCGAGATAATATTTGCCTTCCGGTGCGTTAAACCTATAGTTCTCGATAGTATCCTTAATTATACGGCTATCGTGTACTAACCCTTCCTATCTAGGCAATACAAAGGTAAAGCGGCGATGCTAGTTAACGACGGCTAATACATTCTACGTAACTTTACTGTCTTGTCTACGATATCGATACTATTCTAGTATAGGTATATAAGCCGGTAAATGCGACCTATCGAGCGCTCCGATATAGTCCTTAAAATAAGGCTAATACTTGCCCCCGCGACTTCTTAGCGCTATTAAATCTTTACCTCTCGTAGGCCTTACGAGCTTCCTATATAGCGGTATTAGCGCTATTAATACCTCGTAGAATATTCGCGTTATCGAGCCTAGACTATAATAGAAGTCTTCCGCTAGATCGCGATAAGGCCGCGCCTTCGTTATAGCGTTAAGGAATAGTAATAACTTCTGTCTACTAGAGATAAGTATACCTTCTTTAATATCTGTAATAACTATCTCGAGAAGCTTATTAAACTAACTTAGCGTAAACCGATAGTATCGATATATCCGGATCTCGTTACTAACTAAGAGGTCGTTTAGCTGCTTCTCGCCCTTCTCGCCGTCTATATATATCGTCCTTATACCCTTCGGTATCGACTCTCCGTATTCCTCGAGTATAGCCGCTAGTATTACTATTATAATAGTAAAGTTGCGCCTTATAATCTTTATTCGACGTTTCCGCGCCTACCGTACGTGCGATATATCTATAGTGCCTTTCTTGCGTAATATAGGGCTAAAGAGCCTTAGTTTTTAAAGACAAGAGTAGATCCCTTCTACGAGGTATTAAGAGTTCGAATTTTCGTAGTTTATACCCTATATAGCTATATAACCGAGAACGCGAATAGCTAGAAAACTAGGCTAAAAACTAGACACGAAAACCACTGATAAGTAAACGCACTCAATTATCGTATACCTCTAGAAAACTAGCCTACGAAAACAGGGCAAGGCAACGGGCCCCATATTCTACCGTCTGCGGGAAACGGTGGGTGGGCTACAACGCTGTACAGCAATAATAAGCGAGGGACCGCCGTATCGGGCTCGTACTGCCAATGGCCATCCGCAGCTTTTTCATTGCTTTCAGCATGTTCTTCTCCATCAACCACACTCGGACTCCTTCTACCACTTGTCCGCCCAATGTGCGTCTCATGATGTCTTTCCGACACGAGACGAGACGAGTGGCTTGCTCCATGTCCATCGTGTCTCTCCTCGCACGCTTCAGAAGCATCTAAACCGGGACCATAGTCTCGGTAAAATAGCCGTCTCACATGTAAGCTGGAGCACGCACATGCAGGTGGCACTCGAAGTAGCTCGACCCTGCAGATTGAAACTAGTGTTGCGGAGCTGTGAACAGTTCGAAATGCAAGTCATGAACAATCCGTCCTATGCCAAGGGCGAGGAGTAGCACGATGACGACGCTCGACGTGGTATTGTAGGTCTCCATCGACAGAAACGATCGAGTGAATCTCTACTGGAAAGGAAGTGGAAGTCTGCCAGTTGACAATAACAGCAGAGTGCATGGGATATGCATTGTGTGTCGCCTCAAGTTGAATCAACCTCAACCAACCCACCCCATGTCGACTGCCCATGTCAAGCAGGAGTCGGAAGGTCGCTTGCATCCGGAGAAAAAAAAAAGCCATTGGGGAGACATCCCACAAATCCTTCGGCTTCATCCCGGGTTTCACTATTCTAACGACCGGGTACGGAGTGGTAAATCCGCAGCCTCTAATCAGTCCTGTTTGTTCGTTCGTGCCAATAAAGCCCTATCATTTGCCGAATGAGAGAGACTGCATATACGTGTGGGCCACGATGCCCCGACGGAGGGCCATGTTTCGAGATGGTCGAGGATTCCGCTGTTGTGGAACATTGCGAAATGCAGCACTATCGTTAGGGACAGCATCCGACTCAACATGCGCGTTCTTCGCGTGAACGCGTTCACTGAGCCCCGGTGGGCGGCAGCAGGATTGGTAACCCCAAGCGCAAGAGTGGTCTTGCAATTGCGCCCGTCGCCGCCGAGCAGCAAAAGACAGCGGATTTTGTCGACCGCTGTCTATGGCAAAGAATGGAGCCACCGGGGTCAAAGTCCTCTGCGCCCAGGAGTCGACAAGACGAACTCTATCATGGAAGCGGAAAAGACGTACAAGCTGCCGGCGCGACTGTTGACGGGTTGGATTTGGATACCGATCTATTCGACCCCGGAAAAGTGACCTCTTTCGACATTCGAGACATGAGTCGGATGGGCAAGAGGCAAGAGATGAGGCGCGTCTTCCGACAATTCTCAATCCTGTCGTTCACCTGTGTGATCATGGCGACTTGGGAGTTCCTTTTGACGGCAAACACGCAAGGCTTGGTCGACGGTGGGCGAGCTGGTCTGTTTTGGAGCGTAAGTAGACTGACTCTGCGAGAATGGCATTCGTATCGGCGAAATTGCCCATGGAACTGATTTCTTCGCAGTACATCTGGACAATCATAGGGTTTGGGACCATCATCGCCTCAATGGCTGAAATGGCAAGTATGGCTCCAACTTCGGGAGGGCAGTATCATTGGGTTTCTGAGTCAGTGATTCCAAATGTGGTGAGGAAAGTATGCTGATTGTCACAGATTCGCGCCGGAGAAGTACCAAAAATTTCTGAGCTACACGACAGGTTGGCTCTCCGCCATGTCGTATCAAGCAGGCAATGCATCTGGGTTCTTCTTGGCGGGCACTATCATCCAATGTCTGGCCATGATCAATTACCCGTCGTACAGCGCACCCAATTGGGAGAGCACGATTTGCGTCTTGGCTGTGGTAGTTCTCTCGGGAGTCTTCAATATGTGCTTCTCCAGGTTCTTCCCGATTCTCAACAATATCAGCATGGTGCTCCATATAGCTGGCTTTGTTGCGGTCGTGGTCGTTTTGTGGGTTCTTGCACCGCACCCGCCGGCAAGTGAGGTCCTACTACACTTCAGCAATGACGGCGGATGGCCTTCCATGGGACTTGCGTTGATGGTCGGCCAGATTAGCGCGATCGCTGCACTTGGATGCTCTGATGCTGCAGCGCACATGAGTGAGGAGGTCAGCGATGCTGGCCTGTCGGTACCGCGCTCGATGATGTGGACATTCTACATCAATGGAAGCACTGGCCTCATCTTTCTGCTTTCAATCTTGTTTGCCATTCCCTCGGTCGAAGACGCTCTGAACGATCCTACTGGGTACCCATTCCTGTACATCTTCCAGCTCGCCATGCCAAACAGTCCCGTTGGAACCAACATCCTGACGGTAATCTGCGTTTGGTGTTTGATGGTTGGAAACATCTCCTTCACAGCGTCCTGCGCACGGCAAGTCTGGTCGCTGGCTCGCGATCGCGGACTGCCATTTTCTGGCTGGATTTCTCGGATGAATACCAAGGTTCATGTGCCGATGAATGCGACGATTCTGACTCTCGCATGTACGGTGTTGTTGTCGATGATCAATCTCGGCTCGAATGCAGCGTTCAACGCCATTCTGAGTCTCCAGCTTAGCAGCTTGATGGCCTCGTATGCAATTGCGATAACCTGCATTTTGATTCGCAAATTGCGGGATCCAGCATCACTGCCCAAAGCTCGATGGTCACTCGGCCGACTGGGCCTCCCATTGAATTTCTTCGCCACTGCATACGCCATCTTTGCGTGCTTCTGGACCTTCTGGCCGAACGCGACGCCTGTGGACGCCGAATCGTTCAATTGGGCTCCAGTCATATTCATTGTGGTCATCATAGCCGCAATGATCACGTATGCCGTGCAGGGCCGGCATGTGTACGATGGACCTGTCAGCTTAGTGAAACGGCTATAATAATAGTGATCGGAAATTGACGGCTGTCGCCCAGCATGGTGAAAGTTCATATGGCCTTGTCGCTGCTTCTCCCAAGGCCGGGTGGAGGTTAAAGAGGAAGGGAAGAATACTGCCATTGCTCGATGTCGCCTGCTGAGGCCTAATCCTTCACCTCCGAAAGATCTCACGCCCGCCGACGGACTGTTGCAGCGAGCTGGATACCCGAGCGAAAGACTGGAAGATACGAGAAGGATGACAATGAATGGTCAAAAGGCACTAGGAGGCGCGATCCTCCAAACAAAGCCCCTCTGCCATTGATGCTGTACCATGACGCCAGAAACCGGCATGCAAGTAGGATCCGATGGGACTGGTGAATCACTCGCACCAAGTGCTACGCATAATGAGCAGGCTATCGTGGAAATCTCCGCACAGGACGAAGGCTGGATGAAGATGAAGATGCCAGACGAACCAAGTGCCGCGATATGATACCTAAGGATGCATTTGCAAGAGCGGACTACAAGGCTTTCGGGCTCATCGGACGTGCTGGGTCATTTCACGTATCTGCAGAAAACGTACATTGGTACGGATGACAACGAGGCCAAAGCAGGCAACGTAGCGCATACTGAAAGCATTTCTTCATCCCAAAATTGCCACGTGATTACCCTTCGGCCAACGAAAGAGACCTCGCCCATGTCCCATCTGCCGAGCTCGGGCGTAGGCGTACATGGGTAATCAATCAGGATTGTGACTCCTCACATCTGATCTGTGAGCCTCCTTGCCTGAACCATCGCATCAAGCAATACACAAAGATGGCGTTGCCTTCGGGCTCGATTGCTTTCATAGGTGAGCAGAAAACCTCGATTTGTTTTACTCTGCCGGAGCTCGAACGTTGACGGAAATTTGAAAACAGGCCTGGGTGTAATGGGCTATCCGATGGCCATGAATTTACGCAAGAAGATTGACGCTGATCGCACACTGATCGTTTGCGATGTCAATCAGGATGCCGTCAAACGTTTTCAGGAGCAGACTAAAGGGTTGGGTCCCGTGAAGGTTGTTGGGACGGCGTATGAAGCTCTTCAAGAAGCGGTCAGTCAGCAATTTCGCCGTTGGGAAACAGAGTGCTTGGCTTACTTGAGGTAGCATCTGGTTCTCACAATGCTCCCGTCCGATGCAGCTGTCAAGTCTGTATATCTGGATCCTCAAAGTGGCCTTTTCGCCGCAGCGAAGCCTACTGGAGATGCTGGAACCCGGAAGTTGCTCATGGAGTGCGGAACTGTTGCTCAAGCCACGATCTGGGAGGTCAGCCAGAAGTCCAAAGACTACAACGTGACTTTCATCGATGCACCTGTCTCCGGAGGTCCAATGGGATCTCAGGCCGGCACATTGAGCTTCATGGTCGGCTGCAATGAAGACTTGTTCTTGCCTGTGAAAGGCCTCCTCTCGCTCATGGGCAAAGAAGACACAATTTTCCGTTGTGGTGAGGTCGGCAGTGGTACGGCATTCAAGATCATCAACAACTACATCTCGATTATAAGTATACTGAGCGTGTCCGAGGCTCTCAATATCGCCGATAAAATGGGCCTCGATATGCGATTGCTTGTAGATCTGATTAACAGCAGCAGCGGGCAGTGCTGGGTGTCCTCGAATAATAACCCAGTCCCAGGTATACACCCGAACGCGGCAGCGAGTCATGATTACGAAGGAGGCTATCGAATTGAGCTAGCTGAGAAGGTGCTTCGTCTCGGGAGTGAGTTGGCGGAGAGTGTGGGTGCACCCACTTTTCTTGACAAGACTGCGTTGGAAGTATATGCAGCGGCTGGCTCTAAATACGCGGGCAAGGATGCGCGCGTTGTGTATAAGTGGTTGAATGAGCTTTCGAAGTCGAATTCCTAGAGGTTGTGGGGTGCGGTGCGCGTGGAGACGCCCAGGATATGAGTTCTGTTGCCGATAATTGGAGGTTCCCTGTGTTAGAAAAAATGTCAGCGAAGATGCTCCAACAAGAGTCGAAGGCTCCGGTGACCTGCGGACTTACATTGTATTGGACCTATGAGCATGCCTCAAACCTCAGCTCAATTGAGAAGCAATCATGAAGGCGAAGGCATGATTGAAGCGGCGCGTAAGAGCGTATACGTGCAGTCTCGCGCAAGATCCAAGAAATAGTGATCAGTAGAGCGCGTTCGGGCCATCATTTTCCGTTCTGGTCAATCGCCCAGTTCAGTCGCTTGCGAAGATCTTCAGCCTTTGCTAGATTGTGCTCCTCATACGCCTGAGCGAAAAGATCGAGCAAGGCATGCATCTTTGGAAGGGCATCTCGCAAGACTTGGTGAGCTGAAGATTCTTGAGCAACGGCGTTCTCTTCTTGCTTCAGGTACATCGGTGCTTTGTCGCGTGCTGCATCTTGCTGATCTAAATTTGATGTCAGAGGATGGCCAATGTTGGCGGAAAGGTGCCTCGCTCGACTTACTCCTTCTTTGAAGGTCGACGGCTGAGGTGGGCTGTTGATGTGCCCGACCAAGACTGGCGGAAAGAGGTTCGAGGCCACCTGTGGATCCTTGGAAGGTACTCTTTGCGATGATCTGCTGGATGACATCAATGTCGTCTCGAAGTGTGGAAGTCCAATCCATGGTGTCAAGACACGTGTCGTGCGCTCGTCGTTTTTCTGGATGTTGGTAGTGGGTTGGACTTTTTTGCAAACTGTTAGAATGTCCTCAAAACTGAATAGTTCACTAATGGCATAAGCAGGTGATTGTGGCGGTGGACTAGCACGTGCACATCGTCGTTCACTCAATCTTGCACAAGCTTCCATTCATCGTCGAAGATCAAGCATCATGGATGGAGCACGTCCATGCAAACCGACCACAGGGCATGTGCCAAGCATCATCTCCGTACGGCTACAGACTCCAACTTGCCCGAGAGGAGGTGTGGAGTGCCAAAACACGCATCCGAATATCCAGTCCTATCTGGCATCAGTTCAGGTCGACTTGCAGATAGTCGGCCATGTCAAAGCTCACGTCTTCGACAGGCAGGGTATGGTCACAGGGGAGTCCCTCGGAATGTGGGAAGAGTGCCAGCGCTACGATCAGAATCACTTTGGCGCAAAGCTGGACAAGATCGACAATTATTTCGACAATGAAAGCTTCGAAAGTGAAGCCGAAGTCAAGATTGAAGAGGCTCAGGCGGTAGGTGAGCAGCCGTCGAGTTCAATGCTTCTACTGATATGGACCTGTTGCAGATCGTATATGTCGAAGAGGTCTTGCTGCGGGAGGCATGGCGAGGCCGAGGTCTTGGCTTGGATGCGCTTCAAAGATCGATTGAGGGTTTGACGCTGCCGCTGAAAAGGTATGACCTCCCTAGAGTTGCAGTGTCATCTGAAACTGACTACTTCAGTATTATTCTCCTTGAGCCTGGTCCCATCAACTCGGCAGAGCACAGTTCTGCAAGCGATAATGCTGGTGAGAAACTCGAGAAGCATTGGAAGAAGCTTGGCTTCAATGCATGGAGTTATACAGATCCTGCTTGGCTCTGCTTGTCTTTGGAGGATGTTACTTGGGGTGCAGAAAAAGAATCCTTGACATAAATGGATATACAGCGGTACTGGTCGAGGTGAAGTGGAGTGGATGGCATGACAAGAATCTCTCTCACGTCGGGTCAAGTCGGAAGCAGGAGCAATTCCCGACACGGCGTGCCCCTCGTTGCGTGTGGTCGAAAGCATGGTGGGGTCTCAGGAGCCGCTCATCCTGGTATCACTTCGACGGCAATAGGTCAGTATTACCGCGGCATTGGGTAAGTAGAACTAATAGCACGTAGATGGTAGAGGTTTCAACCGAAGCTGAACTATCTTCTCTCCTGTGCTTACACTCGTCCTTGTGACAGCCTGGGCATCGCAGTCAACAAGGACCAGCTATTCTACTCCACCACTCCACATCTGATATCATTCCTAGCTTTCTGCCGAACAAAGCTCCAGATTCACTCACATTGACGTCGGTCGCAGTCACAGAACGCACTACAAAGATCTTCCAAGTCGAGATCGTTCCTGGATTAGTCCAAACACGAGCAGCAAAATGTCTAGCGAAGGAGGAGCCGTCGGCAAAGAGTCCATCAACACTGAGATCATCACGCTCTCTAGATATCTCAGTGAAGAGCAGACAAAGCACAAGGAGGCTACAGGAGATTTCACGTAGGTTTGCAGATGTACGGAGCTGCTGTCTGGGCTGACTGAACATACTTAGCCTTCTCTGCCATGCGCTTCAATTCTCGTTCAAGTCGATAGCATACTACATTCGACGAGCATCTTTGATCAATCTCTCCGGCCTAGCAGGTTCTTCGAACACCACCGGAGATGACCAGAAAAAGCTAGATGTGATTGGCAATGACATCTTCATAGCTGCTATGCGCTCGAGCGGCCGTGTTCGTGTGCTTGTTTCGGAAGAGGAAGAAGAGGCTATCATCTTTGATCAGAACCCACACGCTCGATATGCCATCGCATGCGATCCGATCGATGGAAGCAGCAATTTGGATGCAGGTGTGTCAGTGGGAACAATCTTCGGCATTTACAGACTTGCAGAAGGAGCGAAGGGTAGCAAGGAGGATTTGCTGGTGCCTGGAAGCGATCTCGTGGCTGCCGGTTTCACCATGTATGGTGCTTCAGCACAGCTGGTGATGACCATGAAGGACGGCCCGGTGAATGGCTTCACCATGGACAATGCCCTTGGTGAATTCATCCTTACGCATCCTGACATGAAAATTCCCAAGAAGCGGGCCATCTACAGCTGTAACGAGGGTAACAGCAAGTACTGGGAAGAACCCGTCAAGGAGTGGGTTGAAAGCCTCAAGAGTGCCGAGAAACCATACTCTGCAAGATACATTGGATCCATGGTGGCTGATGCCTACCGGACATTGCTCTACGGCGGCATCTTCGCGTATCCAGCCGACAAGAAGTCGCCAAAGGGCAAGCTGCGAATCTTGTACGAGTGCGGTCCCATGGCTATGGTATTTGAAAATGGTAAGCACCCACGATTTTCGACTTCGATGATGAGCCTGCACTGACGCAATGGACAGCTGGCGGTCAAGCAGTCGACAGCAAGATGCGTCGCATGGTGACGGTAGTGCCAGAGCATATCCATGATCGGAGTGGAATTTTCCTGGGAAGTTATGATGAGGTGCAAAAGGTGATAGATATCCACAAGAAGCACGGCATCACCGCGGCGTGAGCGAGCCGAGGAGAGAGCGGGGGACGGCTGTAAGGACAATTGAAAGAATGGATGGATGGTGTGCTGCTGGTATGAGACGCAGAGGTTGAGATTCAGGACAGCATGATTCGTTGGGGATATGCAGGTGCAGCGTAGGAGCAAATGACGCCGAACGCGCGTTGACCGCGAGTGATCACGTTACTCTGGTATCTTCCATGATAAGCACGATAAGCTTTGATGGTTGCTGCCAAGTCTTTCCTGCAGCCGGCCGGAGTGCGCAATCCTCCTGCCCTGCCCTGCCCTGCCCTGCCCGGCATCTCTGAACTCTGAACTGACATGCGCGTGCTCCGGGGAGTCCAGGCTCCCGTCGACAGTCAGCAAGCTCGTATTTTCCCGGTCATGAGCTCGACCACATCGTGCTGTTTTCCTGACAGCATTCCTGGCGCCGCGAAGACGGCACAATGCCACAGTAGGCCGTCGAGCAGTCGCAGTACGTCGCGCTTGCACCCGTCACGGCCGTGAGACACTTCATGATGAATATCATGCCCGACTTGGGTGAGTCTGCACACTGCATGACCTGCGTTGTACGGCAAGGTAACGACGATTCGCAGACTATTGGGGAGACTTGGCGTTGCAGGCCTGGGTCAACATGAATCCTTCACCTCAATGGGCCAGTCGACAAGTCGAACCGTATCGCGGCCTCCCATTTGGAACATACTTACGTTCAAGTCGCCCGCGGAGACAGCGCAAGCTTACTGGCCCTCTGCCGCCGAGTGAGCAATCTTTCTGGCATCGCTTCAAGCTCCTGTCATGCGAACCAGACCAACGAACGGACGACCAGTCGCGGTCTGCATTCCTCACGAAATTGCCATATGACATCCGAATCATGATATATGAGCTGGTTCTTGGCAATAGAGTGCTACATCTTTCAGCACAGAACCCGAAAAGTCGAATCGAGCATTATACGTGCAATCGTCCACGAGCCATAGACCGGGAAGGTGCCAACCATACGTGCTCAGACTCCGAAGTCAGACCACAACCCGCATCGCCACGAGCAGAGCAGCTAGAGCCGACTGGCCTACTTCCTCTTCTGACGTGCTGTCGACAAATTTATTCCGAGGCAATTCATACTCTATACAGCGCCAACACGTTCAGCTTTACCCAAAACTTTGCAGCATTCACATTCCTCAAGCTCATGCTGCCACCACAGCGCCTCCCTACCATCAGACGTCTTCGATTACACATGCGAATACCACGCCATCCGAGTCTGAACAGTCGATCCTCTCGAGACTGGCATGATCTGTGGACGTTCTTTGGTAGTGAAATGAGTGGCCTGCAAACCCTGTATCTGGAGCTTCAGATGCTCCAACCGATGGAAGCGCACATTGAATCCACGCCGGACGATGAGGCTGAGACATGGATCAGGCCAATGGTGACTATGGCTGTGGATGCATACCGCAGGCGCGGGTGCGTTGTTGAACTGGAGACACGCCATGTTCGGCACTATCCGGCACGGATCTATTCCAACGAGAATCGGAGAAGCGAAGCACTTGACGAGGATGACGCTTTCACCATGACATGTGCTGCGCTGCACAGGTCTATACGCTTGTCGCTGGGCTGAAGAGTGGAATTCGGAAATCTTGCTGCGCGCCTCGAGTGGAAACGGGTGCTCGCGAAGGATTGCTGCCTAAAGTTTAGACAAGTGAATGAACTTCGAAGCGCACCTATAAAGGATGAGCCCCGCAAACTATGCTCTAGCTTCGAATCGGACACTTTGGTCATTGCATCCCTCGAGGCTACAATGTTCGCACCGTTGGCATCGGACGGCGAAAAGCCAAATCACAAGCAGCCAGGTAGGTCTGCAACCAAATCGCTTCAGCAGTTGTACTGACTGTCACGCAGTTCCAGGCCCAGGAGTATACGAGGTAAAGATGGTATCAGATCGAGAGAAGCCAAGTCACAAGCAGCCAGGCAAGTCTGCGCTACAGTTTCTCGAGCAGCAATGCTGACTTCGTCATAGCTCCAGGTGGAGGACTGTACGAGGTCCTCAAAGTGCCACAAGACTCGAGCGCGCGCCTCATCGCCTCCAATTACGAAAATCAACTTGCCTTGGCTAGACAGGTCAATGAGCTGACTTACGACGAGCCAACGCCCGAAGACCGACGCCGCAAAGACGCTGAGATTCAAAAGCTCCATGATGCCGCTCGAGTCCTACTCCATCCATTTCGGCGCAGACAGTATGACCTGCGCCTGCAGCACAGTGCGCGCAAAGATAAGTCTCGCCACACTGCACCAAAATGCGACACCTGGATCGCTGCTCGTGATGGTCGCGATTGGCCAACGCCACCGAATCACCGCGAGAGGAATACAGGCCGTCGGGAAGCATTCGATGGCACGCGTTCAGACACTCACAGCACGAAGTCGCCAGGCGGTCGTGGTAGCCCAAGTTATGAGCCGTACTCGCCTTAGGCAGCGCACTGCTCGGACAACCTACGGATTGGATTGGAATTTCTGGCTTTGCATCGATGAGGTGGAGTCCTTGGTCGGTTCGACACCTGGCGATATCATGGCGTTTCTTGTGTGTTTGCCAGCGGACAGTGGTTCCAGGATCGAGTTGAGATACCCGATCGGATCGTTAACGGCGCATTGCAAGTTGTGCTAGACATCGAGACGTAGTTTCTCGAGCAACACAGCATGACCATATGGAACGGAGAACAAATTTGGGATGCCTCGTAAACCTGCTTCAAGCCCTGAAAGTCGCCAAACTCTGCAGGCGTGAACATAGAGGTAAGGCGTGGTTGTCCAAAGATACTTTTTGTATGTACAGCGGAGGCCTCTAACCACAGAACTTCATTATGCGATTGCTTTTGTTGCATCTGCTTCGAAGTATTTTATCAAATCCTCAATGGTGACCACTTTCAACCCGTGCCTGCGAGCGAAAGCCAAGCATCCATCTCTTCTCATCATTCCAAAGCCACCAGTCATCTCAGCTTTGCCCAAGACATCTTCACCATCCTCTACCATTTCTCCAATGACAGCGACAGGCTCTTTGCCTGCAAGTCGACAGAAATCTACAGCAGCCTCCGTATGCCCAGCTCGTGCTCTCACACCTCCTTCACGCGCCTGCAATGGCACAATATGACCTGGCCGTCTGAACCAATCCTTTTGCACTGCGGGATCCGCCAACTTCCGACACGTCACGCTGCGATCTTGAGCGCTGATACCGGTTGTGATGTCTTCGTTGGCATCGATTGTGATCGTATACGCGGTTCTGTTCGGGTCGGTGTTGTGAGTCACCATCTGCGGGAGCTCTAGACGTGCGGCCAGCGACGGCATGATGGGCGCGCAGAGGTAACCTGAGGAGTATCGGATCATGAAAGCTGCTTTTGCGGGCGTCAAATCTTGCGCGGCGATGATGAGGTCTCCTTCATTTTCACGATGCGTAGAGTCCATGACTATGATGAATTCTCCATTTGCTACAGGGCCATTGTTAGCGAGGCTCGGGTTTGGTTTGCAGGTTCGGGATGTCTGACCGAAGGATTCTATGGCGTCTGGTATGCTGTCAAAACTTACGTCGCCATTGACCGTCGCCATTGTGTACGACCAACGTACGACGATTCCTTTCGAGCTGGCGATCGTGGATGATATTCGCTGCGGAAGGCGACCAGGTGCCTCCGGTTTCTCCAAGCTCCCAAGCTAATAAGGTTCCGTCAGACCTGGAGATTCTGCTCATCCATGCACAACAAGATCGCGAGGTGCGCCGACTCCGCGAAGTTTATGTGTGTGTCGATGACTGTGATGAGGCACTGGTGTGAAGTCGGTCCTCTCTGCCGATGCTGGATCTGATGACGGTGCCCTTTGCTATAGCACGACATCTTGGAGACCCCACCAACGTCAACCCAACTCGAAGCGCTTGTGAAAGGCTGGACCATGTCAACCAGCGCCACGGTCGGCGTGTCTGCATGCCGATCCCGAGGCTCTGTCACGACTTATACGAGGAACACATCCGAGAGGCATCGTAAGCACGTATGTAAGCGCAGATTGGAGAAGCATGCATGTGACCGCGCCGGCATGTCATCACCCAAGTCGGTCATGCTTTGCCTCTCCTCGCTGAGGCTCACTTTATCCTTTCCCGTCGCCTCTGATGAAGCTCGAGCACACTGCTGCGCTGCACGCTCACGCACATTTCTCGGAGGAAGTCACACAGTTTCGCCACGCTAGAATGCGCGAAGAATCATCATGGAAATGCATACGTTCCGTAGCGAGATTGCACTGCAAGCACCCACGCGCATCGTCTACTCTTTTGACCACCAAGGGGAGAGTCAGAAGGCTCGACCGACCATTCGATAGAATAGCATGACAAGATGTCAACAAGTTGGTCTTGCTCGGTGATGTGACGGCGCAGAATGCTACTTTCCGACCACGACCTCTTGCTGCTGCTCCGATGGTCCACGACAGCCGAACTGCTTGACACAAAGATCTCGGGCCGTGGCTCGTGCAGGAGAGACAATGTCCGAGGGCGAAATGAGAACCTTGCACAACACAAATTCGGCCTCGAGATCGCAAAGCAGACTATGTATCGCTCAGATGTGCCAATTGGCTTTGCTTACTCTTAACCAGGTAGGAAGGCGCGCCTCCATGGCTACACAAGAACTCCTGAACCATTTTGGGAGCACTCATTTCCTTGGAGGGCATGAGCACAATAGCTCGTTCAACACTGCCACTTTTGCAGGCTCACTATGACCAAGCAGGAGTGTCATGGTTAGCAGAGCTTGCTGGAATCTCCTCGGATGCCATTTTGATGGTGGTCTGGACTGAGCGCACCGAAGAACGACCAGAAAAACCAGGAAACATAGCTCGCCGGGGATACAGTAGAATACCGCGACAAGCAAGCATTGTTCCAACTTGACGGGCGGGGACGGGACGCACTCTGTGTCCTCAGCAGGCAAGCTCAAGCACGGTGCCACCACAAGGGTATCAACACCTTGATGAGCAGGATTCGAATGTTGCGCTGTTGGGAGCATTTCAACCATAAGATAACGCCAACGTCGAAATCTTAACGCATGCGTGAGTGACGTACATGAACGAGACCTGCATGGTGACGGAGATGTTCCTGCAGCAGATGTTGGGTTGCATGAGATGTCGGTCACTCATTATTACAGCCCATGTGCTCGTGTACGTGCACCCTGGTAGGCGTAGATCGGCAGCAAGATTAACTTATCCGTTCCGCCTGTCAGTGTCACAGTTGTTCCGACCACAAGTCAGTCGAAGCCGTTGAATCTCGACACGAGACAGAAGCTTTGTTTCGAAAGCCTTTGGCCCTCGGCCTTAATTGCAGCACTAAATATTCTCAATCGATTGCGAGACCGCTGTCCAATAAATTGTAGAACAACATTGAAGTCGAAAATAGAAGCCACTCTGGGCAAGGCTGACGACACTTGGTCTGCAGCCTGCAGGCAAGGTTAGACGCAGTCCTGGATTTTCGAGATGCTATTCTTGCTCGGGCACTTTCCGTAATCGGCGCCGCATCAGTTTGGCTAAGACCAGGACTAGGATACCCCTACTATCAGAAGCAGGTAACCGGTTTGTGAAGAGGGCCGTTTCCGAAGTCTGATGATGACGATTGATGACTCCCGATGGCGGCTGCCCGAAAAGCCGTGTGAGGCCTCAATGGCGGATCATAGACTAAAGGATTGGATGTTGGCAGCACATTGTGTCCAAGATGTGACATCCAAGGAAGTGTCAAGAAGCTTTGGCATTACTTTTAGCTGCCAAGTCTCCCTGCACAGGCTGTATTGATCAGGAAATGAGTCATGAAGATACAGTAATGTACATTCGATTAACATCGAGAGTCTGTAGCAATGCAATTGTTTGCACGCAATAAGGCGATGCTGCGGGAGTTGCAACGGGATGGGATGATATCCCCACCATCCTGGCTCTGCAGCACAGGAAATGAGTCCGTGATCCTCTCGCTCCCGCTTTCTTCAAGTTGCAAACGAGCTTCGTTTCGCACCGTGCGTCCGGCAACCCACAGAACAGCTTTTCGGGTGATTGTGCACTGCACCGCCAGCCATGGCGTCAAGACCGTCGCCTCGTGGAAGGTCATGAAGCCTTCTAGCGGGCTTCTGTGGCTGAGAACAACGCCCCTTTTGTTTCGAGTAGAGGGCCTCCACCACATCGTGAAGTCATTACCAGCTCGTGGCCGACCGAGGATTGAGCGAGGAAACCATCAAAATGCCTGCGCCTGAATGTTCGATGATAAGACCGTAGCCTACCTGTCCTGTTTCTGCACACTCGTGGAGAGTGCCGGGTCGGTCGTTGTATGAAGCAGGGGTGCTCCGCTAAGTCGTCCGCAATCACGTTTGCAGCACTAGGGTACATCGACGTGACTCGCAGGGTGGCACGGCACCTTTCCTACAGGCTGGGACGATCAAGCATTGCTGGCTGGGGTTGGAAGTAAGCCGCAGACGACGGTCCACGAAGAGCTAGTAGCACTAGCAGGAGCAGTAGGCGCTTGATGCTGCCTCACTGGACGCTCTGGCGAGAACCTGAACAACCCATCCGTCACTGGGCCGTTGCATGGGTTCCAACAATCTGCCATTCAGCCTGGCTTGGCTCAAGAAAAGGGCCTTGCGCCAGGTGCACTTTGCCAGGGTCATGCCTATTCCAGATGGAGGTTCGTGCATGTTGCGTGGGTGCTATGGACTGCAATCTTGAGCCCAAAAGAAGTAATGTTACCTTGGAGCCTAGCCATCGTATCGCGTGTGCGTGTCAGTCGTGAAGAGTATATGATCGGACGCCCTGCTGCTTGGACCTCTTCCTTCCCTTCGCTTTGACCATTGCTTTGAGCAAGAGACACACGTTCCTTCAACCATATCATCCGACCTTGGAGCTAATACCTACACACTCTTTGTAAAGCGGAATCGGCATAATAATACTTTTTCCCTTGGACGCGGACTACTACTGGGCAAACGGAGTTACTTGTCTTCGATCGAACAACCATACTGACCAGATTTCACTGGGTCGCTACGCGCATCTCGCAGGCCGGACACGCAAAATCGACATTGACTTGGAGACAGTGCTTTTGCACGAGGAGCAGGATAAGGCGGCGGCTACCAAGCTCGGTCAAACGAGCTCGGCGTTTCGAAGAAGAGACCTGATCGTTTCTGCCCAAGCCGTTTCGGGCGATCTTGTCTCTGAGACGACTTCGAACAAGCAGAAGCGGCAGCGGAGACATCACGAGCGATTCGAGTCTGAAGCCTTCAGCAGAGAGCTGCGCCGCGCGTGCTTGTTGCAGGCGGCTACAATTTGGGAGAGAGAGTCCGGACTGCCAGAAACATCAGCGGCTTCCTGACTGGACTGCTCAGCGTGGTGGCTGACAGATTCTGGGACACGCAGCGGTGGGTGGAAACGGAGGCCGTGGTACAGGCAGCCAGACGGGCATCGCCGCTTACTACAAGCAGTGGTGCGAACATTCCGAGATTCGAGCGCACAGCAACGTGAGTGGCGGTCAGTTCAGGCGCAGTGTGTTGCAGATTGGAGGATCTCTGAAACGGGGATCAAATTGCGCTTTCCCGGAACAGGACGCTAGTGCCAGACCTGGTTAAGGGGCCTGCGGTGCTTCCCGAGCCCGCTGCTGCACTTTCCTCGAGGCCTTCTTTCGCAAAGAGTCTGTGCTCGCTCGCCGCCAAACGCCAAACGCATCCACTCCATCATCACCATTTGTTTCTGGGCCGCAGAGCCTGTTGTATCTGTATTTCTGGGCCTGGCGATTGACTGCTCTTGCCGCGAAGGTACGTTGGAAAATTATCATCTCACCCCAGCGGGCAGACCGGGACGCGCGTGTGCATCGGTGCACCAGACCTGTCACCTCCTTTTCCTCCGCGCACTGAAGCAGAGCGCCATCAGCGGACACCTACAGCACCGCGCCTTCCATCGCCCGTGGCACGCACCCGCTCCTGCCTCGCTCCAGCACAACACCGCGTTCCTCTTGCCGTGCTTCGTGGGCCAGTCTGACGAGCGAGGTCTAGGTGTTATTTGTTGCATCGTGCGAAGGAGCATAGGCCTGCCGTGCGCACGTTCATCCGATCGCTCAATCGCCTCCGAACAGGCCATCTCGCGACAGGGCCCGAGCACCCACTGCACGCCGACGCCTACGCACGTCTACGCCTACGCGCACCACCACCACCACCACCACCACCTCTCCATATCTTAATACACGCTCGACGCGACTCCGCGGCGCGGGCACATTGTACCTGCTGTCGTCGCTCGGCGCCATCACGTGCTGCCACGCTCGAGACAGAAATTTTCTGCCCATCAAGTCAGTAGTAAACCTTTTGGTGCTCCGCGCTTCTTGAAACAACACACACCACCATCGTCTCGCTGCATTGGATGTCTCTGCCGTCGATTGGCCACATCTTGCTTGCGCAGCAGCAGAAGAGGAGGGACAGCTTCACGAGCGTGGTGGACATGGACCTTCATACACTGCTGAATACTAACAGAGCGGCAGCTGCACGTGAATTCGCGCATAGAAACATGCAGTACGAAGTTCCCCTACCCATTGCTATGAACCATGATGTTTCTACATCGAATGGACACTACGCGCAAACCCTCTACGTTCCGAATGGCAACAATAGGATAAAATCCGAGAACGGGTCTGAGCGCGGCGTGTCACCACACACCTCCGATCACTCCTCGAGGTACTCTTCGCAGACTCCCCAGAACTCCGTGGCCTACCAGCAGATCGCCGCGCAGCTCACGAATGGCATGCGCTACCCTTCGCCAAATCAGATGCAGCAAAACAACAACATGCCGATGCTGCAGCACTCGTATCACCCGAACACGACACAAGATCAGGGCTATCAAACACAGGCTGGCGCCACCATGGGTGCCGTGCAGCAGGCTGTACCGCAGTCTACGGACCAGACTGCGATGGACGGCGGACGAGCAAGCACTGGCAGCAGTGGGCTTCCCAAGGCTTTCGCCTGCTCAACGTGTCAAAAGGGTTTCGCGAGGCGTAGTGACCTAGCGCGTCATGGTACGACCTTTGATGTTTCATCCCTTTGCACGACTATACTGACGCGTGATGCTAGAACGGATTCATTCTGGTGTGCGGCCGCACGTCTGCGACCATCCTGGCTGTGGCAAACAGTTCATCCAACGTTCCGCTTTGACTGTTCACTCTCGCGTGCACACTGGCGAGAAGCCACACATGTGTGAGCGATGTGGCAAGGTATGTGGACATCTCTCTGCACTCATGATCTTGCTGACCTTTTGATGTAGCCGTTCTCCGACTCTAGTTCTTTGGCTCGACATCGTCGCATCCACTCTGGCAAGCGTCCATACAAGTGTCCATACGCAGATTGCCAGAAGACATTTACCCGGCGTACCACATTGACCCGACATCAGAATCACCATACTGGTACTATTGAGGAGTCCGAAGCCGCCACTGCTGCGGCGCTGGCCTCTCGTGTTCAGATGAGCACCAACCGCTCTCGAGGCTCTGACGAAGAAGATGGCTACTCTGGTGACGGGAAGTCTCCTCTGCCACAGCAGCAGGATCGAGCCGCTACTGGGTCTCCTGCAGCGGTTCTCAACGGCATGCCTCAGCTGCAGAGACAAGCCTCTGACTATTATATGAATGCGATGAACGGTGGGATGGCCGCTGTTCCCCCACATCTGAGGAACGCGATGCAGCCTTCGCCTCGCGCTCAATCTCCTCAGCAATACCCCATGCCAGTGAACGGCAATACGCCACAATCTCGACCATCTTTGACTTCCAATCCATCCTCCAGCGCTCATCTTCCTCAAATTCTGGAACCGCCGACGACCAATGGACAGCAACAGACTGGAAGCGGCAATAACAGCCCCCATTTGAACAATAATAACAACAATCCTATGAATGGATGGCAATCTCCACATCCTGGCATGCCAGCGAACGCATCGCAGACGACCGACTACACCTACCCTGACCCGAATAACCACTACGGAGTCAGCAATGTCAACACTGCTCAGATGTACTACCAGCAGCAGGGCGTACCGCGTCCTCACAGTACACAGCCACTCGACTATCAGCACCAAGGCCAGCCAATGTGGGCACAGCACCAGCAGTAGGATGCTGATGATCCTGCCCACACTGAGACTGGATAAGTACTAGCCGCGCCGGATAATACCGGCCTGCTTCTCGAAGATAATTCTTGCCTGACGCAAATCGGAAGCCTTCCGTGGAAGTGTCGGCTGAAAAGCTTAGAGCGGTTGGCTCGTCATACAAGATTTGCGTTTGAGTCATTTCCGGAGTTTTATGGACTGGCCTGATACCCAGATTTCCTGTTATGGATCCGTTCGGTGCGAAGCGCGTGTTTACGGGAAGGACTTTGGCATCATCGAGCATTCAGCATTTTTTCTTTCCCCATCGATCGTCGAAAGGGTTTCGTCGCTTTTACACCACTCCATCTCATTTGTTCAGGCCAAGCTCGGACCAGCAGACACACAGTCGTTCTAATTTCCAGATTGAATTTGTTCTTGTTTTCTTCGCGGGCGCTATAAAAATGGGACTTATCGGAAACCATACTGGTTTGCGCTTTTTCTAATGAGTGTACGACTGTGTGTGTATCATAGTAGGGCTGGCGAGCGGCCACGGGAGAAGGTGGAAACGGCGAGGGAAATGGACTAAAGAAAGGTGAAGGTGTGCATTTGAAAACACTAATGGCTGCAAAGGCCATGGTTGCGAGAAGGAAATCTTATTCCAGCGGGGGTTTCTTGAGAGGTTCTTCTTAAACCTCTGGCGATTCGGCGCATATGGGTGAACAGCGGGAATGGAGCAGTGGGTTATACTGGCTCCGCGACCGGCATCGAGGAAATCATATGCCTCTGAAACTAGAGTAATACTATTTTCGTCAACTTTGCTGTCTTTTGTGTTCCTTCTGTTGCGTCTGGTGATGATGTGCTTTGAAAGTGAGCGATGACCGTGGCGGCTGTTGCGTTTCGTTTCACATGCGTGGCCGTGCGCGCGTTTGGCAGATCAGCCAATTAGAGTTTGCTGGTTGGGGCCCGGGCGCTGCCTGCTAAACGTTTCATTCTCAAAGCCTTTCGACAACAACATCACCTCACTGCACTTGGATAGTTGACGATCTGCGCCTTTCTCGAGCAACCTCGCCCCTTCAGTGACTTAGCAAAGTATCTCACACTGCTTGCGATCACGTCCTTCGTGACACCAAACATAGCACGACACACGACACACCCCGCATCCTATCCATCCATACCATCGCCAGGGCATTGATCGGACGCTATCTGCACCTGCACCTGCACCTGCACATACACGAGCACTTCCGCGACTTGCGATCCAAAGTTTCCCGACGACATACATAATTACCTGAACAAACCTCCCCGATCACACTCGACTGCATGGCGCGCAAAATGCAAACCGACGTCAACCCCTCGACCCCGGGCTCAGCGTCAAGTACGCATCGCGTCACCAAGACTCGATCTGAGCGAGCGAGTCGCAGTTGCATGACGATGCAGCGAAGCAGAATGCTGGCCGAGGCAAGCAGCAATGGCACACTCGAGGACATGCTGAACGAGGCTCAGGTCGTTGCAGGCTCCAGCACTGGCGACCACTACTCTGGTAAAGGCAAGGCCAAGTCTGCGCCCACCACGCTTGAGACTCACGATTGGGAGCACGAGGACTCGGACATGCTCGATGAAGAGGAGGAGGATGACGTCTGTCCGATCACCGACAAGGACGCCAAACCATTCCCGATCATGGATCTGCCTACTGAGATTCGCTTGGACATCTATCGTGCATGCTTGACTCGGCCTTACAACATTCTCCTGTCCAAGCGTGAGCGGCACGTGGCGGCCAAGGCTGATTGTGGCGTCGAAATGATCAGCTCTGATGGTGAGGGCGCTGTGGGCACAAGAAGCCGGGTCACGCGCGGTGCTCTTCCCATTCCCATTCAGCAGTCAACCGTATTTTCTATTCAGCGCCTGGAGGGACCGAACTGCCCTCCACCCACTACCTCGAGTTCCTCGCGCTCCTCGCGTTCCTCGCGTTTAGTTCGCATGCCTCCAAGCCGTTCCACACCAAGCTCGTCAGGGATCACTTACACCACGAGCACTAGCGTCATTTATCGCCAACCTCCCTCAACTCGTCGCACTGTTGAGGGGAGAAACAAGGCGACGGTCATCTGCGGTCCAGATCGCCCTCAGAATCAGGACCCGCTGATCGTGGGCATCATGCTGGCGAGCAAGGAGATCTACAAGGAAGCACGTAGTGTGCTCTACGGCGAGAACTTCTTTACTTTAAATCTCGCCACCGCCATGCCTACCCTAGCATGCCTCCATCAGCGGTCGCGGCGACAGATCAAGCACGTCGAGCTGGAAATTCCAACCTATAACGACATCTTGGAGCGCTTCCAGGAGACAGTGCGCCTGAGCCTGCGATATTGTTCCGGCCTGAAGAAATTCGTCATGCACATGCCCTTTACTCTTCCAGGAGCTGATGGCAGCGGCACGACTGGCAATACCACGGTTTATGCAAACGGCTTCGACATCCTGCGTTGGTTGCCTCAAGAGTGCAATGTCATTCTCAAAGGTCACATCTGCACCGAAATTGAGACTGTTGTCAACAAGCATCTGCATCTAGCAAAGACGCTGGACAAGGTACGTCATAGAGTATATCAAATGAGCAGCAACATCATTACAGCAGAGGTCCTTGAATGGGAGGAGATGGAGAAGAAGCGTAAAGAGGCTACCGCTATCAAGGAGCATGTTTCCCCAATGCAGTAGCTTGATGCGCTTCTGCTTCCTGGGAATCTGTGGCAAGGACGGTGGGCTTGCAAACACATTTGCTTACTATTGCGCACAGAATGCATATGCTAGACGACAGCTCATCTCGAACGACACCGGCTCTTCGAACTAATCGACGACACTCTCACTTCAGCGAAATGCTGAATGCCGAGTCTCACTCAACCCTACGAATGACCTCTTTCTTATATCCAAGCAACCCGAGATACTACTACTGGCAGAGCTATTCTTGGCTCAGCTGCTTCTTGTGTCAATTCAGTAAGGCCAGTGCACTTGGAGATGCATCATTGTACTATAGCTGTTGGAATGGGGGACATTTGAGGATGGGAAATGATCTTTCAGTACAGACCCCGTTCTTTCTTTTGGGGTCGCCAAAAAGCAACAGCTTGGGAAATACACGACTATGAAAAGCCAAACAAAAGTAGCATAATTAGAAAACACATCTTTGGCAAAACGTAATCAAATGGGGGGTTTTTTTTTCTGCCGAGTTTCTACATAGTTTGCTATTATCCATTTTTAGTGAAAATAATGTGCACCGGCCATACATTTTCCAAGTAGCCGTACCTTACCTACTCAATAATCAGAACCTAGCGCATGCCGAGAAAAAGAGAGAGAGAGCCGATGTGATGTGCCCTTAAAAATTCGATAGTTGTAGCGCTCTAGATAAATGTCGGAAATTTTGACACTCCCTAATCCTCCGATCTTTCATCTTTTGACTTGCTGCTCGAGGGTCTCGCCTTGACTCCAAACATCCATTTCCATCCTCCGAAAAAAAAAAAATTTTTGTAATATGAAAGAAAAAAAAAAGCCCCCCCCCCCCAAAAAAAAACACAATCTTTCGCCATTGCCCAGCACTTGGGAATAGCCGCCAATGAAACGCCATATCCATGAATGATCATGATCAGACAGAAAGTCCAAACGCTAGAACGCGGCGCCCAACAAAAAAACAAACGACCCACGACACCTCCTCTGTTCTTTTCTTTCCTTTTCTTTTCTTTTCTTCCTCATCTCCTCCTCCCAACAATCGGCAACTTATCCTCCATCCACTTCGACCCTCCTTTTTTCGAAGGATGTTCGTTAATATAATACAATTTCCTCATCCCACAAAAGCCTCCAGGCAACGCGATTCTCTTCACCCGCTCAAAGTGCCCTCCCAATACCTCTGAATTCGGATGCGTCCCAGCTTTACGAGATGCATTCTTCCACGTCCAAACAACATTCTCAACCTCATCGCCCGGCTCCTGGAATTGTCGGGGATTAAAGCTCGGGCGTTGGGCGATGAAATTCGCAATGCTGTGGATGATGGGATATAAGCGTTCGAAGCGTTTGGTGAAGGTGAGCCAGGGGAGAACGTTGGAGGAGTATGCTACGCGGATGTAGGGGTTCATGTAGATGCCTGTGTCGTTGGGTAGGGGTGGGGATCCCATGGCTGCGAGGTCGGCGTGGATGAGACAGCATTCTGACGCGTCCCAGTAGGTATCTGTTTCGGCGCGGAAACGGAGGGAAGAGGAATTTGGTGATGGGATGGCGAGGTTGTCGGGGTTGCGGAGGCCATGGTGAGGTTCGTAGTGGAAGGTTTGTGGTTCGAGGATGTTGCCGGTGGAGAGGGATTCTTTTTGTGCGGTCGAGGAGTAGAGACGTGCTTGGAAGTATTTGGCGTCGAATGCTACCATGCCTCCCCAGCAACTCTTTACCCTGACGGCGTCTTTTTGATGCCAGACATCTTTTCTGCTTTCTCCCTTACCGGCGTTGGTGAACCAGGGATAGAACGGTACGCCCATATCGTAGCCTTCCAGATCCCGAGTTGCGAAGGTGTCATAGAATTTGAAAGGGTTGATAAAGTCTACTGCACAAGTAGCTCGGTATGAAGCACGTCCGGTACTTTCATCGACGTTGGTGTTGAGGAGAAGGTTGGCTGCATCGATTGGATCGAAGACGACATCGTTGAGGTAGAGGAGCTTGTCAAATCGCGTGTTGTAAGCGGGCGATTTCTCATCTTCAAGAGGTCGAAGAGCACGATTCCGTACATCCGCCAAGAACTGCATACGCTTTAAACGTTGACTGCCATCAGGTGTAGAGACGTGGGGAAACTCGGCGAGGTCCAGTCGTTCTGTTACTATGGCCGACTGGCAGGTGATGTTCGTTCTGAAGGTATCGAGTGCGGCCAGCGCGCCCGGATCTGGATCGTTCTCGTAGATGCTCAAGAATACATTCTCAGGTCCCAATATTTTGATTAGACGCAGCACCGATTGCCCCCATTGCCCTGACACCACTTCGCCCTCGTGATCGTACAGACTCGCTGCGATGTATATCTTCTCGTTACCATCGTTCACTCTTTGACCGAATTCTTGTATCCGATGTCGCAACTCCCAATAGCGTGCCGGCGGGTTCGCGTAGGAAGGAAAGAATAGTCCGCATATTACAATTGCTGAGAATATGATGTAGGGTGCCAGGAGGGCAAGTTGGAGTATTCGGCAATGAAGTGATCTCCGCCGTCGTGGAGTGTGGAAGGTGAAGAGTGAAGAGGCAGAGCCGGCTCGCTTGTGTACTCGGAATCGCAGCCATTTTGGTCTCCGCGCTCCTGTCAAGGATTCGTATGCATGATCTTCGGCGTCGGCGAAGTCGTCGAGTTCGAACTCCAGCTGCTCCTCATGCTGGCTCTCGACACTGCTCGCAGAGTATGTTCGGTCCAGCAGCGCTTCCTCCTCCACGCGGTCTTTTGCCTCCATCGCGGCAGGCGAAGAATGGATGGGAGCAGACGGCCAGCCAGTTTGGATCGGTCGCAGGGGAGGAGCGAGCGTAGGGGGTGGATTTGGATTGTGCGGTCGGTCGTGATTATTATTGCGTGCTCGTCGAGTCGTCGGTGCCACGCGCGAAGCAGAAGATCGGGCCGCGGGTTAACAGGAGTGCGGGAGGATACGTTTGTACATTGAGAAGGAGTGCCAAGAAGCTCAGGCAGTGTATACTGGATAGGAGTTGGGCGAGAGAAAGACGTAAAGTATGTAGCCTCGAGGCTCGAGGCTATGCTGACCTGACGCCGATGTGCGACGCGTGGACAGACATGGGAAAGGCAATCGTAGGCAAGGCAAGGCAAAGCAAGAAAAAAGACGAGACACGAGTGTAAGATGGTTAAAAGGCAAAAAGGTAATACGCACCAGCAGCAACCACACAGCCTCCCTAGCGACAGATGTCATGCAATGCCCAGTGAGGCCGTTGCGTGCGAGGAGGACAAGCCACATGCTGATCACCTAGAAAGGATAATAATCTACATAGCCCCTTCACTCTACCTACACATGATTCGGAATATACTGTATGCAATCAGCTCACACAACCATCTTCTCATCAGCTTATCATCCCACACCAACAAACACCGACACAGTTGTTGGCAAAGCCAAATCCAAAGTCCCGGGAGGCTCCTTCATCTGCCGCTCTCGATATACTCTCATCAATGCTTGTATCCATGTGGGGAACCAGTAAGAGTGTCAAACACTAGCACGCTCGAGGCTGAATACCAGGGTGCTTGAACTCTTGCCTCATCCGTACATTTGTTAACCTACTCATCAATGGTGCCGATGCAGTGCGATGCTACCTACCGAATCCGATACAACAGTAAATGCCTGCGTATCTTGAGACGAGGATACTGCTTCGGACTGTGATTGTTACTGTACAACTATTCTGCCGAAGGATCTGAAGGATGCCAATCACTGCATGTATGTGGTCATTTCTTCCCAAATTTCTCCGCTGAGGCTTGTCACGAGATGCATAACGTTACGAGAAAGGAAAAGGCTGGACATGTGAAATGTTGTGCTGCTTCCTGGCTGAGTGTACTTTTTGATGTCTATGCTTGCCCTGCCACATCTGGCCCAGCTTGTGCCGTCTACGCCGCCTCACGACGCTTTCTTCCTTTCCTCCTCAAGCAGAGCATCCACCACCTGAAATACGCCCGTCACAAGCTTCATCGTGCCCTCATCCACCTGTCCCTGAAACCTCTGCTGGACTTTGTCGGGATGCCACTTGACTCGCTCCGATTTGTAAATGTGGATTCGTGACGGCCCATCCCTTCCCAAAGGCACATGTCGCATGAAGTCCACGATATTCGCCTTAATGACCGGCTTCGACTGCAAGACAGGCCATGGGATGCGCTTGGAAGGCTCAGCAGACTTGTTGTCGCCTTTCTGCTCGAGAAGCTCCTTCTTTAGTGCGTCCCAGGCAGCAGCATATTGCTTCCAAGCCTGGCCGTATTCGTGTAGCAACGAACTATTGGAAGCGCGCGCCGACGCCCCACGGGTCTTGTCATCGAAGTCGAATACATACTCGTAGTCCTCGTCATCAAGACCAGCGAATTTTCTCGCATTCTGCCTCTCCGCGCGTTCCCATGCAGCTCGCTGTTTGCGACGGATGAACTCCTGGCGCTGTCGACTCTGCTCTTCCTCTTCCTCACGTCTTTGCTTCTCCTTCCGCTCACGCTCAAGCACGATATGAGGATTCTTCTTCTCCCACATTTTCATCTGCACGTACGCGGCATACTGCTCATCGTTCATCCGCTCCAGCTCACCTTTTTCATTCTCGACTGTCGGTCGAGAATAGACATGAATGGGCTGGCTGTAGACACTTTCCCAATATGCGGCGCCCTCATCGTCAGCTAGAGCGTCGAACAAAGATTCACGAAATGCTGCAGTCGAGTCTGCGGTGGCTGCGCGCTCCAAGTCGACAGGTTCTCGTGGAAATGGATGCGCGGCACTCTCCGATTCTTCTTCCGATTCACGCTTTGCTCTTCTGCTCTTGCGATGGCCACGATTGCTGTCTCGGTGTCGATGCCTTCGCTTCCCGTCTCGAGGATCTGAAGTTCCGCTCTTGAACCGAAATTTCAGGGATGAACCATCGTCTTTTCGCTCTCCGCGACGTCTGCGCTTTGCATCGTCAGCGCTATGACGATCGTCATCGCGATTATTATTATGTCGATCGATTTCATCCTGCAGGCTGGCAAGAATGGCGTCGTGGTTGAGGTCATCGTTGTGGCTTTGCAGTTTGTCCCTCACTTGCCTCTTGCTCTCCGCAAGAGACGGCATTTGTCCGGACTCGAAAAGCTCCTCGATTTGTGTAGCATGTCGGTGGTTTTGGGTGGGTTTATGAGCGGCGTGATCACATCAATGTCGCTGTGGTCAAGTGAAGAAGGTGCTGATCGCGATGACATCGGATCGGTTTTCTTGGTTGCACATGCCAGCCAAGCGTGGGTCGGGCCGTTTTGGTTTGGTTTCCAGAGACAATATGAGGCATGTGATGACAGAAAACGGATGAAACAAGGCAGAACGTGAAAGCCTTCCTTACCCAACGCTGACACAAACAGGAGCAGAAATTCCTATCATTCGGGCCATTATTTCCTCGTCAACCCAGCACTTTCGTAGAAATAGAGTTCCATCAGAAGCCACGATCATGGCTCGTCTCTCGGCATCAAGCTCCGCAATCTCCTCCGGCCATGCCTCCAACGCCAACGGTCACATCTCGCTCACCCCGTCTACCACCACGACAGTCTCGTCCCCCACGCATAAAAACGGCGATGATACGACAGTAAAGTCCTCAGTCCTTGACGAAATCGGTTACGACGACGTGGACGATGCAATCGACACCTCAGACGTTCCGATGGACGAGTCGTTATTTCCAGGAGGCTCACGCGATCTGTCAAGAATCGGAGTGCAAGCATTCGCACTGGGAAACTTCCTCTCAGCCGGACTCATTCTAGCAGCCTATCTCGTCAAGATCGAGTCGCTATGGTGGCGTTTGCCAGCCTTCACTGCTGCCTTGGCCTTCTTCCATTTCATGGAATACTGGACTCAAGCTCGGTACAACACTCCAGCCATTCGAGCTGACAGCTTCTTACTGTTCACAAACGGCTGGCAGTATAATACCGCGCATTCGCTAGCTACCGTTGAGCTCGTGCTGTCTTGTATCTACCCATCCTATGGCCAAGCCTACGTCTACCCCTACACAATCGCTGCAGGACTGGCTCTGGTCTTCGTCGGCCAATTTGTCAGGAGTCTTGCAATGGCACAGGCCGGAGTCAGCTTCAATCATGTCATTTCGCGAGAGCGTAAAGACACTCATAAGCTGGTGACCAATGGGATCTACAGCTTCTTCAGACACCCAAGCTATTTTGGTTTCTTCTGGTGGGCTTTAGGCACGCAGTTGCTGGTTGGCAACAAATTTTGTGTCTTTGGCTACGGACTTGCGCTATGGAGATTCTTTTCCACTAGGATTCGCGGTACGTAAAGGCAATGGTCGTGGATGACTGATCGAGATTGCTGACTTTTGCGACAGCCGAGGAGAGATTGCTCTCTGACGAGAAGTTCTTTGGCAAAGACTATCTGGAGTACAAGAAGCGCACGGGGACTATGATTCCCTTCATCCCATGAGCATGAATTTCAAGCACTACCCAGTTGGATCGACCCTTTCGAGGTTGCGGGACTTACATTCGGCGTAACACATCTAGAACGGGTCTTTCAATCTGCAGCACTGCTGCACCCATGATAGACTGTGGCGAATCTCGTAATTGCCACAAACAGAATAGGACCAAATGCCATGCGAGTTCCATTAAGAAGCGAAAGCTCACGATTACGGCCCGTCTTGCAGGCAAAGAGCGCCTTTTCTCTATTTGTCTCGGAGACACCTGCAAGGAGGAAATGCTCGAAACGGTGTAAGATGTGCTTAAAACACTATGTTTGCTTATAGTAGCGTATCTAGTCCTACTATAAGCTCGCAGTAGTGTATCTGGCCCTACTACAAGCTCGCAGTAGTGTATCTAGTCCTGCTATAAGCTCCAGTCGCAAGCCTCGTCTGTGTCCTGTTAACCTTCTATGCAGCAGCAGTCTGCTCTGCGTGCCTTACACAAAGGAACAAATCTCAGCCGACCGTATCATCGCAAGTCGTAATAATACACGTCTCTGCACGGACACGTACATGTCGAACCAAATGTAATCGTCGTCAGATCGTTAAAAAAAAATCAGCAAATGGGGTATCCAGTTCATCGCCGTATGTTTTGCATGTACGCTGCAATGCTCATGTCGCAAAAGGAATGATGGGGTTGTGCTGTTCTTCATCATCGAAGGCCGTGATAACTGGGATATGATGTTAATTGCGTGCCAGTAGTTGAAGACTCAGTCTCTTCCATAAGTGCGTCATCCCCGACTTCTCGCCATTCGAGACTGCGTTCGGCCATGCATCGAATACCTGGTACACGTTTCGCCCACAAAGATTCGGATGGCGATCGGAATGTGTAGCCACGCTGAGAGCTGATGACACCAATGGCTTGGAGGACCGATTTGCGTGTGTCGCGGCCGAAGACTGTGGGGTTACGGATCCACTCGAGGCTCGTTTCCAGCTCCGAGTCGAGAGCTATCATTGTCGTCCTATCAATACCGACGGTGGGCGAGAGTGGGGTTGTCTCGTGGTGTCCGGGTGATGGTGTTCGGATGGCTGTGGGAAGTGCTGGGAAAGCGGGATCGAGAGGAGAGTTTTTCCATGGCTGTGCTGAGGTCGGAGTTGGAGGGAGGGCGGCAGTTGGTGGAGGCGTGGGTAACGGAGGGAGGCCACCTTTGCCTAGGCCTTTCAAGATAGATCGTGTTTCGGCAAGAAGGTGGTGTGCTCGATCGTTCTGGCCACGGCTTACTAAACTCAGAGCTCTTGTCAACATGTCAGAAGTCAGGAGTTCCATGCGACGCTGAACCACGGATGGATGAGGCGGTATGGAAGGCGTAGTCGGTCGGCCACCATTCTGCGCCTTTGTGGAAGGAGCAGGTAGCATTGTGATGGCAAGCAAAGAAGGACGTGCCAGCTGAGTACTGACACGTTCAAGAAGGACGTCTTCCTGGACGAGCTCCGCCTGGAGAATTGGGAGCTCCTCAACAGAAGCAGCGCGGCTTTCCTCTTGCTCAATAGAACCAAGTGCTTCAAGACTGGAAACCATGTTTTCCCAAGCATCGGCAAGGACGGATTCCGGTGTTGAGTTGTCAGGCTGAATGGCGAGCTGGACGAGGATATCGCGTTTATCGCCGAAGCGCATGTCGCCGAGGGAAGCTTCAGCATCGCGACCGGTCGCTCTCTTGGTTACTTGGAGCGCACCACTGATCTTCACAAATTTGGCAGGTGAACCCTCAGGCAGACGCAGCCGAACTCTCACGTTCTGATGGGACGTGCTTTGCATCGAACCGAGGCAGCCTGCGACGCACTCGCGAAGCATCAGCCAGTCCTTGACATACATATAGCTCGCTTTTGTCCTCGTGGCCATCTCGACCATGGTGTCAGGCTTGTGTGTGAGCCCTAGGCCGAAAGAATAGATGCCAATCTTCGCTGCTTCTGCTCGGGAGGCGACAAAGTCCACGCTGTCCGGATCTGAAGTGGACGAATCGCTGATGAGAAGGATATTTGACAGCGGGTTTGCCGATTTGCGTTGCATGAGCAGGTCCACTGCCACGTTGGCACCATCAACGACATCCGCGCGAACGTTCTTGCTGCCGATGGGTCTGATGGAACTCAGTGCGAGGCCCCATCCACCCCAACTTTTCGTTGTCATTCCGACGAGAGGCACACCTCCAGATTCGGCACCAAATGCGACCAGCCCCATGCGATCTCGCTCTCCAAGATTTGCTAGCAGAAATCGCAGAGTTTCCCTCAGGAGGTTTATCTTCAGACCTTGCATCGAGGAAGTGACGGGCACCACAACCACAATGTCCAAAGGTATATGCAGGGAGCAACCCAGCTTCATTTCGCGCCCACCACCGGCAGGCGAGTTACTATATTCTGTGGGTGCAGTGGCCTGCGATCGGTTGGCTCCGTACGATGATGGGACAGATGACACCCGCTTTTTTCTCCGTGACGTGTACTCGTCCTCATCAGTTCCCGAAAAGTCCTGCTCCAAGTCCTGCTGTATGGGTGCGAGCGGCGTAGGTCGGTTTATGTTGATGAGTGCCTTGCGCCACTGCCCGAGCTGTGTGCGATCCTGGAATTGGAGGTGGAAGGCAGGTAGTTCGACTACCGACAAACTCAAAGTAAGGATATCCCCTTCTGGCGACGTCTCAACGCGGCTCAGGTGCTTTTTGACGATAATAGAACCTTTGAGCGTGCATCGTGTTTGTGGCTTTGGTCCATCCCGCCCTTGCCAGGGTTGACTCCCGTTTGGCTGAATCTTCTTCTCTTTTACGCATATCAACACCTCACTGAACAAATAACATTCCAATTCTTGCCAGGTTTGCTTATCTTTGCCGACGCGAACAATTCCATGGATGATCAGCCTGCCAAACCGATCAAAATCCAAGCCGTGCCAATTGTCCACGCGCCGGTACAGTTCCTCTTTCGTCTCCTCGAGCGCGTTGTCTTCGTGCACGCTGTCAACTGGTTGTTCCGATACTGGACGAGGCTTCCGCTGCTCAAATCGTTGTTCTCGGGCGGGTGAAGGTAGTGGAGGGGGGCTTCGCAGCTCCTCTGGATGTGGACGCCATTTCCCTTCCACCACCTCCACAGTCACAAGGCAGGTCAAACTTTGCTGATGTCGAGATTTATTGATTGTCGGAAACTCACTCCTCACTGTCACAATAGGCGCTGGTATTGGATTGCGAGTGTTGAGTCGTAAGCGTCGTGGGCTTGCAAGAGATGCTTCCATCGATTGAACATCGTAGTCGTGCCGTCTGCCACTAGCATGATGGCTGTCGGCATAGTCAGATATTGGTGCGGTGTCGGCACTCGGGTGGCGGCCATGGCCATCAGAATTGGATGTATGTGAAGCAGAATAGCGCTCGTATGGATGACTGCTCAGCGGAGCTGGGCCGGGTCGCAAATGCTCTCGCGATATTCTTTGGGGTGGAAGTTGCTTTTGTGTGGCCGTGCTGGACCTTCTCGGCTCGTCTGACTCCCATGGCTGTACCGCAGCTTCGACATCCTCTGGTCTTTCCCTCAGATCGGGAGTGTGCGTCGAGCGTACGAGCCGGTTCAAATTGTCGAAGTCGACGTTTCCGCCGCGGCTGGTATCGAATCCCAAAGGCTTGTCACAAATTGGGCAATTCCGGACATCGAATTCCCTGATGAACTCATAGAAACATGCCTCGTGTGACACATGGCCGCACGAAAGTTGAAGGATTCGCTCTCCGCGAAGGATGTGTTCCAAAGGCTCCTCGCATGCGGCACAAAAGCTGCCGACGAATGTTCGCTCACGTCGATTGGTGCCTTTGGTGGCAAACATGTCGTCGGGCAGCTTGCTGATGGAAGCACGCTTCGAGGGACACGCTCCGCTCTATGTGTTCGTCGGGCGAAGGAGGCCTGGGCGTGGCGGGCGTAGGGTTCCTGGTAGGACTATTGTTGTTGGTCCGAATTTAGCAAGGTTGAGGGTGCAAGTTGGCTTTGCCGGGAAGCTGAGACAGAGTTCTGAAGTCAGCTACGTTCATTCGATGAGAGTCAGAGACACGACGAATCTTCGCAATAATCATTATTCACTAGTCATGGTGCGGGTAGGGCAGGTAGGTAGGTAGCTCCGTACTGATTTGTCTAATAATAATGCGCTGCCTCATCACACGTGCCGACGTTCTTCGCCTGCTCTTGTTCCTCGATTCAGGCTGTATCAGGCCCACGGCAGTTAGCTTTTCGACCGTCCTCCTCGAGTAGTGATCCTGCCTAGCCCGCTGTTCATCCGCAGTCGATAGGGCCAGAGCTGTTGGATAGCGCGTGCGATGCGGGCTGCGGGTCCGTATACATAATGGCAATGCTCCCGGCGGCCTGTTTCGTCTCGTTTCGTCTGGAGTGGTTCGCGTGGTTGCAAGGTCTAATTTAGAGGGGCAGTAGCACTCAGACACCAGGACATTCCCTGGCGGCTGGAGGGCCCGCGCGAGGCTGGCAGTGGGCTCTCGGAGGTGCGTACAGAGTACGGAGCGAGAAGGTCGGGCTGCCGGGAACGAGAGGTACGAGAAGAGCGCCGACCACGCCGCCGTCACATCAGAGGCAGCATCAGCATCAGCATCACTGAAAGCTCTCGACAAGCTAGCCCGGCCACAATGCTAGCGTTACACGGCCTGCAGGGCGGCAGAAGCAGCAGCAGAAGCGCATGGCATGCTCGATGCCGGCAAGATTGAACGTCCCCTGCCCTGCCCTGCCCTGCCCTGCCCTGCCCTGCCCTGCCCTGCAATGCCGGAGATTTAGTCTTCGTGCCACATGCAGCGTGGACATGATGGTGGCCACTGCATCGACGGCACAGCACTGCTACCGTGCTCGCGACTCACTCGACCTTCGGTGCACCGTGCGGGCATGTGGAAACGTGCCAGCGCCAGCATGCGCCGCACCCGAGCTCACCAGCGATTGAGAGTGCTTCCTCCTCGGAAGAGCCGTTGTCCGTTGCTGTACGAAGGGAAGGCTGTAACGGCGCCCGAGCCTCCCCATCCATGCCTCGCCTCGCCTCGCCTCTCCTACTGTACGCCGTCCCGCTGCTGTGGCCAGCGTGTTCCACGACAGCACGAGCACACGATCGTCGTGCGACGAGACAAAACGCAGAGGCGTCGAACTACCGCGCGCCTGGTTCACTGCACATTGTCCTGCAGGAAAGTGGCTGCAATCACGTCTGGCGGCTTGCGTGTAGTGAAGTTGGCGAGTTGCTGTGATGCGAGCTGTCCGCAGCACTACTGAAAAGCGCATCTGCACACTCCCAACGCTTCATCGTTGTGGACAGACGGTGGTCTAAAACTGCCGACTATGCAACCTTGAATGTGGCGCTCTCTGCCTCTGCCTGCCGCGCCTGGTGTCACTGTCATCTCTGTGCCGCTGCTTCCCGCTTTCTTTCTCTTCCCCTAAGTTACCTACTTTTCCACCCCTCCGCCTCTGAAACGCCTCCAAGATACATGTAGATGGCATAACATTGTTCAGGGAAAGGGGCACTCGGGCTAATCGTTGCCTCTCTGCAAGCCTGCCAACGCGCGCACCACCTTATTCCGGTCCGGCAGATCCTCCCCTCCTTCATACTACTGCACCTCTACCTCCACAGCCCGATCGTCAACAGAGATTGTTCGAAATTTTTATTATGCTACATGCCGACATCGACAAGACCCCGGTTTATTGCTCATGAGGACACCTTGTGCCCGATCATGTCAGCATATGAGCTTCAGCGAACGGTGCGATACGCCACGATGCGAACGCTGGTCAATTGCCGCTCGCCCAGGGGTGTGTGTGGTGATTGATGAGATTGGTGGTGACATGCTCCCTTGCCGATTGCCCACCTGCAAAGAATAATGGGCCTTGGGGACGGGAAACTTGAGTCACCCATCGTCTGAAGCCTATCGCAATGAACCATTATCAAGCATGGAGGGTCGCTCTTGCATAGAGCCATCTCAAAAGTGATCGCATGGGCTTGGGATCGGACTCGATCGGACTCGACTGTTGCACAACAATGTGCAACGCATCGACGATGGCTACTGCAAATGCACTATCCTACATCTGTCGTGGGACGACTATGTACACCGCGATTTAGCGAGATGGCGGACGGCGGTGATCCCTGAAAACGGGATCTAACTGGTTAAAGCTAGCGTACTGCCTAAAGGAATTATCCGCACCTTTAAAAAGTCTACGTCTAACGCTTTCAAGCTAGCTGCCGCTTACGGGGATTACCCCCGTCCGCCATCTCGCTTAATCGCAGTACTGATGTGACGGCATATGCATAAACCTACAGTGGAGGCTTGCAGGTACGCAGGAACAGCACGTGTCAACCAGCATATGGCTTTGCTTTCATCAATTGACTCTCACGAATCTGGTGTCACCGCCTAGACATCGTCACATTTGCCAACGACAAGCCAAGAAACCCTAACAAATTGACATGCAGCGAGTGACACAATCATTTCGACTGCGTCCGGGGATTTGCCCAGCATCGAGCCAATTGGCATAGCACGAATGCGACTCTTCACGACAATGAGATAACCGATGAGATGATGAAGAGCGGAGGAAGGTTCGAACGATGAGAAGGTTGAAAGTTTCGAAGCTCAAGCCAGACGACGTCAATCTCGCTGCATCTTGGCGCGTGCAACTCTATTCCATACCATACCGCGTTTCACGTGGTAACGCAGCACCACGCAGACATCGTCAGAAACAGAGCGGCTTTGCAGTATTTGCCCGACAAATCCGACATGTCCGCGACTTGAAGCTCGCATGTACGTCGTACTTTTTCGGAAGATGTGTTGCAGATGTTCTATGTCTGCTGCTATGTGGCTACAATGTTGATGGCTTTCCATCATGCCACCCATTCCAGCTTCTTATGCGAGACCAGCTATGGAATACGGATCGGTTGTTGGTCGGCTCAGGATCGGAAATCGAAGTCGGCAAAAGGGACCTTCAGAAATGGTTAACCTGGCTACCGGCTTCCAAATAAGCGCTAGCTTGTGACCGTTAGGTGAAGGATTAATATAGCGCTTTTTACGGACCTTCAGAAGAGGCCAATTGGTATGTAATTGAATGTGGTTTAGCGTTGTAAAGAGCCCCTAACAGCCCCTGTTCTAGACCTTCTAGGGGTGCGGACTTCAGCTGTTATATAGTAGTATAGCAACTATAGCAACAACTATAGAAAATGAAGCGATTGTCGTTACTGCAGCTACCGCATTAGCCGTAGTTGTTGCGAGTAAATACCTGGAAGAAGATAGCAGTAATAAGGAGCGGTAGGCATAGCGAGAAGGTGAATCTATACGTAAATATTGGCACCGCTAGTTACGCAGAAATCGACCATTCGAGCTAGCTAGAATCTACTTAAAACAGCGCTTCGATCTCTTCACTTATCCGGAGGCTAATATTAAAGGTGACTTCCGCTTTATAAGGGCTAAATTAATAGAGTTAGTAGACCTGCTAGATATTAGTTCAATCGTGTTACTAGTTAGACTCAAATTGCCCCCTTCTACGGTGCTTTGTATTATTTGCAAGCGCTTGTCTAGTCCAGGCTTCTAGAAGGATATAGATAACTTATTTAGGTACTTAGCAACTATACTAAGTTATATGTTCAATGCTATAGTATATAGCCTAGCGCTAAGATAGAAACCTTTCTTGTTCTTTAATAAGAGGCGGCTTACTAAGCAATATCTCCGGAGCCTAGCTGAGTCGCTATATCTATTAGTTAGAGTGTCTAGTGTATTTAGATATATCGACGGTACTATGCGGAAGATTGCTAGACCTAGTCGTAACTAGCGGGTGTTCTATAATAGCTATAAATACTTCTATAGTATTAAATTCCAAGGTATATAGCTAGCGGATAGAATACTGCTTATTAACGGTCCTTATCCTAGCTCTTATAGTAACGGCCGAATAGTGCGAGAATCGAATATCAACTAGCTATAGCACGACCTATTTAATAATAATATTATCGATAACAAGCTCTTTATATTCGGCGACTCTGTATATAGACAGGTAGACGGTATTATCGGCTCGTAGAAATCGAAGAGAGGCGGATATCGTAACCTAATACTAGCGTAGGTATCGAAGGAGTAGTTAGCACTGCGGCAATTAGTAGAATAGGGGTTTAGTAAAGTGTTAAACAACTGGGCGTTCTTCGAATACAAGAAAGGTCTACGTACGGGGTTAATGCTAATCGGGTCCTGCTATCTAGTAGCGGTATTGCTTACTAACTGCCTGTCGTGTTATCGTAGCAACAAGGTCGCTGCCTACTATAATTTAAGCTATCCGGATATTAGGGATTATCTAGGTGCTGAGCTGCTACTAATGCCGCCGGTAGGTATAGAAATACCGGATCTAATACGCGCAAACCTATCTAGTAATAGTTTTAAGGTTGGGAGTAATATAGAAGATATAGGGGAAGTGGTTGTTGATAATAGTAATAAAGAATAGTAATAGATTAGTTATTGTGTATAGTGTATATAATGCTAAGACTTATATCAAAACTCTTCCGTTCTCTATACTAGTCCTCGTATAAGACTCGGAACAGCATCGGAGGGTCGTTTTACTATAGCTAGAGCTATATTGATTGCTGCTTGATGTCGTAGCTATAGATAGAAGTAGAGAAGAGCTAAGAACCGCTAAGACCTACGATATTTCCGGAAATCTTCAAAATTCGACCTTAAAAGCGATATTATAACGGGTAGTATTACAAACAGCGACAACCAATCTAAAGAATTCGCCTCTTACTAGGTTTCTTACTAACACCGGAATATACCTAAGCTCTAAATGCCTACTAGATTACGCCTAATTTAATCCTCCTCGCTTAAGTCTAATATCTCGATTATACGAACATCTACGTACTAACGATTGTCAATCTCTAATACCTAATGCTTCCGACACCTACGAGACAGTTCTATCGCTATTATAGCCGTCGTCACTACCTCCTATTAGCGTCAAAACGTTAGCAACAAGGCCCTCTTCCAAATCTAAGCTAAAGTCGGTAACCTAAGACAACTACGAAGGAACAAGAGGAACATATCTAACACGGCTACTAACTAGCAAGGCTCTAAGCTTATTAAATTGACGTACCGTCGACGTATACATTAGCTTTATACGCTTCTTAGAGCGGTTGTCTAGGTCGTCTATACGGCGGATTAAATGATAGTTGTTTGCCTTAGATAAGTTAGTAGGTCGACTCGCTAGTGCAGTAATTGCCTCTCGAAATAGCTCTAACACTCGACTTAACGACCTCTCCTTATTTAGCTGCTTCTTACTATCGATATCCAACCGACGGCGCGTTATATACAGAGTCGCAGGAACCTTAGAAAGAGCTAGGCCTAGTAATAGAGTTGATAGTGCTAGAGCAACAATTGGACTCGGTGTTAATGGACTTATAAACGCTATTGGATCTTAGACTCGCTACAATATAACACGGAGCATATTGTCTTAAACCTGCTAAGCTAGAGTCTTATAACTGCGCAGCTCTTTAGGCGTAAGAAGCTTCTCGCGGAGCTTCTTATTATTTAGTAATACAGTATCCTTAAAGCGATTAAGTATCTATTTAAACTCGGAGTCCTTAGCAACTATACCGGAGGCCGTTAAGAGCGCTCTATACTCGACAACTCGCTTTGCAATCTACCTGCGAATAAGTGTATCTATACCCTTAATAGCACGCTGTCTAGCAGGCTTATAGTCGTTGTACTACTTCTAACAGCGCTTAACCATATCTCGGATCCGACCTTCTATATAATAGCTAGCATTAGCCTCGAAGTGCTTAATAATTAGCAAGGCAAAATCGTCCGATATGCGGCTGTCGCTATTAACTCGATTGTAGTCGTCTTCTACGCCTTCTAGTAGGTTAAAGTTGTGCTAAGAGTCTTTAGTAGCAGTAGAAGGCTAAGAGTCGCTTAAATCCAGTGTAGGCTATTAGACTACAGCCTATTGTTGTTATTCCTGTTGTTGTTGTTCCTATTGTTATTATTCCTATTGTTGTTGTTCCTATTGTTGCCGCTACCGCTCGAGGTAAGCCGTTAAAGAGGTGTCTATACCTCTTTAAATAACCGGCCTCGGTAGAGTTAAAATTAGTGTCTAGTTAGTAGCTATACTGCTCTCGCTGTCGCTATTATAGCTTAAATTAGTCAATAAGCTTACTACGGACATAGAGCGACTATGCAGTAGCCGCTTAATAACCGACTAGATTAGAGGCAATAGACTTCCGACTAAATATAGCTATGTTAAAGAGACATCTATATAAAGAGGGTTACCTTAAAGAGCTACTCGAATAGGTGTAGGCGGTGCCTGCAGTAGTAGGTAGACTAGAGTAGTAAAGGCTAGTATAGAAGAGCCGGAGCCTAGGTCGATAATACGAGAGGGATAAGAGGGGGGGTCTATAGTAGCTATAATCGAGAATAAGGGTAGTTATACTAACAATTGAAGACCTCTTATGCTTCTATAGGTAGCTCTTATCCTATAGACGATATACTGTAATCAATCCTCGAATTTAGGTTCTACCTAGTAGCCCCTATTGCTAATTACAATAACGGCTATATACCTAGACCTTTATATATATAAGTTAGTGCCCTCTCGTACTGCTATCTCGAAGACCTAATAGCTACTTTCTACCTCGCTGTCGTAGGAGCCAATTTGCCTTTAATAAGCTAAGCCGGACAGGGTTTAAGCTACCTTCTACATTCTTCTAACACCTAACTTCTTCTAGCTAAGGCAGGATTACTACCCCTGCGAGTCGTAAATATAGTATCTTATATGCTTTTGAACGCGCGCGTTCAAAAGCACGGTCCAAGGTCTACGAGTTGATAATTCACCCCTATTCAAACCGGCGGTCGAAGGATGCGGTACTAACCTTCGCATCCACCTTGTTCCCCGACTGCGCGAAATTGGTGGCTTCTGAAGGTCCCTAAAAACATGACTCGAAGCAGTCCAAAAGAATACGCTATTTCCAGAGTATGCACGACATTTTTCTAGCGGAGATCTATCAGGCATGACTCGTATTGCGAACGCCACTGATTACGATCTCCTACTGATTTGACCTCGAGTTATAACACCAATTTTCTATGCGTCCGAATGGCCCTCTGAGCTCAGACTCCACGACTTCAGCTCAGAGCTGCTGCATGCCGCAATATATGCACAAGCCCGGAATTTTTATCATGGAGTTCACAATGATATCGCTCGTTATCACAAAAGAGGCGTTCTCCGTTCGCCGCCTTGCGCGGCGCCTCTTAGTGCCATCTTGGATGCTGCTTATGCCGCTCCATGGCACGCCGTAAGCCACTTCGCAAACTCGACCCGGGTTACTGTCGTTCTTGACTTCTATGATACTGGTCATGAAGGCTGCTTCATGTCATGTTGATCGGAGGAGACTGCAGTTGCCAAAGTGACCGCGGGTCCACTCACATTCTCCTAGAGCAGCACCAACAAATGCAGTGAGATCATTGAAAGCAGTCCACCACGCTAGGCTGGTGACCCTCCCTCCCACGTGGTTTTCATTGCACTCCACCATGACGCAAGCGCGAGCGAGGAAGAATCGGAGATGTCTCCTGCTCCATCTAGCGTTCTGAATCCTGTTTGTCGACATTGTTGTTATTATTCGCTATTATTCGCACGCAAGAACGTTTGGTCCGATCCTCCTGCTTGCAATCCTCGGCCGACGGGAGTCGTATGGATCTAAGCGAGTTCGAAGTGGCAGCAGCCGCTACATCCTTCACTGGGCTGCAGAACTCTGCTCTGCACTGAGCTCCGATGGCGTTGCATGTGAGGCCTCTGGCAGCTCGGTAGCAGCACGTATCAATCCGCATTTCGCCGACTGGAGGCAGCCGGTTGCAAGATATTGCAGACCGTGCTGCATTCGTGCTGCTCAAATCATGATCAACAAAAGCAAGCCAACTCGGTCTGACACCTCGGAACCCTTCTGAGTAGCTACCACAATAGTTGTCATGAACACCGATGCTCGGGACAAAAACAACCACGAACCACGGGCCGTGCACACACGCTGCCTTGGGATGTTCCGTCCAGAAATTTGTCCTGCATTGGCCTCGCCCAGGTGGAAGCGTAGGGCAGACTGGTTGATCACTGCCATTCTTCGCTAATATCACATGCACAAAGGTTGATCAATCTCTTGGCCAAAGCCAGCTGTTCTATCATGTTATACGAGTATCGGTCCTTCTCAATCTCGTTGATCAATAAGAGTTAGAGATGCTACTCGAAGTAACGGCATTGGCTGTGCGAAGCTATACGACCTCTGAAAAATTGCCAGTAGTAAGGGCGAGCAGCATTAAGTCACTAGCATATGAGAGCCCTCGGACGTCACATGAGAAAGTAAATTCAAGCTGCTTATCAGGAGCTAATAGACTTGAGCCGTGCTCAGCCTCGGCCTGCAAGAAAAGCCAACCTGTGAATCGGCTGAGCTGGAGCCTTGCGGAGCATGGTCAGGCTGATCGACAGAAAGCATCACCCATGAAATGAGATATTGTGTACCTCTGTCGCGCAAAACTGGTCCATCAGTGTGTATGTCACTGCATGCCACTCCAGTCTGCAAATATATTGTGATCGCGCTTGATGTTTTGTGCTAAGGAAGGATTAGGGAAGGCACGAGCAGACTCAATATGAGCGCCTTCCAGGCTTAGCTCCATCCACAAGAAGTAGCTACCGACTGGCACTTACAGTCGAAAATCCTTATGCCTGCAGGAGCGTTAGGAAATATCGCGAGAAGCGTTTCTATTCACCCTTCTTGAGTCGATCTTCTTCAACTCAGTCGCACTTCTATCAAGATTCGCGTGCACATTGTTTGATCGCATCGATATCGTTGCAGCACTCTGTAAATACACATCCAACGAAAGCTTCTCCCTCCATGAAGAATATCAAAATGGAAGAGTCGAGTCTGATCGATTATTCATCCAACGTCCAGCGTCTCTTCCTCATTTCAACCACTCTTTTAACTGTACATTGTCGCCCGAAGCCCGACATTCCACGGCCGTTCCCATCATTACCAATTATCATTACTTCATAATCTCGTTCGACGCCTCGTAGACAACGCTGACACCTTCTATGCCCCAGACGCAACACTAGGCTTCCTACTCGCGCTTGGTGCCATCATGCTCCTTGCACCAGGAACGACACTCCCTCGACGAGCATGTACCATACCGTCAGCATCGACTATCGGGCCAGGATTAGTGTTAGTGCCCCAGAAATTGCCTCCACCGCTGGTACTGCTGCCAAAGGCGCCACTGCTGCTTTTCGCTCCTGCAAATGCGGATGACAGCATGCCTTTTATTCGATTCACTTCATACTTTCGCCGAAGCGGGACTGGCATGGGTTGATAGATAGGAGCGCCGCCGAAGTGTCGAGCAATGCTGCTCATGACTGCGTCCTTTTCTTCTTCGCTGTCCACGGGTCCAGAAGGTAGGTCATTGTCATCCGGGTTTGGAGCGTTGGCGTCAAAGGCGGCTTTCTGCATCTTGGCTTGATTCTTACGCTGGTATTCCATGAGAAGCTTGTCGTATGGTGCGCTTCGTCCGGGTACTGCTCGCTTTGCTCCCATGGAGTGACTCTTGCATGTCAGGCTACGGGCGCATTGACCACCTTGTGGTAACTCGACACCACATTGCTTCTCTACGTCTACAGGGGCTTTAGGGCGTGGTGCCTTAGTCTTGGGCTCGTCCTTCCTTTTCTTCTTCTTCGTAGGCGCGCCTTCCTCGCCTTCATCTGTCGCTTTCCGCTTCTTGCTCGCAGTCATGCCCCCGGTCTTTGAAGCAGTCTTCTTCGATCCATCTTCTTCCTCCTCATCGCTGTCGCCAGCCTTCTCCTTCCGCGCGGCAGCATCTCGAGCGTCCTTTGCTTCTTTCTTTTTCCGCTGCTTCTCTTGCTTCTTGTTCAGACAGCGTTCGACATGCTTGGACATAGCATGCTTGGCAACAGGCCGCTTGCAGTGGTTGCATCGCAGCGTGTCTGGCTTGTCGGCCATGAGCTTTCCGTTAGGGAAAGCCTTGGCCAAAATCGAAGGCACCTTGTTGATCGCCGGTGTCGTTCTGGCATTTGCATCTTTTGCTTTGATCCCTGTACCGGTATTGACCTCTGTGCTCCAGCTACCAGCGTGCTTCACTCGCGGGAGCTTCTCTTTGACGTCTTCCACAAAGTCGGACGTCGGCTCGTTCTCCAGATCGTCGAATAGATTTTCGAGTGGGATGCCGAGTGTATTGCTCTCCTCGGTCTTGGTGGTGCTGGGCTTCGATGCGGCGGGAGCTGGTCACATCACATGCATGTTAGATTGGCTGGAATGAGAAATGACGGTGTAGAGGACAACTTACTCTTGCGACTCGCTGCGCCGTTCGTCGCCATACTGTAAGCCTTTATGCGCCGCTGTATGAGTTGCTGTGCGGGAGTATCGGGAAATCTGCGATATGTCGTAGTGCTCGATCTCCCACCAGCACCAGAGATTCCACGACGTTGGTGTTGTGATGGCGCGCGCGACGGAGCGACAAGGGCGAGGCTTGCCGAACTCCGAGCGGCCTGAGGCTTACACATCTTCAGTGAGACTCGAAGCATCTTCGACATCAATTCACACTTGATCCTCACCATCAACATAATGCACAAATAACACGACCATGCCGCTCCTGGGTTCGACCATGGAGGGCAGAAGTGATATTTTTCAGAGACTGAAACCCCCATGTGTGGCGCTCAGTCAGGCCGCCCTCGCCCTGAACGGCGCAAACAATGACACACAGGAAGTTGTGCAGAGGCTCGAAGATCTCAAGCAAGTCCTGTCAACGGCCACAGCAAGATCAGATAATCTCGACGCCAAGCTTGCGGACTATGTCTTCTTCCCCTTGTCACATGTGCTCAAGGCCAGTCAGAAGGCGTCAATTCGATGTCTGGAACTCAGCATTCAGTGTCTGGCAATCCTGGTGGAACACGGCTGGCGCTTCCACATACAGCCTCAGCTGGCTGCGCAAATCATGATTCTCTGCACGCTGATGGCTGAGAAGAAGCCACAAGGTCTCATCTCTGCTGAGAGCACAGATGAGCTGCAAGCAAGTGCTTTGTGGTGCCTACATCACGTCTTCAGTGCCATCACACCGGCTTCCGAAGCCAAGAAAGTACTTGCAGCTGAAGCGAACGTCCCTCAGCTTGGCCAAACGATCAGTACTATTCTGGACGGCGTCAATGATGGAGGGTCGGCAGATGTCCAGATGGCTGGAGTGAGTGCTTTGGGAGCACTTGTGAGGAATATCGCCACACGAGATATGCAGGCCGCCTTTTTGCCTGGTATTGTTTCTAAGCTCACCAAAGTGCTGACACCACAGACACAGCAACGACGCAATCATGTGGTGCTGGTCTCTGGTCTGCAAATCTTGGCATATCTCTTTGAGAGTACCTTGGGTGATGATGTTGCCGATAGTGTTTCCGCACAGAGATCTAATGGCCGAGAGCCACCCGAAGCGACTACTCGCGTTAACGGCGAATGGTTGGAGACTGCGGCTACCCAGCTGAAGCCCGCGCTTGCAAGTATCCTCCGTCTCAAAGATCATCGGAGACTAGAAGTCAAAGAAGCACTCGCGCAACTTGGCTTCACTGTCCTCAAGCGGTGCAAGACCACGCTTGAGAACTGTGCATCAATGTGTCTCGAGGTCATTGTTCTGCTTTCGTCTGAAGAGAACGCAGACAGCCTGAGATTCAGGCTCGAAGCAGTCGTGAACGGTGACCCAACGATCTGTTCTTTACTGCAAGATACTTTGAATGATTGGTTGCGCTCCTTGCCGACACGAATGCAAGCTGCAGACAATCAGGCCAAGATCCAGCGCATGCAGCACATCAGAACGGCTCGTGATGTCTTGGTAGACGCAAGCGTAAACACAGATATCATCGATCGCGAGATTGCCAGTGTATTGCGAGATAGCGTGGTCATCGTCTTGCAGCTGCCTGGAGCTAAGCAACAACCATTGCCAACAGTCTCTCAGGTGCAGGCTCTTGACACTGCTGTGATAGAGACGCAAAGATCCAATACGCATTTCGGTTCTGCTCTCGCGCAATTTCGAGGCCAAGAGGAGATTTTGGATATGGTACACGAACTTACGAAGACCGTCAGCACCTCTACAAGCTCAATTGCCTTCAGCGCTGACCTCGCGAGATCTCTGCGGCAAAGCCACGGAGATGTGCAGGTTGCCAATTTCTGGCTGTTGTTAGAAGCAACTCGATTTGCGCTTGAGCAGAACCGTAACGCTGATGCTTTTCTCAACTTCGATGGCAATAACAGCGGGCGTCATTCGAATTTTTTGGAAGATCTTTTTGCATTCTCACTGGACATCTTGACAGATACCTCCGACGAACCGACAGATCAGCGTCTTCAAGCACTCGCATTACAGACCTTAGCACTTCGGGCACAGACCACTGGCCAGGATTTTTGCTACGAGCTAATTGATGCCCTGTATCCCGTGCTACATACCCTGGCGACCCCGAGTGAAAGATTACAGCAAGACAGTATCGCGACTTTGAACATCTTTACGGCTTCCTGCGGCTACGGGTCGGTCAAAGACCTGATTGTTGAGAACGTTGACTACCTCACGAATGCGGTGGCACTGAAGCTCAATGCATTCGACGTCAGTCCGCAGGCGCCGCAAGTACTGCTCATGATGGTACGTCTAGCTGGTTCCGGTCTCCTTCCATATCTCGAGGATACCATTGATAGCATTTTCGCCGCGCTCGAGGACTATCACGGGTATCCTTTATTGGTGGAATTGCTCTTTCGAGTCTTGAGTGTTGTGGCAGAGGAAGGCTCTAGGGCCCCGCAGCTGGCCATTACTGATAGCGTGCGTAAAGACCTGCACCAAATGCGCACGGACAATTGGGAGCCCACTCAATGCTCTCAATTGAGTCAGTTGCTAGCCGAGCGGGCTGCAAGTGATGCTTTGGTATGCACACAAGAACGTGCAAGTCTTGAGCCACATCCACAGAGGCCCTGGAGAAGCGATCTGAAGAGTAAAGAAGATACCCTTGCCGAAGAGCATGATGATATGGAGGAAGAAGAGGAGGAAGAGGACAGCCAAGCACAACCTGTGGAAATTCCGGATCCACCACCGCCAGCACCGAAAGTGTACAATTTGCTGTTGAAGATATCTGACCTGACCCAGCATTTCCTGCCGTCAGCGTCAGCATCACTCAGGACCTCGCTACTCATGCTCGTCAAGACCACAACACCAGCCCTGGCACGGCACGACAATTCCTTCTTGCCTCTCGTCAATACCCTGTGGCCAGAGATTGTTTCGAGACTCGAGGATGAGGAACCATACGTCGTTGCCACTGCACTCGACGTCATTGCTTTGCTGTGTGAACACGCAGGCGACTTCATGCGGAGCCGCATTCAGCAGCTTTGGCCTGCTCTTCTCGAAATACATTCCAGGATTGTTAAGGACATTGTTCAAGTTGCTCAGTCCGCCAAAGGAAAGCATACTCAAGACCGTGGGCCTAGTGCACTCGTGTTGAGCAGCTCGCGATTGAAACAAGCCCTCAGCCGCATGCGCGGCGCGCCGGCAGAATACAGCGATACATCAACGAGGCTTGTTTGGACGGCACTCGTCCACCTCTACACAGCGATCGTGAGATATGTGCCCATTCAGCCCGAGCAGTTCGATGAAGTGCTTGTCGTGTTGGAGCCTGTTCTCGATGATAATGATGTCCGCGAAGCACTGGAAGTAGTGAACCCGGACGCAGTCTGGTTGGTTCGACTCAGAAATGGCGACATACCGCTTCCATCAGCATTAAAACTCCCTCACGGCCTGGCCGACAGGTTTGCCGCTGTTCCAGGGTGAAGCATCAATGGTGACGATACAGTCAGATGAAGCAAACCGAATTTGGTCTTCCAAATGCGATGTACCTAGTACTCGTATTTTGAGAGTAGACCGAGAATCTTTCCATGCATGCGATAAATCAGAAATGACCACGCGGAGCTCGGTCCGTGCATGTTTGCATGAACGTGCTGGCGACAATCAATACCGTTTGCCATACACCCTGCCAAGCACGGTGGGTCGCAAACAGTATGATTGATCATGGAGAAAACATTAGCATCAAACATTCAATGCTCGAAGTCGCACGCAAATACAAGAAGAGATTAATTCCATCTTTGCGTCAACTTCGAAAGTTGACTCCATCACACTCATCGCACATTTATCTTCATCTCCTGCGCTCAATGCCCGGCGTTCAACATTGATGTAACCAGTACAACCCACGACATCCCTCTCCGGCGGCCCTGCTCTCTTCTTTAACGCAACATCTATCTCTACACCAAGTCGCGCGCAATCCTGCGAACTCCCGGCGAACGCCTCGATCAAATCTGTACCACCGATCGCATTTTGTACCACCATCCACGCCGTCCGTCTCCGCGATCATGTGCTACCACCAATACACTCACTTCCCACGCTGCGAAGAACATATCCCAATGCACACCCATATGTGCGACAAGAACCTCAACAATGATCAGACGCGCGTCATCTTTTGCGAAGACTATCAGATCGTTAAAGTTACAACTACTTACTCTTGTCCGCATTGCGAGAGAGCACAATCTGTCACGACTCCCACGAGCTCGAATGGAAGACAAGCTTATCCGACACCGCCTAAGACTGGGACGCCGGGGTCTGCAAGGTGAGGTGAGGAAATGAGCTGGATTGGTGATGAAATTGCCACGGTAATGAGTTCTTGATCGATGGGGTGGTTAAACGATGCTGTGCTGGAGGCTGAAGAGTGCTGTCAGGATAAGGTGTGCCGCAGATCTTGTTGCAATGGGGCGAACTTCCGGGAAACCGCGAGCACTGCAGGATAGCAGTGCCTGAAGCTCTGGTCGCCGGCAGGGATAGCATCTGTCCACGAAGCGAGGGAGGAATGGAGAGACATGTACGATTGGGATGGTCAGGCTGGAGATGCTGTGATTACAGGTGCGGCTGACGAAAGTTTTGGTGTTGTATATAATCAATTCAATGGTCGCTTCTACTGTCTCAGTCCTTGAGCATTCTGTCCTGTCTCTGCTGCTTAAGGTAATCACAGGCTGCAATAGAGTCTCGTCTTGTATTCGATAACTTTCGATATGCATTGTAGGATGAGCATTCAAGGCCTCTGTGTCCAGCGCCTGCTGATGTTCATGTTGTTCATGTACATATTGGCCCATCGCTTCCAACTCTGTCTACCCTACCACACTGCTTGAAGTCCTTCGAGTGCCTTGAATCGTATCAAAGACCATGAGCGATGTTCTATTTTTTCGGCTGACTCCCTCCTGTTGGACGTGCCACTCGCACGTGTCGCGCTCCTCAGGCGATTTGCTCGGATGATGACTCGTTTTTGCGCAGTTCTATAGTCCTTCCGAATGCCTCCGTCGCAGTCCAGAGCCAAGAGCGGTCGTCTATACCTTGCAGCGAACCCCTTCCTCATGGACGTGCCACTCGCACATGTCGCTCTTCTCGAACTCGTCGGGAATGAATTTCGGGCGCTTCTCGAGCATGTACTTGAGGAGATCATCCTTGAACTTGGAATATGTAAGCATCTTGCGCGGAGACGCCTTCATTGCGACGTCAAGCGACACAACCACAACCGCAACAGCGTTGCGCAGAGCAGTGCTCGTCGCAGAAGCGGCGTGCGTCACTGTGGGCAAGGGAACGAAACGTGGATACACACATTGCGGGCTTCTTGTCCGGAGTGCTTGGAAGCGCCATTGCTTCGCGACCTGTCATGTTGATGTGGTTGGTGCGAATGTGTCAATGTGATGGGAAGAGAGAAAGAAAGGAAGATATCTTAGTGGATGATTACGGTTACGCCTTCCGGATGCGATAGCATGACGTTAGCTCGCCATGACATTTCTCGCCACCTGCTTCACTCCAGGAGTGCGAAGTGAGCTCAAACAAGCGGCCGCAGCGAAACAGTCTGTGATCGACGAGGACGGGCCTCCTGATTCCATCTTGCAGCGCGATGTGACCCCTCGGTAATGCAATCGCTGTCCAGCAGTGTCATCCAGTCGTGGGAGAATTCCCTAGGCTCCTGTGTGGCACCCATATGTCGCGAAAGATGAACATTCCTGGGCCACTACTCCTTCTTGCAGCAAGCTCCTTCCTCGTGTACATGCCATTGGCACTTGTCAAACTTGCTGAACTCGACTGAGCTAAGATAACGTGGTCGATGCTCGAAGAAGTATTCGAGTGACTCCCGCAAAGCCTAGACTTTTGTCAACTTTACGCTCCATGCAAATGGCAAACGTATCATCTATTCCCTGTCACCCACCTCTGATGGGAAACTCCGGAAATATTTCTGGAAAGTTTTCAAGCCAATCCTGCTGCATATTGTTGCCAGCAGCCAGCCACGTAGGCCTGCTCCTTCTGATGTATTTTCCCAAACGTACTGTAGCGAATACATCGGCGTGGTGCGATGAGTGAGGCCTTCTAGCGCAAGGCGGTCCAGGACCTCATTCTGGAGCAGTGGTATGTTGCGTCTGTCTCCAAAACACCACAGCTTGAAAAGTATGCGCCACGCGGAGTCAGATTGTGGATCTTCGACTTTGGGGAGTACACGAGTATACAGCCATCCGCGAAAGAGGTTGAATATCTCTGGCTCCTCGTCCGGCAGGTTGATGGCACCGTCCTGCGCCTCTGCGAAGCGACCGTTCTCAATGTTCTCGATGGCGGTGCGGAAGTATCCGGAGTAGAAGCGAAGCACGCCCTTGTACATGTCGAAGGTCTGCATTTCGCTGCCGGTGCCAACCTTGATCTGGATCATGCTGTCGAAGTGCTCACTGGATATTTGCCATTAGTGCCAGCTCATATAATAAGTGTCTCGCTCTGGCGACAAAGCGTCTGTCAATCGGTGATTATTGACTTACGCAGAAGGCCGCTTGTCTGGCGTGCTGGGTAGCGCGACCATTGCGCTGGCCTCTCGGTTGCCGCTCATGCTGCACGACTCGAGGTGGGAACGTGCTATGCCAGTGTGATGATGGAAGTCGCGACAAGTCTCAATTCGTGGAGCTGCGTGGAATTGGAGCAGTGACGAATCTTGCAGGAATAGCTTTATGTGAGAGCAGAGTGAGGCTTCGAATCCACTTGATGATCAAACGAAGCCATTCCAGCGTGACAGCGCAACAAGCAGCCAACAACAGGTACAATCTGTCAGTCAGACTACTGAAACCATCGCAGTGTCGCGTACGGAGGTAGGCGCGAGCGCGACCGCCAGCGACAGCGACAGCGACAGCGACAGCGACAGCGCCACGGCCAGGTGCGACTCCGCGCATCAGCGCAACATCTGCCCTTCACCAACAATCCACAAGCAGCTAATAATGTCTACGAGGCCGGCGTACGATTCCGATGAAGCAAAACGCCAGATCTGTCCGACAGCCGTGGCTGAAGCAAGATATTCGCGCCATACTACCATGAATGTCAGTCCTCATTCCGCAACCCAGCATCCACTTCTCAAGATACAGTCGACAAGAACGGTGAACCACGACTCCGCACGATGGCAAGATTCTTTGATCTTGGGCAGTGAATTGATACAAGCTGGTCATGGTGCAGAAGCCAAGCTCGCCGTCCTGTTTGAAAGCCCATGGAAAAAAAAGAAACACACACCTGAACAGCAAAACGAAACGCCCCAATATTTTTTTCAATTGGGACGGAAGCGAAATCCTCTTTCGTCATCACTTTTGGTGAATCAGCAGTTAGCAGATTTTGACTTGTCATCAGACGCCTTAACCATTGCGCCATTTGGGCGGCTTACATTGGAGTTTCTGATTGAATGTGAAGGGGTTTCTGACGTATATGTAGCTTAACGCGTGGTGCACGTACCTTGGCAACGGCCGTGATTTTCGTGTCATGATGGAAAGAACGCACGCGGACAGAGTACGCCGCTCACCAAACGTCCGTCTTGCGTAATTAGGATTTCCTGGGTATCACAATGAAGAAAAGAGGCATTCTCATGCCTCGCCACGCTCTCTCGCAGCCTTTCGGGCAAGATAACGTGCCTTCGCGTCGCCAATGTCCTTCTCGGTCTTGGTGGATTTGGCGGCCTTCTCTTGCCGAGCGCGTTCTTCCTCTTCCTCCTCTCTCGCGCGCTTCGCACGCTCAGCAAGCTGCTCCTCCATAATTCGAGTTTGCCGCTCACGAGAAGCTTGCTGAGAGGAAGCGTTTCGTAATGGGAAGGCAGATTGTGCTTGCCTCTTATCGCTTCGCAGGTGATCCGAGCCGCCCTGACCAGAGGATTTGCCTGATGGCGCAACATTCAAACCAGCTGTGAGCAGCTCTCGCTTATCCGTGATCTGGCCATCCTCGTTAACGTGCACATTGATACCCTTTGCACGCGCTTCTGCAGCCAGTTCTGCATCGGACTTGCGCTTCTCCTCGTCTTGAGCCAGCTTGACACCTTCCTTCTCTGCCTTCTCAGCGGCCTCAAGAGCTGCCTTATGCTGCTGCTCCTGTTGGTCCATCATCGTGCGATAGAAGCCCTGCATGCCACCACCCATTTGCCTCTTCCGCTTCTCCTCTTCTTCTTGCTTCTTCTTCTCTTCCTCCTCCAATCTCCTCGTCTCTTCCTGCTGCGCCTTATACGCACCTGTGACGAACTTCTCCTTGTCGGCGAATTCGTCACCTTCCGCTTCGCGCTCTTTCTGCAATAGCTTCTCACGCGCGATCTGCTGGTCTTGTTTTCGCCGTGAAGCAGCATCTAGCAAGTTGCCAATGTACTTTGGCTTTCGCTCAATAGCATCCTGCTTCTCCGCAGCTTTCTTTGCCTCTGTCACGGATGTCTTCGCATCGTGGAATGTGTCGTAGTCGAAGATTGACGAATCTACTTCTTCTGCAGCTTTGACTTGCGCTTTCGCGGCTCTCAAAGCTGACAGGTCTTGCCGCGAATCTTCATCATCGTCCTTCTTCGGCGGCAGCTTAGGCTTTGGTCGATTCAAGCCAGGTGCTGGTTTTGAAGGCGCCTTGCCGCCAAATGTGGTGATTTCTTCTTCAGCTGGTCCAGAGTGCTCTGGCTCGTCATCATCGCCGTCCTCATCGTCTAAAAGTGTTCGTCGAGTCGGCGCCTGCGCCTTTTTCTTGAGGTTCAGCCCATACTTCAGAGACATGATGTTGATGTGCTGTTGTGGATATTCTGAGAAGAGCAAGCCGAACGAGTCGGCCCGATTTCCTCCTTCGCTGCTTTCCTCGAGGGTAACCTGGTCCCAATGGCTACGACGACGAGCACATAGTTAGATACAGATAGACAATTTTTGGAACAGAACACCGCATCTCCAGTGTCAAGTACTCAGGATGCCCCTATCAGAGAACCATGCTCGCAGTCTGCGAGGAGAAATGCACTATGCATTCACTCCAGAATTGATTAAGCTTCGCGACAGGACCCATCAAGCCATAGTCAAATACAACAACGCCAACACTGCCGAGCTCTCACGAAGAAAGCGTGTAGAGCTGTGGAACGAGTAAATCCTGTCATGTTCCCATTTCGATTCAAAACTCTTGCTGACAGTATCTCAGAATTACCCAAGACTCGACTCCCCTCCCACCACAAGCACCAACAGAAGAAGATGATGATCTTCTCTTCGCCGAACATGCTTGGGTCGAACCTCCATTCCATGCAGATTATGGGACCAATATCTCCCTGGGCAAGAATGTCTTCATCAACTTCAACTGTACTATCATCGACACATGTAAAGTAACGATTGGAGCTCGGACACTGTTCGCTCCTGGAGTTTCACTTTATGCCGGCTGCCACCCCATGGACCCCGAAGTCAGGAATGGTACGAAAGGACCTGAAATGGGCGCTGAGATTCATATTGAAGAAGATTGCTGGATTGGTGGGCAAGCGATTATCTTGCCTGGCATCACGATTGGGAGGGGAAGTGTAGTTGGGGCTGGGAGTGTGGTGACCAAGGTAGGTTTTGACGAACTGGAAGAATTTCTTGGCGACTGACGATGGTTTAGAATGTGCCACCATATACTGTGGTCGCTGGCAACCCGGCCAAGAAGATCAAGGATGCGCCTCGAAATACGCACGAAGAAGTGACCAGCGGCGCACTCGAAGTCGTGACCAGAGAGGCTAGCGAAGATCAATCTTGGCGGCAGTACAGCGCGAAAAAGGATTGAATGCTTGAAGTCTACCTCTATCGACTCGAAACGCTAATTTCATCTATGTCCTGAACCTCCATCTCGGGTCTGTATCGCCCTTCCATTCGCCATCAAGGATCTCGGGTTCCAATCTCGCCTTCTCATCACGCTCCCTATTGATTTTCCTCAGCAGCCACCATAATGTACTCACAACTACGATGTTCCCGATCAAGTATGCAAGCGCGACGCTGTGTCCTACAATGTATCTCGGTCCATCATGTGCACGATACAATTGCGTTCCGATCACAGCGCCCAGATTTCCGATCGTGATTTGCAGACCATTTGCCGCGGCGCGCTTGGTCTGCCCAGAGACATTCATCGCAGGCCAAGAGAGTCCAAGCGCGACCGAAGGATATATACCGGCTGCTGCGAAGAACACGCCTGTATACGATACTCCTGGTCGGTGGGTAGGATTCGTGTTACCAAGAAGAATGCAATAGCCGATAATGGCTGTTGTGGTGGAGGCGATGATGAAGGGAGCTCTTATTCCAAATCTCTCCGAGACGATGGCGTAAACGACTGTCAAGATGGCAGCAAGTGCATATGGTGGTACGGTCAGAAGCTGAGCTTGCCAGGTTTTGTAGCCCAGAGCAGCGATGATCGATGGCTGTTGAAGAGTGAGTGACGCGCCGCCTGAATCTCGGTAATAATTACTTACCAAGAAGAGCGACAAAGTGTAGAGCGGCAGACTGAGCGTATGGAAGACGAAGTTATAAAGCCAGACCTTCGGATCCTTCAGCGCAAGCACGACATTCGACCAGCTGAATCCTTCATTCTGCGTAGCGTCGCTATCGGCCTTCAACCGAGCGTTGATGAAAGCTCTTTCATCCTCACTAATGAACTTCGCTTTCGAAGGCCAATCCGCAACGAACCAGTATGCAGCAATCGCAACGAGACACGTTAGAATACCTTCAAGGATGAAGATCTGCAATGTCCACAAACGTCAGTTACGCATTGCATAAAGAACAACACGAGACTCACCCATCTCCACCCTCTGTATCCACCAACACCATCCATAAACGCAATCCCATACGCCAAAATCCCTCCAAAAGCCCCCGCCAAACTCGCCATAGCAAAAAACAACGCAACCCGATACTGTCTCTCCGCGCGTTTATACCACATACTCAAATAAAACACCACACCAGGAAACAATGCCCCCTCGGCAACACCTAACATAAACCTCACAACAAAAAACCCCGCTAACCCCGAATTCCCCCCATTATACACAATCACACCTTGCAGCGTGGCAACGATCCCGAACGCTAGAGTCGTCGACGGCAACCAGAGTTTGGGCCCGATGCGTTTCAGAATCACGTTCCAGAGAACTTCGAAAAGTATGTAGCCGATGAAGAAGAGTGTTAGGCCGGTTAGGTATTGGTTGGGGGTTATGTGGAGGTCGGTGGTTAGGCCTTCGAGACGGGCGTTTGCGACGTTGGCGCGGTCGAGGAAGCAGAGGAGGTAGAGGATGCAGACGGCGGGGAGGAGGTGGATGTCTCTGGTGATGGTAAGGTTAGGAAGGGAAGGGGATACGATGGGAAGGCAAGGGAGATACAATTTTCGGAGGAGTTTGGTTCCATTGATGCAATATGTTGCGGCGATTCCTTGTTCACTATATGTTTCTGGCGATGGGGCGTGGTCGGCGTCTTTGTCTTGGTAGAGGGCTTTTGAGTCGGACATCGTGTCGGTTCTCCAAGATGTAGAGAGAAGCTGGAGTGGTTTGAGAGAACAGGAAACATGCTGACCTTTAAGCTCAAGCCTCTGAGCTGGGGTGATTGAAGTTCCCTTTCCCTGTCCATCGCGTGCACTCCATGCAAGTGCACTGTTCGTTCGGCATAGGTCAGAATCGTCTTGGGCTTGATGTCGTGATTGAGGATCAGCATGTTTCTTGAAGCTAGACCCGTTTCGCACCGCGAGCGGATCGGAACGCGAAGTTTGTTGCTGCGATGAATGTTCATGGATGATGGAGATTTTGGGCTTGCAAGGGGATTTGGAGGTATTTTGATAGGCTTTGGTGGCGACTGTGGTTGAGAATATTGATACGACTCCGCTGATTGATTTCCGAGCCATGAAATTGTTGCTGGTGCCGATTTTGATCGATCTTCATCCTAGATATTCGTGACCGACGACCCGAAGCACATCATTCACCCCAGATTCCATCTAACCTGTTCTGGCATTGCAGCCGCCACAGGCCTGTATCTTGGGAGACGTCAGCGAACAGTGAAGCATATGACTCTCGAACGCACTTGCACTCCGTACCTTCCTGGTTTTGACCTGAGTACATCAGCATTGGAATTTGTTCGGAAGTAAGACACAGACACGAGTGTTAACATGGATTCATTTTGGTATTTCTCCCCTTGTACGTGAGGCTGATGTTTCAGTCGTTCGTTGAAGCTCTCACCACAGGAGCTGGGAGAATACTGGCTCGGATCTAGGCATCCGCTGGAGTATGCAAGCACAGGTGAATTTGCAGGACTTCACCTGACAAGACATGCATCTTCAAGCTCGCTTGCCGCTTCTGGCAATATGACCCTTGCGCGTCCTCTCACTTGTGACGCGCGTGCCAACGATGCTTTGAGTAATGTGAAAGTCAGACGTGGGTGGTTTCACCTCAAGCCATCCTGGAGAGCTTCGATCGTAGCCTCGTGTGCATCAACTTTCAGCTCGAGCTGAACTTTCTCTTGCTTCTCAGCCAATAGCTGAGCCTTGAGACTCTCAATCTCTTGCTCCTTTTCGTCGAGCACGACCTCAAACTGAGCGACCATCGTCTGGTCTCCTTCAGTAGCCTTTTTCATCTCTTCGATGGCAGAGTCCGATATTTCCAATTGTTGCTTCAACTTCTCGAGTTCCTTCGCTTGCTGTCCTGCCTTGACCTTCTCGTCCGCAAGTTCATTCGTGAGACGCTTGACATCTTCCTGATTCTGCACCGTGTTGATGATTTGTGCAGCGACTTTCTGCACAGTAGCTCTACGCTCGATATAGCCCATCTGACGCGGAACGTCGACGTCTCGAACGGGAGATACAGCTCTCGGTTCCGATACCGGAAGATCGTCATTATTGGTCGCAGCGGCTGATTCATGAAGTTGAGACCGTGCTAATACAGCGGAGGGAACGTCAGACTTCCGGTCATATGCAGGAGCTTGTGTGGAATCCTCACTGCCAGAGCGAGCGGCGACTGCTGCGGCCTTTTTGGCCTCATGTGCGACAGAATCTCTGGCCTGGTCTTGGATGCCGCCAATCAATCGTTTCTCCACGAAGAAAGGTGCGTTGGTAGAGCGCATCTGGCTGTTTGCTCGCGGTAATGCGGGCAGATTGTGGGCCTTCGCAGGCTTCTTGATTTGTGATGGGGCACCATACTTGACCATTTGGTTTCTCGCAGTGTATTGATTGTGGCCGCGAGCACGAGGATTGGCTTTTCTCTCTTCCTGCTCTTCGAGCAGAAGCTCCTCGGCTTTCCGCTTGCGAGAAATCTCTTCCTCAGTTGGCTCACGCTTGCGGGTCTTCTTATAGATGACGGGCTCGAAGTCCTTCTGCCCTGTGAAGTAGTAGGTTCCTGCCTTACCTGCAAGTTGGACACCCTCGTATCGCGCATCGCCTTCTGCGCTGTCGTCTTTGATAGCTGGTCGGCCGATGTGTACTCGATGCTTCCGGATCTTGCATGGCGAGCCGAAGTCGTGCGGCCACCATTGCTGAATCTTAGCTTTCGGGATGTCTGACTTAGAGACTTCGAATGCGGCGCGATCATCGAGCCACACAAATCTGGGCGGAAAGTTCTCCTTGACCCAGCTGATTTCGCCGATCTCGCTCTACTTGCAGTTAGCATTGCACTCTTTGGTCTCTTGCCACCCGTGTCAGACGATACACGCTGTAATTTGCGTGGCTGTTACACCACAGAGGAAGCAAGTAAAAGGTATGAACCCAGTGGGGCGTCAGGGAATGAAAGGCTCACCTGAAAGATACGCCACCGCTGATCCGCAGGCACTGGATGGCCGCGGTCAAAATACTCAGTGCGCTGATTGCCGTCTCCATCGCCTGTATATCGATCAGTCTTGGGATAGTCTTACCCATCAAATGTGTGTTGGAATGTACCTGGGCGCCAAATCTCGCGCTGGAGACCAGTATGTGGATGGCGATGATACTGGCGCTCGGAGTTGGCAGGATCCAGAGCGTTCTCGTCATCGATGTCTGGCAAAGCGGCCGTCGGCGTGTCGCTCTTCTCAATGCTTGCCATGACGATGTTTGTAGGTGACGTCTCTGTCGGCGGGGTGGGTTGAACGATATCTTCGTCGTAACCGAGTCTCTCGAATGGCATCTATGGCAGTCGATGCGATGTCAGTGCCGCGAAATGGAACATGGACCGAAAGTAGGTAGGCAGCTGCGACGCAGGGTCTTGCAAACGGTCAATGCACTAGCACACATGACAACTTCCAGAATCACACGCCAATACACAGCCGTGCTCAGATAAACTCACCTCAGGCCATGTTCCGTCTTCGTCCGCGTCGGGTGTGGCAGTGGGCTCGCTCGAAGATGGTCAGCAGGTGGTTCGTAGCTTGAGCTCAAGAGGCTGCTCACCGAGATATAGGGATTCATTCACATCCACCACGCTGTCTGCTCGACGTCGTGTAAGGGTCGGCTACTCATGATTGCAGTCTTCGCCGTTCCGGTCTTCTTTGCATTCCTTCGAGAGCGATGCTCCTCCATTTGGCTGCAGAAGGTTCTTGCTTGGGCGAGGCGCTGGACTGGACTGGTCTTGAGTCTACATCACGCTCAGGATCAGAATGGCTTCCGCATATTGCGCTTGTTGCTCTTGACTTCGCATATGCGACGAGTCCAGGAGCGAGCTAGTCGGTGCACGATTACCTAGGATGAATCTGCAGATGAAGAGGAATACAGCAGCAGTATGGAGGCGTGAAGTCGAGGACGACGGGAGACGTGAGATTGAGTTTCAGACCCCTGCATCTTCGAGATCTCGGAAGCAATCTTGCCAGAAATCGCGGCCAGCGAAATGCTGGAACCATAGAACTATGAAAGACCTCTGTACCATAGCTCCTACACATCCTCTTGCCAATTATGTGACCGACGACGCTGTACAGATCCATGAGAACTGATTCCCCTCCGCTGTCACCAAGAGAATCCTCGAATCGCAGCATCGAAAAGCGGTTGATCACATTTGGCATTCGCCAATCCAACCAGTCAGATGCCTGCAATGCTGACCAGTAAGAATGCTGATTATGCGCAGGAGCGTTTCGCGCAGTGCTCTAGCCGGATACCATCATAGATTCAAACACCTCGCCGTCGCCACTACTGCCGCATCCATTACCACCAGCGTCCCGGCGACGAAGCCACACTCCTGCCATTGAACCCGAGCAGCACCAATTCCTACACAATGCTGTCCACGCCGGCTGCAGGAAAGGCGGCGCTGCGCTCGTCCGCCACGACTTCAATTACCAAGACCGCCGTCCGCGCACTCTCAACCACGACACCCGCGCACGTCGTGTCTCAAGATGGCCAGCAGAAGCGAGGAATGGCTACAGTGCAAGATGCACCACCTGTCCACAGACATGGCGGACTCAAGGACCAGGATCGTATCTTCACAAACTTGTACGGCCACCACGGAGCAGATCTTAAGAGCGCGATGAAGTATGGAGACTGGTACAAGACGAAGGAAATTCTTGACAAGGGCCACGATTGGCTCATTTCAGAGATTAAGGCATCTGGTCTGAGAGGACGAGGAGGTGCCGGCTTCCCATCTGGCATGAAGTGGAGTTTCATGAACTTCAAGGGTTGGGACGAAGACACCAAGCCCAGATATCTGGTGGTCAACGCAGATGAGGGTGAGCCAGGCACATGCAAAGACCGAGAAATTATGCGGAAAGACCCACACAAGCTCATTGAGGGTTGCCTGGTCGCTGGCCGAGCGATGAACGTGAGTTTCAAATGCGATACTGAAGCATGGAGGAGGTACTGATATTTAATGTAGACAACCGCGGCATACATCTACATTCGAGGAGAGTTCTACCACGAGGCCACAGTTCTGCAACGTGCCATCCAGGAAGCCTACCAGGCCGGCTTTCTGGGCAAGAACGCTTGCGGTTCAGGCTACGACTTCGACGTGTTTCTCCACCGCGGAATGGGTGCCTACGTTTGTGGTGAGGAGACATCTCTCATCGAGTCATTGGAAGGGAAGCCTGGAAAGCCTCGTCTGAAGCCACCCTTCCCAGCTGCAGTCGGTCTTTTTGGATGCCCATCTACTGTCGCCAACGTTGAGACTATCGCTGTGGCACCAACCATCATCCGAAGAGGTGGTGCGTGGTTTAACGCCTTCGGTCGCGAGCGAAACTCAGGTACCAAGCTCTTCTGTATCTCTGGCCACGTCAACAACCCATGCACAGTAGAGGAGGAGATGTCAATTCCTCTTCGCGAGCTTATCGACAAGCACTGCGGTGGTGTCAGGGGCGGCTGGGACAACCTCAAGGCTGTCATTCCAGGTGGCTCATCAACACCCATCCTGCCAAAGAAGATCTGTGATGACCAACTCATGGACTTTGACGCCTTGAAGGACTCGCAATCAGGTCTCGGAACTGCAGCAGTCATCGTCATGGACCAGTCAACAGACGTCGTTCGTGCAATTGCACGTTTATCCAAGTTCTACCACCACGAGTCATGCGGTCAATGCACACCTTGCCGTGAGGGTAGCAAGTGGACAGAACAGATCATGAACCGATTCGAGAAGGGACAAGCACGAGCACGAGAGATCGATATGATGCAAGAGCTCACCAAGCAAGTAGAGGGGCACACCATCTGCGCTTTGGGTGAGGCTTTTGCATGGCCCATTCAAGGCCTTATTCGCCATTTCAGACCAGAGCTGGAGGCGAGAATAGCAGACAACGCGAGGAAGAGTGGTGGCGAGGCACTCGCTGGTGGTTGGCAGCATGATGCAGTGCGCAAGGGTATGCTCATCAGCCCAGGTCAATAAGCCTGAGGCAGATCTGTATTTGTTTATACAAAGTTCAGCGCCGGAGTGTGTTTAAAACCCTGCATATGTACATATTCCCTTGTGTTAACCCACGGCGCAGAGGAGCAATACAATGAAAAGACGTTAGAAGTGCAGTCAATCAGCATCTCACTTTCTAAATCCAAGTCGTGCCTTCTTGACACGTCCAAGTCGATATCTAGATGCCTACACACCAGCAGCCTTTATTACACTCTCCATCCAAGGATACACGCTCCCATTCGCAGGAGGATATCCCATATGCAACAACCCCGTAAAAAACCTCGCTTCCTTCGGACTTCCATACTCCATCAAAAGCATACTATCCTCAATCGGCATCAACCCATCATGCGTCCCATTAATCAAAAGCAATCTACAACTCTCCATCTCCAAAATTTGATTTTCCACCAACGAAAAATCTTTCTGTGCATGATCCAAAAACTCCTCTTCCGTCACATACCCGAACTTCTCTCGCAAAGCAGGCAATGCTGTCCAAGGATATTCATGATTTTTCGCTTTCTCTAACCACGCTCGAGAGAAGAAATGGTGGGTTCCCGCGCCTTGTCCTACACTTCCTGCGATGCGGGAGGAGTGGGTGTGTGCGATTCGGACTGCGTTGTAGCCTCCTGCTGAGAGACCCCATACCAGGATTTTTTTCATGGCGAAGTGGCCTTGGGATTCCATCCAGTCGAGAACTGAGGTCCAGAGACGATCCGCGGCCACGGGATCTCGGCGGTCGGCGGGACAGTCTGCTGTGCCGGGAATGTCTGCGATTACGCTTGCCCAGCCTCGGGAGAGGAATTCGTTGCTGCGGACGGTGTTGTCGGGTCTGTGGCCGTCTAGACCGCACATGAGGAGGACGGCTGGGACGGGTTTGGTTTTGCTTGCGCCTTTTGGGAGACGGATGTAGAGGGGTATCATCTTGCCTTCGTCCTTTTCTGTGCCTGCTGTGTGAGGGATTTCAATGTCCTCGATTGGGGAGTCGAAGAGTTTTGCTGCTTTCATGTATGCGTCTTTTTGGTCTTGGTAGACTTTTCTTTTGAGATCGCTGTTGATGTAGGGGAATCTTGCGATTCGGTATACTGCGCATGCTCGAAGGTAGAGTTCGACAGCTTGTTGTTTGTCACCGCTCTTTGCTTTTGCGTCTGCGTCTTTTACGAGCTTCTCGGCTGTAGGTATGAATTCTGCTGTGTATGGGTCGGTGTAGCCGTCGTGAATGCCTTTGTTGATCAGGGTCTCGAAGACTGGTGCGAAGTCTTCAAATTTTCCGTCGTGGAATGGGTATAGGCTTCGTTCACATGGGAACTTCCATTTCTTGTACCACAGGTTCTCCATCGAACCCAGATGTGGGTAGACTTGCTCGAACTTGTCGCCCAGTATCCATCGTGAGCCTGTTCGAGGATCCTTCTCTGCCGGATTTGGCGGAGGGTAGTCTTGCTGCATGGTGATTGAGCGTGTAGCTGAGATGTTCCTGCTGTGCAATAAGTAGCTCTAGCAATCAGTGAAGAATATAGGACCGGACGGCGGAAGAAATAACAGGATATGTGGACTTTGCAGCTACGTGTACCCACAAAGCTGAGGGGGATTATAGAAACGCATCATCCACGAAAGGCACATCCAGCTCATAGAGGAGGAAAGTCCCCGCCTTCCGACGAGACCTGCATTAGCTGCAGCTTTTGCTCTCTCGAGCGTCCGATGCGGCCAACTCTCTCGACAGTACCTTCCGTGGGTATGCCGATGCTATCGTTGAGCTCATTGGAGTGGTGCAGAATAGATGAGGTGGCTTGCTGGCGAGTGAATGTTGATGAAGTGGCAATGCAAGGGCGATGCATGTGAAAAGAGGTCGTCGTAGCCGAACGATCCCAGCAATTGCCGACACGCCACCCCTCCATCAACCTCGTGTCAGACTCTAAAACAACCCAATACCCGTCTCGTGACTGTACAAACATTCCTAGCACCACACATCATTGAATCTAGAGTCATCAGTGCTGCTTCTTCACACTTGCCAAGCAGAGCCGAGCTCGTACGCGTAGCTTCCATCGCGCTGGGGCTATCGCAGACACCGACTCAAGATCTACGACGCTCTCAACAACAAACATCATCACAGGCGTGGAGTCGACCGCTTGGATTTCTGGAAGTCTGTCTCGTCTTTCGAGATGTCAGAAGAAGGCGATCTCCCGCCCATCCGCGTCGCCGTGGATGAAGTGGCCAAAAAGAACGACACGGCTCCCGTGGCGCATCCTCCCTCGGCAGGCACAACTACAACGCAAACATCACAGTCAACGGCCTCACCACCAAACTCGCCGCCACTGTCTCCACCGGTGAGCCCGCCAGTCCAGCATCATCGTCATAGTTCGAACGAGGACTACTATGCTACGAGGCCAAAGTTTGATCGTTTAGGAAATCCCATCCCTGACCGCAGCAGAAGGCCTGGCGCTATGTCCACTGTTTATGGTACTTCTAAGATACGCCTACCCGGAGACTTGGGTGCAAAAGACCCCAGAAGGCCAAAGTCGCCAGCACCAAGTGCGCTACCTGGAGATCTTGGGCCAAATGACCCTCGAAGGCCTAGAAGTGCAAACAGCAGTCCTGCTCCGTCTCCAGTCTCCAGTCATGGTCACGCTCGCCACGCCAGTGGTGACAGTGCGAATGTGAGGCTAGCAGAAGACCCGCCGGAACCTGGGCACCCTCAGGAGAGCGATGATGACGCCGATGCAGATGATGACAACGACACAGACAGAGACGAAAGCAGTCGAGGACGGGGTAGGAAGCGTCCTGAGCCTGGTAGGACTACTTCCGGAAAAGCGATCAACGTTCGGGAGGAAAGCGAGTCTGATTCAGAAAGGGAACCGGTCGACGAATTCGCTAGTGGCGCGAAGCCGGATCCCACGAAAGGACAAAGCAAACTCAGTTTCATCAAGGAGCGTAAAGTACAGGTCGCCGGCCGAAGCCCAGGCGGCCGAAGACGTGTACATCCTTCCACTGCATTCGATGCTGCACCTAGTGGCGCAAGCACGCCTTTGCAGTCGGATGATGAGTCGCAATCGGAATTGAGAGCGGCCCAAAAGCTTTCGCTCCGCATGTCTGATATTCACTCCACTCCGTCTGCGCACCGCGTTATTCGCCAGATCTTGCGCGGTGATTTCGAGCACTTCCAGCGGGAGGCGGAAGAAGGACGAAAACGACAGCGCATGTACCTCGTGGCCACTGACATATCACCCGAAGCCGAATACGCTCTTGAGTGGACGATTGGCACAGTTCTTCGCGACGGCGACACCTTATTCGCTGTGATGGCAGCAGATGAGGAGTCGGTTGGGACAGGCGAAAGCTTAGGTGGCGTCGAAATCGGCCATGGTGCCGAATCTGTGAGGGATACGGCAGCCATCGTCAAGGGACTGCCAACTGTCGCGCAACACGGACCGAGCAACCCAGGACCATCACCACTTGCTCGATCAAGTCTCGGAGCCGGACCAAGCGACTCTCGGAGTAGAAGCCGAGGTGTGCATGATTCTGCCGATGCCGAGCGACGGAAAGCATTGGAATCGATCACTGAGCGGTGTGTACGCCTGCTTAGAAAGACTCGTCTTCAAGTTCGTGTTGTGGTCGAGGTCTTCCATTGCAAATCGCCCAGACATATGATCACAGAAGTCATTGACTTTCTCTCGCCGACACTTGTCATTATTGGCTCTCGTGGACGCAGCGCAGTCAAGGGTGTGCTGCTCGGCAGCTTTTCCAACTATCTAGTCACCAAGAGCAGCGTTCCCGTCATGGTCGCTCGCAAGAAACTACGCAAGCATAGCAAGACGGCAGCGAAGCGGAACAAGGACGGCACATCGATACCATATACCAATTCTGGAAGAAGCGGCAGGTTCAGCAATATGATTGAAGCACCTAAAGGAGCAGGACTTAGGGTCAAGGACTGGGAGCACGTCGGCATTGATTAGAAACCTTGGGCCGGGAGCACCCAGAGGTCGTGGTATCGAGGATTCTTTGGAGACCTTGGATCATTCTTTGGAACAGGATGATAAGCACGCACCCCAAATCACTCTCTCAGGTGAGATCACTGAAAGTCCACATCAACATGGTCTCTACATCAAATTCGGCTCCGGCCGCTTCATCTCAGCAACAACAATCATAATTTACCAGTGATTCTGAGTAATACTCACCCGCTCCTCCACCCACCTTCTTCGTTCCCACATTCCGAATCTTCTGTCTCCAAATGATGTAGTTACACTTCAAACCCTCACAATTCTTCTTCACCCATCACCCACTCCGCAAGCTCTTTCAAAGATAAAGTCGATGCCGTTCCGGAATCCGACACTTGAAATCTATCGCTTTCCCACAACAATGATCCTATTCAGACTCGAATTTACACGCATAATCCCTAGTATATCCGTTTTGGCTGACTCACTACGGTCTTTGCGCCGGCGATGGCCAAGCCTAGCGCACAGCTGAGCATGCTCTTGTACTATTCTTGAGCCAGTGCATATTCAAGCTACGAGGCCTCTTGTTCCATATGGTACGGAGCTGTGTACTGTATGCGAAAGCGCGCCAAGCTCTTGGTGAAGCGTGACGTTGATTGAATGCATGGACTGGGACGTAATGCCGCCCAGTCCTCTCGAACCTGAACGTCCATACCATGCTTTCGGAAGGAAATTCCATTGGGGCGGCATTGATGTGAGCCCATACTCTGCATCTGCAGACTTGAAGCTTTCTTGAAGTATCATTCTAATGGGAAGGGAGTTGGCGCGGAAAGAGCGCGACTGAGCTTCGACCCCACCTTGACTTCACCATTGGGATTACTATGTACATGATCGTTTTTGACGAAACGACTACAGTAGGCACACGCTGTCGTGTCGCGAGAGGTGCTTGCAATAATGGTATAGCTAGTTTCTACTCATCCAGGATTGGAGAGCCTTTGTTGCTAATCACATATCTCAGTCCAAGCAATACCTCCAAACCCTCACCATCCCCGACGCGCATCCCACTGACATCTTCTCACTCGCCGTCACGCCTTCACATCTCTTGACAGCCTCCGGATCATCAAGCATTAAGATCCGCAGCACAAAGGGCAAGACGATCCATGCCGATACTGCTGAAGATGAAGACCCTTACCCTCTCGTTCAAACCCTCGAAAAGGTGCACAAGCTAGGCTGCCACCATGTCTGCACCAGCCTCGACGGCAGAGTAGCAGCAAGTGTGGGCTTCGCAGGCGATGTGAAGGTATGGGAGTGCGCAGAAGACGGTCAATGGCGGTTTAAAGGGGACATTGTGGGCGAGAAGAAGGCTGGCGAACACTGGGCGCCAGCGTTGAGCGAGAACGGACAATATCTTGCCATCACCTCTTCCGATGGTCGCGTCAATGTCTACGATACAAAACCCATCTCAGAAGGCAAAGCCGAGAAGATTACACAGTACGAGACGAAAGGCAGCTTTGGCATGAGTGTTGACGTCTCTCCAAATGGCGAGATGACTGCATCCGGGCACCAGAACGGAAGCATCTACATCTTCAACAACAGCACTCGACGGCTTGCGCACTCTCTAAGTGGACTTATCAGGCCTGTGCGAAGTGTCAAATTTAGTCCTGCCAATCGATATCTTGCAGCCGCTGGAGACGCCAGAATCATTGCGCTTTACGACACCCGCAGCGGCGAGCAGGTCGCCAACTTGACAGGTCATGCAAGCTGGATAATGAGTCTCGACTGGAACTGGAGTGGCGAGTATCTTCTCAGCGGTAGCTATGACGGCAAGGCGAAGATCTGGAGCATTGAGCGACGAGAGTGCGTGGCCACGCAGACGGAGAGCGAAAAGTGTCTGTGGGCTGTCAAATGGCTCTGGCACTCCCCTACTGCGAGAAATGAGATTTTTGTGACGGCCGGCGCTGGCAAGACTTTGGCATTCTATAGGGAGGCGAGTGGGACGTAGGCTGCATTGGTGACGGCCCTTCACGATTCGACGTCGGAATTTGCTAGACGCATGATACCCCATGACATGGAAGGGATATGACTCTTCCCAAAAGAAATTATAGAGATCCGAAATGCATCGCCGGCCTAGAAGCTCCGGTTCGAGCTACAATGCGGATTCAATTGTATTCAGAACGGCTTGTCCTTTGTCCAACAACGCATCTCGTAGACTTGCTCACAACTTCTTTGTTGTCTCTCCATGAGCATCATCAAAAAGGAGTCCATAATCGCAACGCCGGATCCGGCGACGCTGAAAGGAAGCTCATCCGTCCTTGTATCTATATGGCCCAAGACGTGAAGCTGGCACCATTCTGACCTCTCGCAATTCACTTCGACCGCACTTCAGAGCTCCGAAATGGCGCCCACCAGACGAACGACATCGGAAGAACTGGACGCGGAACGATATCAAAGCTTCTTGCGAGACCGAGAGAGAGTCCGGAAGTACAATGCAGCCATCTTGGCCGATCCTGATGCCAATCGCGGTCGAAGACGCAAGGCAGATCCTGTCTGGTACTATTCATCCCGTCGCAATGGAGCCTCACCTGAACCTAATCGCTTCTCACACCTCGTACGCCCTCAAGAGGAAATCAACGCCAGGGTCAGGATGGGAGATCACAACGTCTCGCCCTCTAGAGAGTCACGAAGCGCTAGAATTTCTAGGAATCGAATCATCAATCGCGATATCGAAGAAATGATGAGAAGAGGGCAAATTGCCCCAGGTGACGGTTATATGATGCCCACGGAGAGTTCTTCTCCCTCCCTACGTGCCGCAGCACGGCAATTGTCCCGAGCCTCTGAGTCACTTCAAGAGCTCTCCAACACGTTGCTCGCTCACGACGCTGAAACAGCGAGACATCAAGCATGGCCGGTGTCCCGTGACTTTGAAATGGTCGATGCCGATGCCGAGGAGGAAGTAGAAATGGCCAGACCAGCATCAAGGGAGATCGATTGGAACGCCCGAGTTGCAAATTCCACTTACGACCCTAACGCTACACTCTTCCCCGCCCCCCAAGATCGTCGTGCTACTGCTCTGGACTTTGGCTACAATCAACCCTCCCCTCCACGCGGTCCCCGTCGTGCCGGCACTCTGAACGCCATTGGCAACAAAGCCAATCAACTCGGTCATAGGGTCACCAAGGCTTTCAAAGAAATCGGTCGTAGACGTCGTCCCACTACACCACCTCAGCATCGGTGGGCGATGTCAGGTCAGATTCCTGCCCCTCGTACTCCTCCTAAGACAAGAGCCCAGAGGCTTGAGGAGGCCGAAGAGAATTACTACACTATTGGTCGGGCCAGGAGCCCGCCAAGTCCTAGTCCGGCTGCGAGAAGAAACGCCGGCAGGGCGGAGGCGTTTTTGGATAGATTGGAGAATCATTGAGTGTGTATAGTTGGTGGTTGGGGTTGGAGTAATGGTAGGGGAAACGGACGGGGTGGGTTGGGGAATGGAGTATGGCGTTAATGTGTTTTTTTACTTACAATATTTTCCAGTTAGAATGATATAAAACATAAACCCTTTAGCAGATATCCTCGTAGTTCAAAAACGGCCTACTAGTTCTTGTATTTGATCAAACAAGGCTTATTCTAGCACGGTAGTAGAATTGATCCAACCGTCGCCATTCTCTCCAAAGCATGCTTGGACACCCTCTCCACATCACTCCTTGCCCTGTTCCTAAGCCTTCATAGCTTTCCAATTCTCAAGATCCACGCAAAGGGGGCTCTCAATTTCTCCGCAATGGCGTCGAGATCCGAGATATGAATCTCATCGTTCCGGCTACCTGCCGCTTTGGTTGGACGCATAAGGGTGATGGTAACAGACTTGAAGTGCTTCTCCATAGCGCGAAGGGCAAGCTTGATCTCTGGCTCGACCATGGATGTACGCTGCGCGCTGGCACCATAGACAGCAACGGTGGAGCTTCCAAACGGACGAAACTTGATGATGACGGCCAACGGAACGTTTCGTCCCAGATGGGCAGTCATCAAGTGCATTGAGTCAATGTTTTTGGCTTCGTGTTGTCGGCCATGGGACATTTGCGCTTCGAGGAGTCCGAGAGGGAAGACAGGACGGAAGCACGCTTGCAGGTGTGATGGAAGCATGGCGCTGGGGCAGCCTGATCGCTGGCAGCGACGAGCTCGTAGATGTCTAATCGAAGCTCGGGTGGGAAGGGCGCGAGTACACGTAGGGAGGGTGTAGTCGTGAGCCCTGTTGTAGGACGAATGTGTGGGGGTGGAGAGGACATCTTGGTGCTGTGGCTCAGCAGCTGTGATGTTGATCGTCGCCGAGATGGAGATGATAGCAACAGCGAGCAGTATTTTTGTACTTGGAATCGGAAGCGCTAGCGCGTTTGTATGCTTGGGCTGACCGGGAAGGCAAGCACGATTTTACTGACCCGCTGAAGTCGAGGCGCTACATTCACGTGCTGAGCTCAACACCATAGACTTGCGGTTATCTGAGGCTTTTGAGCTCATAATCTTGTGTGGACTCGCAGAGCCATAAGTTGGCTTGCTCCGGTCAAGATTTCGCTGCAAACCGAACGCGCAAAACGTGCATTGCGATAGTGCCAATGATTGCAAGCCCGCCAAACATGACCAGTATTTGGTATCCGTAATCATACTTCGGTGCATCGTATGTCGGAAAAGCAACCACTGCCTCATTGTCAGCACCGCTCAAAACAAAATTTGGCGTGATCCACCTACATGGCAACCAAGCGTTGAACGTGTACGACGCCACATTCCCACAGGCAACAAGCATCTGACGAAGTACCGGATCACCAGCCGCGAGATGGTTGCCCCATGCAATCACGATAGGCTGTGCAGCGAGTCCAGCATAGCTGATGAAGAAGGCGAACAATAGCGCTGACTTGGGTATACTCCAGACGGCAAGCATGGCGTTTGCGGCCATGACGAGTAAGGAGATCGCGACGATGATTGTTGCATTGTATCCGGTAGTGTCCGCGAGAATGCCGAAGCCTAGAGCAGTCACGACCGAGAGGGCATCTCCAGCTGTTGGAAGTATATTGATTTGTACGACGCTGTATTTTTCTGCTTTGAGATAGAGGTTGAAGTATTTGATGCCCGAAATGGCTTGGCCGACCATGCTGTCGTCGCGTCAGTGAGAAACAAAATTGCGTTGAGAGATGCTCACTTGTATGGGAGAATGAAAAGCCACAGTCGCCAGTTCGTGAAGACTCTGGCAACGGCGCAGACGGTCAGCTTCGTTGGTGCAACTCGGCCTAACTTCTCGATTCGTTCAACGCCGTACTCTCGTTCCTAGATGCAAGTGATCAGTCTTGGAAAATCTCGGTGCGGGCCTTGAGCAATACTCACCTCTTTGGACATGTAGAAAGCGCGTGTCGTGTGTGGCAAGTCTGGCACAGCGAAGAGACCCCAGATGGCGATAGGAATTCCGATAAGACCATCGATGACGAACATCCACCTATGCAGCGTTGGCATATGGCCGGTGAAGCAGATCTTCATGGAGTCACCTACTGCCATCCTTTCAGTCCAGCCTTGCCATCCATACCAGTGTGCAACGCGGCTTGCAGATAGCCGCTGAACATATTACCGATAGCGCTAGACTGCTCAAAAAGCGCTGCTCGCTTAGCAAGTTGCGTCGGACCATACCAGCCACCTATGCATGCTGTCAGATACCACTTCTATCATGGCTTGGGGACAAGCTTCACCTAGCATAGCTGCGAATCCAGGGAAGACGCAGGCTTCAGCAAAGCCAACGAGGAATCGAAGGGCATAGAGTGTCTTGATATTCTTCGCAAAGCCCATGCTAATTACCAATACAGACCAAAAGATTTCACAAGAAGGAATCCATATTGAAGGCCGTATATGCTGGAGCTGAATGATTTGTGCTGGAATCGTGCCTGTACAAGGTCAGCATGCGGTCACTAGATTGGAAAGCGATGCGTTCTACCTAGCAAGATCCCAATATTGAACCATGTATTCAACCAATTTCTTTGGTTCCCATAGAGTCGTAGCTATGTTCCATCAGCCTGATTGGCACGTTTGTCATATTTGTCATGTTGTCATGTTTGTCTTGTTTGTCATGGGGGTGACTCACATCCTCCTGCATTCCGCTAACGAAAGCATTGCTGATATTCGTCTGGTCCAATTGCTTGATAAAGTAAGCAAGACACATGTACGAGAACATGTATGTGTCAAGCTTCTGGATGTAACGTCGCTCTCGCGGAGGTCCATCGACAGAGTCCCAGAATAGTCCAACGATACGTCGCCATCGAGACTGTTTGCAAGGAGCCACTGTAGTGCTCTGCTGCTCCGCATCACTATCTTCTGGTCCGGAAACGACTGTAGTGTCCGCGGCAGCCTGCTTCTCCTCGGCCATAGCGCTGTCTGAAAGCGGAAGCTGGGTGAATATTGCAATCGAAGGGTGTCGACGGGATAACGCATATAGAATACTCGTTGGTCTGCTGTGGAGTCGCTTATCAAAGTCCACATCTTAAGTGGGCCATATGCAAGCCTAACCCGTAAATCACTTCGGTAGCCGGCCTCTCTTGGCGTGGACCTTGATGGTTTCTGCCTCCTGGCTAGGGAAAAGAATTGATGTTTTGCAGTCTCATTTGGTGCTGGTCTCCGACTGAAGACAGGACTATGCAGGGCTGAAGAACGCCGGATACCGATACGAGGTTAATTCGCTATGTTTCTAGTCCAGATTCCACGGGCTCGGCTCGTTCATCGGCGATGCATGTGAATTCTGCTCAGCCTTGTTTAAACCTTATTGCTGGGACCCAATGTCAGCATGGGTTGACTTCCTTTACTGAATCCAAGTGGCAACATCTGCAGAGATCGTTGGATTTCCCAAGGATGTCATTCACAACAGCGTATCGGTGGATATCGCCATGCCGAATTTCCAAGCAGTCGCGAAAAGTGTCAATGCATAGGTTGTGTAAAGGAGCTTATTCGGAATTACTACGCTGACCAATCTTGGTGGCGGTGGTGGCATTGGTCTGTATGCTTCCCATTGCTTGCGCCGACGGCAGATCGCGATTATGATCTTGCGATCCAGTATCCTTACTCAAGGTGGTATTGAGTGAACATCATGGTCGTGGTTTCTGAAGGTGCATGTCGCCTTGTGCTGGGTGGTGCATCAAGAGACGCACTGTTGGCATTCGGAGTACCAGCGCCACCACCATCCATCTACCATGCGACACCTGAAACATCCACCACTTCCACCCCTTCCATCCACAAGCCTTCTACACCACTCGCTTCACATCCCACCGGTTGCTCGAGCAAGTCTCCTCCCTTCACTAGCCGAATGACTGCTGCGACCAAGTCATAGCGGAAAGCCTTCAGGCCGGATTCCTCGTTGGCCCAGCAATCTGGCAAACCAAGGCGCCCCAACCTTTTTTTAAGCTCCTTGGTAAGGTATGGCAACTTCGCCTTGAAATCATTATACTCGCAAGTAACCTTAAAGGTCTCGAAAACGAGTTTGGGGGCAACGGCGTGATCTCGATGTTGAAAGTGGTCGTGCGTCGGTTTCCAATGGGGCCAATTTGGTACTCTATGGATTCGACCCTTGAAGGCGAGTTTGAGATCGGCTCTGTCGGAAAATTTAGATGTTGTAGAATAGTCGAAGTGTAGAGAAGCAAGAAGAGTTCAAAGTGATTTATAGCTGTCGACTAGGCAACAGGTGGTGATCGCGTGTTGGGCTGTGAAGGTCAGCTATCCAAAGGACGACTAGAATGCAGGAGAACTAGCCACGACTGATCTTGATCGCGGCATACTTGTAGCGTGGCCATTTCTGCTCCTTGACGCGCACAGGACTGATGAAGTTGAAAAGTCGTCTCTTACTAGCCTGTCAGGGCTATATCATGTGCCACGCCTAGCAATTGCAGGAGGTGATCGTGGCGGCAGGCATACGAGACTAAGGTCTCAGGAGTTGTGTGGTTGTTATAGAGTCAGCAAACCCGGCTTGAATCTCCACAGGACTTGGCAGGCGTGGAGGATGTGTTTCTCCACACTCCGATTGGTGAGAGCTGGGGCATTGCGTGTAGTCTTGAACCGCTACAATAATATGCAAATCGTACTTGTACTGTTTCGAAAACGCCAATGTAAACTTCTCGCATTATCGTTACTTCATTCGGCCCAAGCCCTTCCGAAGGTCATCTACGATACCAATCCGAGCCTCGACCAACTACCCAGAAGCCTACTCAATGAACGCTGGACATCTGGAAAAGCCATCCATCTACCACAGAGCAACCTGAAGATTCGCCACCTCCACGCCGTCCATCCATGACCCCACCACTCCGCCCATTCCGGCTCTATCTTCTACCACCTGTTCTCCCTTCACCACTGTGACCACCACAGACACGAGATCGTCCCTGTAATTCTTGAGACTCTCCGTCTGCCAGCAGTCAGGCATTCCGAGTTCACCGAATCTTCTCGTTAGAATCTTGACGAACTCTGAGATGCTTACGACCGAGCCGTCAAGCTCACGGATCACTTCAAAGATCTCGAAAACGAGCTTTGGAACGAAGGCATGGTCCTGGATCTTGAATGCCTGGGTCCGACGTGTAGCCTTGCGGACGCTCAAGCTCGTCACGAACCAATGCCAGATCTTGGAGTTGAAGTTGGCGGCGCGGATAGTATAGCATACTTCAGAGCGTTCTTGTCGGTAAAATCGACGTGAGTAGTGCAGGTAGTCCACGTCGTCGACTGTCTCGCCGCTGATGTATCGGCTGCTCCTGAAGTCTAGCGCGTTGATGAGGCTCCGGAATCGAGCGTTTCCATTATTCGAACCAAAGGTATCAAGCAGGTGGTCCAACGCCATATCGTTGAACGCGTCGAGATTTCCAAGGTGAGACTTGATGTTCTTCCGAAGCCGCAAGAGAAGAACGCGGTCGGAGAGCCGGGCAGTGTCGTCTTGCTCTTGGTCATTGTGCTCTTCTTCGTAGGCGTTCTCGTCGAATGGCGTTTGACCTGGCAGTTCCTTGTCGCTAGGCCTGCTCTTGGGGAAGAGAATGGTGCGGCAATGAGTGCAGTTGTTGATGCCGGTGAACCAAATGCGTGCGCACTTTTCTCCTAGGACATGCTTGTCGTGGATGACTACAGCTCGCTCGCTGCCATCTTCCGCCGAGCCACCGTAGTCTAGGAAAGTTTCTCTGCAAATATGGCACTCCTGCTCGCTACCTTCCAGATCAAAGGTCAGGACATGTTTGCCGAGGTCTTCAAGAAAGCCTTTGCGGGTCTGTTGCAGTGGCTCGACAAATGGAGGCATGGTAATTGTAAGGTTCGAGGCCGACTGGATGGTGGATAGGGAAGTTGAGCAGAGATGTCCAGACAGAGGCGCGGGGACGAGGCCGGTGGTGCGAAGAAGTCTTGAAAAGGATACAGGTGTCCGGTGCTCCGAGATATCAGGTGTAGTTGTGATAGACACTAGTCGTCTTGAGACGTCGAGTTGCGCGAGGTGCTACAGTGGAGAATAGGAGAGTAGGTTTGAAAAGGCTGCGCGATGTTTAAATACAGCTGCCTCTCTAATATCCAGACGGTGTCAGGCAAGTGAATCTAGGGCGATCGGACTTTATATCAGGTTCGAAGTGATTTATGATTGTCGACCAGGCAACAGGTGGTGACCGCTTCGTGCTTTTGAATGATTTGGAGTGAACGGGGTGCATTTCACAATGGGAACAAAGCTAGCAGCAAACTCTCGTGCTTGCTTCACTCCATGCGGTTCAGCTGCTTCGTTCAGCTCTCGAGGGGTCGGCTAATTTGTCCTATGAATATGTGGAATTGCGTTCAGGAGTCCGTAATCCGGTAGTGCTCGGCTTGAGGAGTTGATGAGAGCTCAAAACCTATGTTCGTGCTTCTTTTTTTTTCTGGCACCCTTGCGCAGTACATATGATAAGCGTTGTCTTCTTGTGGCCAGATTCTAAGACCTTTGTCGCCGCAGATGTGCTTGTTGTAGATATAGGCCGTGCACTCCGGTTTCACGGCGAGGGTCATTATGCGAGTACTGGAGACACAAGTCAATGTGTCGAGAAAAGACCAGATCAGATCCAGCATTTTGATGAAGTGTGGTATTTCATTGCGAGGAGAAGTTCCCGCGCCTGGGCCTGACTGCGAAGAGGCGGCCTTCCATCCCATCTCCATATCCTAGCATCTGCACACCGAGCGAGACATGCACTGTACATATAATCGCAGCAGAAGTAACGATTATCTCGACTTCTCCGGTTCAGGATACACCCTCTTCTTCTTGACCTCCTCCACACCCTCATCACCTTCCCTATACAATCTCTCAAACTTCTGCACCATATCCTGCAAATCCTTGTTTCCATCTTTTCTGAATCTCGTCACCTTTTTCACATTATGCGCCGTCATATCATTCAGCCGGAAATCTCTGCCTTGCTCTTCTGCCTTCTGTCTCGCGTTCGCAATGCTTTTCGCGGTCATTGCTAACCGCATATCTTTCGGTCCATCCACGAGTTCGAGGATCGCGGAAGGTGCCTGATCTTCTTTGAGAGGTTCTGTTCGGAGGACGCGAGTGTAGCCGCCTGGTCGTGATGCGTATCGGTGTCGTAGTTCGTTGAAGACTTTGGGCAGGTGGCGATGCGGCTCCTATCCATAATCAGATATTCGTGCTTTCAATCAATTGTAGCTTGATCGCATACAAATAATATTGCTTGAGCGCCCTGCCTGCTAGCTACTGTGTTCCTCTTGCCTAGCGTGATCAGCTTTTCTGCTAATCGCTGCGCTTCCTTTGCTTTGGGCCATGTTGTGTTTATGGATTCGTGCTCGATGAGTGATGTGACCAGATTTCGTAGCAGTGCTTTTCGATGTGCGCTATCTCGTGACAGATGTCGGTATTTGACGTGTCCTCCTGCCATTGTGATTCTATCGAGACGAGACAGGTGATGGTGTTCTCTTGCAGGAGGTTGGCGGCCTCTTGATCGTTGCTGCCGGACCTGACTCCGCCGCCGCAGCCGAGCTGGCATTGGGACCATCACTTCCGCCCGACATTCAACAGCAGTCTCACCAAGCACGATTAAAGGCGCCATGGGGTTCACGACAGGGCTGGTAAGCGTCATGTATACTCAAAGGTGCTATATATCGCTAACAGTGCTACAAGCTGGGCGGCTTCACCCTAACAGCCACAGTCTTATACCTCTCCATCAACCTTCATACTCGGAATCGAGTCCACCAAGCCGCTCTCCTACATCAACAATCCCTTCTGCTTGACAACGTTGTTGCACCACAGCCGCCACTTCCGCCGCCCACAAACAGACAGGTACAAGCAGGATTGCTTGAGACTGCCAAGGATAAATGGAATGCTGAGCTCGAGAGGAACGTGAAAACATTGCAGCAATACGACTGGACTGCAGCATTCGAGAGGGTAGAGGAGAGCGCGGGGAACTTGATCAGAAGAGCATTTGACAAGGGCAAGGAGGGCGTGAAGGAGGTAAGCAAGTAGAACAGCAGGACTTGCACGGGACGGTGCAACATGACAGAACAGTAAGATACCCTTTGTACAGCATGGAATCTAGAGAATGAGCGATCAAATGAGCGATTGCCTCAGTATTCAAAGTAACAACTCACAACACGGGTCACCTAGGCTCGATAACGCAAATGTGCATCCGTGCACCACCATTGATCTGTACGCGTACATAACTTCCATTCGATACAAACAACTCTCGGCCGCACGCAATGGGCAAAACAACCTAGGTCGCCAGCCGATCTGAGAAAAACACGAAGCTGGACAAGAAAATAGAAGTCCCATCGTCAACTCTCGTTTGAAGAGCCTTGCGTCGGAGTTACGAAATCCCATCGCAGAGCTCGCCCTGGCCAAAGATCGCGGAGACGGCTACACTGACATCACTCACGAATGGCCATGAATAAGTCAGGTTGATGGAGAGATGCGCGATGAGAGTCACAAAATGCTTTTTGCCACAATTTCTTGACTCACTTCGACTTGAGAACGGCAGTTTCGACACAATCTCCTCCGTTGGCTCGACGTGCTCGGAGAGAACTTACGCTTCATCCAATCTCTCACGATTGTCTGCGAGCACGAACTCTACATTGGATCCACTGAGGAGGAATTTGGCATCGTTGGCCTCTGGACGGACCTACATGGACGCTCAGCTTCAACAGCACGGACTGAGCGCCTACCAGTTTCAATAGCCAAATCCACGCGACAAGTTGCGCACGAGAGATAGCCACCAACATGGTCGTTATGGGGTGGACAACTTCACACTAGCTGTCTGCGACCACCGCCTTACCTTGCAATCGTAGCCCGTGTCATCCTCAACCCATTTGGCTTGGTTGAGGAGGGTCAGCTTCAGCAAGCAGAGCCAGCTCGCCTGCGAACGTAACAGTGACTCTCAAACAGACTGTGTGCGAGCAAAGCGCATTAGCTCTACGGCAAGTCTCGTTCAGCACGACTAATATTGTAAATAGAGGGTTGCTGCCAGCGTTAAAAGTTGGAGCAACGACCACAATTTTTTGGAGTGAGCCAAGGCTTGAGAGCATTAATGGATTCAATACATGGTGACAGTCCTACCCTTTGACATGGAACGAGACTGTGGTTAAGTTAGCCCGGAGATCATGCTGTCTGGAAATCCACAGATTGAGCTGATTTTCACATGCTCAGGCACTAAAATTTGCCTGAATCGCGGGGCACATGGCGTCATCATTGATTTAGGCGCGTGAATGAAATCTGTCGCCCCCCATTGACTTTTTCTAGACACCGCACTCGTCCTTTTACGTCTTGATCAGTATAGTCCATTCCCTGGATAAATCAGCGTAGTGTCACCAAGGCTGAGGCGCACTGTGCATACGAATCCAAATCAAGGCGCTCGCCCTCACTGCAGGACGACGACGCGAGTTCTGAACGCGCTGCTATACCCTCACAATGTCCTCCCGCGCGTTGCGAAAAGCGCAGCGGGAGAAGGAAGAGCAAGAAAGACTGAAACAGCTTGAGCAAAAAGCACACGCGCTCGAGGAGGAGGAAGATGAAGAAGATGAGCGGGAGGCCGTAAAGTCCAAGAAGAGCGCATTTGCTATGCTGCGAGAAGAGGAGGACGAGGCTGAAGAGGATGAAGAGGATGATGAGGCTGGAGCACCGATACCTGAGGAGCCTGTTGCTACAACAGCGCACAAGTCACCTGCCAAAAAGAAGAAGAAAAAGAAGAAGAAAGCCAAAGCAGGTACGGACAGGCGTGGGCAGGATACAGATGACGTGGATGAGATTGATGCCGCTCTCAAGTCATTGTCGACGAATGGCAAAGCTGCAGATTCCGGCAAGACTGCAGCAGGAGTGAATCCTGCCGTTGAAGAGGCGAACAGGCTTCTATCCATAGACACGAACAACTTACATGCCGCGAATGAGATGAAACGACTTTTCGGTCGAGCAGCTCTAGAGCAGGATCATGATGATCAGCAAGTGCCGGCAGGTGCAGTCGGTGGGAACAGGAGACAGCAACGGCGGGTGCAGCACGTTGGCTTAGCCCAAGCATTGCGAGGACAACGTGTAGATGGCCGATCGGGAGGTCTTGCTGCCATGGCACTGCGAAGAAACATTTTCATTCAAGGCAAAGAAGAGTGGCCCGTAGCGACGGGTGGTGGCCTAGGTATGGAGGTCGAGGAGAAGCGAGCTGATGGCACAGTGCTGTACAAATTCGTGCATAACAGCGCGTACCAAGATGTACAGTCTCAATTTGAGAGCTGCGTGGCTTCAATGGACCCAAACCGCCTCATTGTGCTTCTACAACACAACCCATACCACATTTCAACATTGCTTCAGGTCTCCGAGATCGCCAAGCAGGAACGAGATCACTCGACATCTGGCGATCTGCTTGAGCGCGCTCTCTTCTCGCTGGGACGAGCCGTACACAGCACGTTTGCCAAGAATCTTGCAGAAGGTAAAGCAAGACTCGATTTCCGACGAGCAGAAAACCGCGAGTTCTGGTTGGCAAGTTGGCGCTACATTCAGAATCTGACCATGCGAGCGACATGGCGGACAGTGTACGAGTGGGCGAAAATGCTCCTCTCGCTATCGCCGGAGAATGATCCATACGCTCTTTGGCTGGTGCTAGATCAGTATGCGATCCGGTCGAAGCAGGAATTGGACTACCTCAACCTGAGCAGGAACGGATCACTCAAAGCTGGCCATGTAAATATGCCAAATGTGATACTCAGTCAAGGCCTTGCTGAATGCCAAGCTGGCAACAAGAGCAAGGGTCAACAATTGCTGTTCTCGGCGATAGGCAAGTATCCCTACATCATCGCGAGACTCATGCAAGAGCTCAACGTGGATGCACCTCCTGCAGTCTGGGGTAAGGAGCCTGGTTCGATGAAGGAAGAGCTCTTTACTGAGCTCTACGCCACGCGAGCAAAGGATCTTTGGAATACGCCAGAGAACACAAATCTCCTGATTGAAACTGCCAGTGCTGTACCGCCAGAGACGGCAACGGCTTCTACAGATTCTTCGGACATCACGCAAAATGTGGCAAGGCATGTGATACTATCAGATACGCCCGCACTGATCGCTCTGATACCACGACACTTCACCGAGCAGCTCGAAAGCGCCTCTGATCCACTGCCACCTGACGATGGTTTCACGTCATACCTTTCGCGTCGCCGAGGCTCAGAGAGACCCGGAGGAGACAGCCTCATTGGCACAGCGAGGTATCGAGAAGAGACTCGAGAGATTTCAACGCTCAATCGATTCTTTAGTCAGCTCTTCCCGTGGTATGGTCGCGCACAACAAGCCGGTGCTGCGGCGGCCAGCGAAGATGGCGCAGCAGACGAGCAGCCGCCTACAAGCGAAGAGGAGATGATGCGTCAAGTTCGTGAAGCAGGCATATCTGAAGAAGACTTTCGAGCTCATGCTCAGCGTCTGATTGAGCTACAGAATGATGTCGGTGGTGACACTTCGGATTCTGACACCGACATCTACCAGCGGCTTGCCGTGAATCCACGAGTGCCTGGCTCAGATCGCGACCAGAGAGTTCTGCAGCTGTTGCAAGACTTTGAGGGGAGTCTCGGGGAGGACTTCCAAAATCTGAGCCAGACAGAGCAGGTGGTGAGAATTGAAGAGCGCATCGCTTCCTTCTTGAGGGAAGTACAGGGCTCGGGATTCGAGACGGAAGGCAACAGAAACGCACGAGTTGACGATGCCTCTGATGACGACGCGTGAAAAACATGCGACTATGTGCCCGCTATCTAGCATGAAGCTTTTAACACGCTTTCGCTTGCACCAATAGATGTGTAATTGGAGCGTCGAAGATTTCACTGAATTCTTCTATCTGCTGCTCACCCCCGAGAACGTCGCTTCCTTTATTTGCTCATTTGGTCAATAGTGGTCGATCGCCGAAAAAGCTTCTAGTCATGCTAAGAGCCGGACTTCATCCCCTGTCGAAAAGGCGTATGCAAATGCGTATCTCTAAACATCCCAACCGCATTCTCCAACCTCCTAACAAAAATCCCCTCTCTAACCTCCCCCTCAACACCCCCAAAAGCTCCGTTCGTAACAAACCCCAACATCCTCCTCACCTTATCCGACATCCCCGCCTCAACCTCCGGTCGAATCGACAGAAAATTATTCTCTTGCTGCCGAACAAAACTCCGCATAAAAAACATCAAAATCACAGGTCTCTCACCCTCGCTCATCCGGTTCGGCCCAGTAGCATGCCATAATCGACTCTCAAACACCAGCGCCGTACCAGCCGGACCTTCCGCCGCGATGGATCCTTCAATAGAAAACGGATCGTCGGGGGCAAAATTGCCCAAATGACTTCCAGGCCAAACTCTCGTGCCACCATTCTCCGCCGTAACATCTTCGAGAAACCACATGATGTTCAACCCAAAATACAGATCTCGAACCGGAGGCTGGATTCCGACTTGATCGGTGTGAACCATCATCGGGACGTTTCCGGGTCGGGCGATGTTGGCGCTATAACTGTGGATTAAGAAGTAGTCGCCTAACATCTCGGGGACGATGTCGTCGATTAATGGGTGTTCGAGGAGGTGGTGGAATTCTGGACCTTTGTTGATTAGGGTCCAGATTCTTTGGTTCACGGCTTTGGGACCGCCGTCGTGCTTTGAGACTCCGGCGTTGATTTCGCCGGCGGCTTGTTGTTGGAGTGCGGAACGGAGGGTCGAGATTTCGTCGGGAGTTAGGGCGTTGGAGACGAGGCCGTATCCCCATTTCTTGACGTCGGAGAGGGCTTGTTCGATGTCTTGAGTAGGTTTGGGGAGCTTTTCAGAGGATGGGGCTGAAGGGAGGTTGGTTCGATCGACTGGGCAGAGGTAGTCGGCGAATTTTACGGCGGTTTTGATATCGCCCTTTGGAAGTGTGGTTTCGTCGAAGAATCCGTCTTTGAAGAGTCCGTAGCGAGGTTCGAGCTTGCCTTCTACGAATTGTTTGATGTATTCTGGTTTGATTTTGACGCTGCAGGCTGGTTCTTCGTCATGAGAAGAGGTTAAGACGGGTTCTGAGCGGGCGTCGAGGTAGAGAGGTCCGGACTCTAGGCCGATGTCGAGCTTGAGTATCGCGTTCAAGGGCGACATTTTGGGTAGATGTTCCTTTACCAGAGCCAAAGCTCGCTGGGACTCATTTACTTTCTGCCGTCGCTTGTATGTCGATTCGGAGGCTCCGTTGATGACATTTGCGTGGCCATTCTCAGGCGATGCGAGGATACCTGGAGCCATCGTGCTGAGGGCAGCCTGAGTTCAACAAATTCGTCAGAAAGACCGATGTGTCTTCAACTTGTGAGTCTGGTGCTAAGGATCGTGCAGAAGTTCACCTCGGAAGATCTCATGATATTGTGTTGAGATAAATAATGCTGGATAGAGAGCTGGCAGCTCACGTTGCACAACCGCATCGAGCGGAGAAAGCTCTACTCGCTTGTGAACATCGTGCGGGGACGACAGAAAGGAGCTCCAAGGTATCTTGTGAGAGTAGTACTTGCCATTCCTCAAATGGTAGCTGGACAGCCGAGCGACGATTAACCCCAGAGAGCCTCGGCGATGAGGATCTTCAAGATCATGGCCCAGGAATCGGCTGCGTTGCCCTGAATGAGTCCTAAGCAGGTGTTCAACAGTGACAGCCAGGCCAGTGCAGATACATTGATCATCTTTCGAAGTTTCAGCAGGACGCACTAATGGAAGGATGATTCGTTCCAGGTAGGAACCCACCCGGGTCTAAACGGGTGGTTCTACGGTACCGTTCCTGAAGATTCCTTGTGAATCATCTTGGGGATTTCTACATTGGTGCCGTCCCTGTGAGAAGTTACATAGTGCGCCTCGGCGTAAGGCTCCGAGTAATGTTTTTTTGTTTTGGATGTTTTGGTGTGACTTCCCAATTTGGACGCGCAGCATCATTCACTCAACGCTCACACATGCGGACCCACCCGCGCCAGATTAGCGCATAAGTAAAAGTTGAAATTCAGTAATAGCATCCAATCACAGCGCAAGTCTTCCCCTTAGTCACAAGATGACTTCGAGCTGCCCGAAGTTCCTGCCTTGCATCAATGCGCAATCATGCACCTCGGTCACATTGATGATTTTGAGCCAGGGTGTCCTTCACAGGTGCGAGACTGTGATTGGTGTTTCTGTTTTGTTTTGCTTTTCCAAATCTTGCCAGTTCACCAAGCGGGTTTCGAACCCCCAGCCATTATCTTTTTTTTTTAATTCTTGTCTTAAATCTTGCCAGATCATTAAGCACCTCAGCCATTATATTTTTTTTAAAAAAAGAAATCTGTCGCAAACATGAGCTTACTTTACCGTCAGAGCAAGCTGCTGCTGCGCTGAGAGCTCCGTATGAGATGAAAGTCGAAGCGCGTGGCGCTTTGCTTGACGATAAGCCGGTAATATTCGCAAAGGCTTTGCCAACATCATGCGAGTGAGTGAACCTCCGCAGGCCGATCACATGAAAAGGGGAATGCCTAAGCTTGTCAGGTCGATTCTCTTCTTTCCCTTGCGCACAACTCACCACTTCAACTCCTCGCCGCGCCGCAGCCCACAATGACAAAGCATAGCCCCAGAAAGCGCCGCAGCAAGGAGTAAGATCGAGCGTTCAATTCCGGCCTGGCGCTGCAATGTATCTTCTTTCTGGTGATCACGGCACTCCACTACACGTACGTCCTCAAAGCCGGTACAAACAACCAAAAATCCAGGATAGCGGGAAGGAGGTGGATGCGAGCATCACGCCGTCTTGGATTGTATCGATACAGATCGTCGCAGTGATGCCGCTGTTCCATCAACTGTATGATGTGTAAGTGCCCGACCCCGAGTCCCTTCGCATCTGCTGACACTCACGGCGATAGCGCTCGACTGATCCATGGCGCGCGGCGTGATAGACTCGACTATTCCACCTGTCTCTCCTGGAAAGTCGTTGGAAATTTCTGCAATCGCATGGTGATCTATCTCGTCTGGAGTTGGTCGACGACCCGGCTCCTCTGCCGCTATGCGGCCAGTCTGCCACAACCTGAAGCGCCGCTTGGAACCATCGGTGACGGGCAGACGGACCATGCGCTACAGTCTGCAGCTTGGCCTACTTCGTGATTATGAGATTCGAACAGCCAGCTTCTGGTATGATGCTACGCAAGATGTCTCCACTCTGGGAATTTGCAAGACCGGTCTTTGGAGTGATGCTCCGCAAGATGTCGCAATGCTTGGATTTTGCAAAGCACACTTTCAACATGATGCCGAGGGAGAAGCGTGAGTGACAGTCATCAACCTGCGTACGCTCCGAGCATGCTCGGTGCCGGCGACTGTTGGGAAGGTGTAGATGAAGACGAGGAGAGCAGCCAACGACCTGTCGCAGGAGTGCGCGCCAGACTCTGAACCACGAAAAAGCGGCCTCGACAGCTAAGGAGGCGATACGAGAATTTTCAACTGCTCAAAGAATGAGCGAATTTTGTAGTATCATGGGCGATAGGAATTGAGCAGGCTCAAGATCAGGATGCATACAGGTACTGCAACGAGGAGGATATACTTACAATGATCCATCGCCCACCCTCCATCCGATCATTTCACTTCACAAGTCCATACTCCTTTAAACTCGCCGCACTACTCAAAATCGCTTCCTTCGCACTCCTCGGCTGCCAGCCCAGCAGCTCCTTCGCCTTCTCATTCGAAGCCGGCTTTGCTTTACCAAGCTCCGGAGCAACAAGAGCCACAGCATCATCAAAATGTCCCATAACACGCACCACGAAGCTCGGGATCCTCCAGCTCGCCACTTTCTTACAATCCCCATCCGACAACCCAGTCCTAAGCATCTCCGCCACATCCTTGATCCAAACAAATCGATCATCAGATTGAGCAATAAAGCGTTCCCCCTCCGCTTTCGGATGTTTCATCGCGAGAAGATGCAAATCCGCCACATCGCGTACATCAACCACACCTAAACCCAGATTCGGAATTCCCGTCATAGTGCCATTGAGAAGGCGAAGTGGAAGGTCCAAACTCGCCGCAAGCTTCGAATTCAAAATCGGACCGAAAATCCCACAAGGGCAGATGACACTCAATTCCATTTTCCCGCCTTCTTTCTCTATGAAATCCCACGCAGCTTTCTCCGCGATGATCTTGCTTTTCTGATAGGCGGGGGCGCGATGATGTGGAGTTTTTAGGTTCGCCCAGTCTTCTTCTGTGAAGGGATCATTCGCTGCTCGAGCGTTGTGTCCGAAAATTACGGCAGCGAGAGAACTGGTCACGACAACTCTTTTGATTGTGCCCGTCTTCTTCGCGGCGCGTAAGACGCGTAATGTGCCATCTCTTGCTGGGGCGATGAATTCGTTTTCGTCTTTCGGCGTTACTAACGTGAGAGGAGAGGCTACGTGGAGGATAAAGTCACAGCCAGCACAGGCTTCTTCCCATCCATCGTCTTTATTCAAATCTGCCACGAAGAAGCGCACGCTGTTCGCTTCAGAGGTGGTCGCGCCGCCGTTTCGTAGAGCTTGTCGGATGCCTGTGGATTGCTTGAGATTGCGGACCGTCGTACGTAGTCTGTAGCCTTGCTTGAGTGCGTGGAGGATGCAATATGAGCCTAGGAAACCTGAGCCTCCTGTCACAAGAATGGTCTCGTCTGACTCCATGGAGTTGTAGAGGGAAGGAGGGGCTCAGGGCGAGCTGAAACAGCAATTGGTGGATTCATGAGGACCTGTTGGTTCGCATGTGAGCATGGGCAGGGAGCCGTACTTTTATGCTTCAGCTTTCATCAAGACGCGTGGTAACTAAATGCCTGCTCGCGGAGACAGGCATGGTGCTATTGTTAGGATATCCAGGGTTACGTGAGCATCCGTGCTGGCTACGTCGTTTGGGCATCCCACAAGACATGACAACGATGCCAGACTGCTAGGCATGATATATACAAAGGTACAGCGTATCATGACAGGAAGATGAAGCTGGAAAGAACGGAGGTGGAGAGAGGAAGGGACGCTAGAAATTGATTAAATGAACATTAATATTGATTCAGGGTAATGAAAAGTGGAATGCGCGGTGCTGTTCAGGTCACTAACTCACTATACCAATCATACATATCGTGCTTGTAAGATTACTATATCATACACATATCCACAAGATGAAAATGCTAGGGTATCTCTATCCCAACCACGCCACGCTTTCGTAACAACTCCTTTGCAGGATACCCTTTTCTTCGCACCCATTGTGCAAACGCCACGCTAACAAAACCGAGAGACTTGGAGGGGAAACTCGAACGAGCTACTCTCTCCCACCACTGACGTGCTCAAAGAAAGCCATGCCAGCAGCCAAACAACCTCTCCTCCTCGCCTTCGCCGCGAACCGCAGATTTTCAATTGCGACCTTCTCCTCCCAAATCGAATCATGCGAAGTAAAAGTCGCGACGGAAACACTCCCAAAACTAACCGTCGGTCTCAATGGCGGTCGAGTCGGAATCACCGGGTAGTCCTTCCGTTGTTGTTGTTGTTGCTCATATGTTCCGGAAGAGTAGCCGAGTCTCTCCTCAGTTGAGAAAACTGCTGAAGCCATTTGCGGTGACGGGAAGGTCTCTCCAGAGAAAGAGACATGCCTTGATCTTCGACGCAGGGTTCTTCTCGGGAGGTAGGCTCGACTGAAGTTGATCGTGGTGCGGAACGGATCGAGGTCATTGAGGGTGTTCGGCTGCGAAGACTGTTGGGCCAAGAAGTTCTCTGAGGAACGGTGTGATCGAAGCGGGTGCGGATGTGGTGGTCGTGGTGTTGCTGTTGGTTGTGGCTTGGCGATGAGGGTGCTGTCTGAGAAAGGCATGAGAGGCATGGTGCCAGTGGGAAGGATAGGCGTGGACAGAGGTGATCCATTAATGGTCGCCAAGTGTGTTTGTGTGTGTCAGAGATGGCGGTGTGAATCGTAATGGTGTGGCTGAAGTCCAGGTAGTGGTTGTGTTTGATGTTGTTGTAGACCAATGAGCGTGGAGAAGATCGACTTTGTGGTGCTGATCGAAGGTGGTGCAAAGAAGGGACGGGTTGGACGGGGTACATAGATATATCAGAAAAGAGTCGGATCTCCTCTCGACGAGAAGGAAAAGGCTTACCGAAGAAGTGGTCACAGGGCCAGATCCCAGCTTACCGTGCATCGCATGATGAAGAACCATGTCAACGTTGCTATGCAAAACTTCGGCAGCGGTGATAAGGTAGACAGAAGTGCATGAGATCCAAGTTCCGGGTAGCTGGCGAGCTGGAATAAAGTGATGTGGCTGCAGATCGTGTTCCGGAGAGGGTCGCTTAAGGGTCTTGGTGAAACCAGTTCCAGAGCTGATCATCACATCAGCCACCAGAAGGGGTGAAGGGGTATAATAAGCGATTGAGGCTGTTGCCTTTCACGGAGCGACCGCAGAGGCGTTCGTCACGCAAGCTGGACGATAGCACGCCAAGATGAACGCCGGTGAAGGTAGAGTCGAGATCTATCTTCTTCGACAGACGTTGCATGTCCATATCTTATCATTCTTATAACGCCATGGGACTGTCTCACAGGACATCAATGCTTCGTCGGTGCGTTCCCATGTTCTACCCACAGATATTGCGGTGGGCCATTCAACCATGTGCAGAGCTATATCTGGTACCCACGAGGTCCAATGATTTTGGGGACCCAAACCCGAGTTCCAGGATGAAGAGAGAAGATGATGTCGCACCGAGAATCTGGTCCTGTCGTGACACCAGCACGTGTAAAAGTGCATGGCCTGCTCGTGGCGTTGAAGTGGAAATGAGACTCCAGTCAAAACAGGCAAACGGATCATCGGAAAGAGCGATGGCGATAGGACCCCTGCAACAGCCACGTGCGAGGAGTCCCCGTCACTTGAGGGTTCTACAGTACAACGTGTGCTTTCGGCTTGGAGGAGACGTGAGTAATTAACTTATTGCGAGGATTCATGATGCCATTTGCGATGGCCCACGTCTCTGCAAGTGACGAAGAAGATTCCACAGCTACATCTATGTGATATTGATCACAAATATAGTGGTGGTCTTGGCTACATGGCATACATTTGCGCCTCACGACAACTTCCTCTTGAAGCCATATATTCACGATCCCCCGCATCCATCATCTACTCTATTTCAAAGTAACCAGCTCCTCGGCGCTGGTAGGATGGATAGCCACACAACGATCAAAGTCCGCCTTCGTGGCCCCCATCTTAATCGCAACCCCGAATCCTTGCAGAATCTCATCCGATCCCGTTCCCAAAATATGCAGACCCACAACCTTTTCTTCCTTCCCGGCACAGATGATCTTATACGCCGTCGGCCCTTTGTCGTCTGCCTCCATCATCGAGTAGTACATGCCTGTGAAGGAGGTTTGGTAGATCTTGATGGCATCGTCCCCAAACTTTTCCCGTGCCGCGGGCTCCGTGAGACCGATGGTGCCGACGACAGGGTGAGAGAAGACGACGGATGGGATGTTTTCGTACTCGAGCTTTGCGTCCGCTTTGCCGCCGAATAAGCGATCTGCGAGTCTGCGGCCTGCCGCAATGGCTACGGGTGTGAGTTCGTAGCCCTTGTCGCAGACGTCGCCGAGGGCGTAGATGTGGTCAACATTGGTGTTCTGGTAGTCATCGACTGTGATGTGGCCCTTGTTGTTAAGCTTGACTCCAGTCACATCGAGGTTGAGCTTCTCGATTTCTGGACTTCGACCAATGGCCCACAGCACGGTATCGATGTCCAGAATACCTTCTCCGTTGGAGTCCTTGTAGTGCAGCCTCTTGGAACCAGTGTCAAGCTCTTCCAGTTTCGATTGAGATGAGTTCTTGTGAAGGATGATTCCCTGGCGCTCGTACTCCGCCACCACCTTCTCTTGAATCATTGGGTCAAATGTCCGCAAGAACTTGTCGTGCCGAATGAACAAGTGTGTTTCCGTACCAAGTGCATGCAACATGCCGGCCATTTCCACTGCAATGTAGCCACCACCCACAACTGCGACCTTCTTCGGCTGCTTTGGCAATTCGAAGAACCCATCAGATGTGATACCGTGCTCTGCACCCTCCACAGGGGGATAGTTCGGGTGACCACCCACTGCCACGAGGATCTTCTTGGCCTTGATGTCTACCTCGCTCTTGTCATCCAGCACAACTCGCACGGTGTGTGGGTCCTGGAAGCTGGCGAGTCCGTGTAGGTATTCCACCTTGTCATTCTTCAAGTTCTTCTCATAGATACCATTCAATCTCTTGACATACGCAGCTCGCTTCTGTGTGAAGGTGGGCCAATCGAATGGTGCAGTGGTCTTCACACTGAAGCCGTAGTTATGGGCCTCCTTGATGGTCTCTGCCATCGCCGCAGCGCTCCATGTAATCTTCTTCGGCACACAGCCAACATTGACGCATGTTCCTCCCAGACGATCTACCTCCAGAGCAATCGCCTTAGCACCATACATGCCACTGGCTCTTCGTGCACTCGCCAGTCCACCCGATCCGCCACCAATGACCAAAAAATCGCATTCTTTCTGTACAGGCGCCATGATGGGCGATGAAGAGGAGAAGTGGCGTGAGAAAAATCGGAGCCGGTCCGTGGAAGCCGTCTCGAAGGCCTTTCGAAGTGGTGCGGATGCAGTGGTGAGGAGTCGAAGGGGTATTGATTGAGACACTTTGTCAACTTGCGAGAGTGAACCGTCTTGAGGCGAAAAAAGGACGGCTAATTACATGCGGCTCAAGATGACGTCTGATGCATCAACAAATCGCGTGCTAGAAACAGCTCTCTGCAGTAGATTTGGAGGGGTATATACACAGTTGCCCCAGTGGCCGGACACGGGAGGAGGAAGGTCAGAAGAGCCGTGTTGCTGTTTGGAACCAAGCCGGCCGTATCTGGATCTTCTCCTCAAGCTGTGACGGTCTACTTTGTCCTTTCCAAATGTCTTGTTGCCGTGTAGAGCGCTCAGTGTCATTCGTTGTGGCTGTCGATGAGTGATTACAAAATCGAAGGAATTGCGTTTGAAGATTTCGTCATCAAACGCGCCAATGATCTCAAACGCCGAACGCCGGAGCCGAGTCCGCCACTTCACGTCAGCAAGATTCCTCAGCATTCACATGAACAGGAGGTGCAGCGTGTATGCTTTTCAACAATAAGACCCCAGTGCATATTCTGCTGCAGTACACAGCATGCCAACGATTAGCGGCAGCGTTCAAAATCCAACTCCCATGCCTTGATCCATCAGTCGTACCCTTTAACGCCGTGCAGATGCAAAACATAAAGATCCGACAATCGTAACATCAACATACATCGAGAACAGGCTTAGCCACTGCACATGATGCAGGCCTCCGGGTTCTCAATACTGCACGCTAGGACAGCCTCGGCGTAGATGTCGCCTTCCCGGTCATCGCTCGCCTTCTCGCCATCCTCTTCTTGTGCAGACTTGGCCTTGATGGCAGGCTCTGGCAGCTCTTCTTGCTTGGGAACAGCGCCAAGGCCATCAGTAGCAAGTGTCTCTGGACTGTCGCCTTCGTCAATGTCAGCCGGGAAAGGTGGATTCACGACGGCGGACGAGGTTCTGCCAAATGTCCTCTTCGCCTTTGGCTCTGGTGGAGGCGTGGGCGAAGGAGTAATGACATCTTGAGGAGCAGCTCGCACTTCGTTCGTCTCTTTATTCTCCAACATTGGCTTCGGCGATGGCGAAGCAGGCTTAGCAGAGCTGACTGCATTGTATGCACCAGAAGCATTGCGCTTCTTGGCACCCGTTCGGGCGATGTTAGTATCGGCGACCTTGAGCATCTCTTGATCGACAGTGAACTGGATTGGTGCGGAAGCAGCCATGGTTCGGAGGTAGTACATGCCAGTCTTGAGACCAAGCTTCCAGCCAGTGAAGTGCATGCTGGTGATCTTGCCCATGGTGGGCTCCTTCATGTGGATGTTCAAGCTCTGAGACTGATCGATGAACGCACCACGATCAGCAGCCATCTGGACAATAGTTCGCTGACTGATTTCCCAGACAGTCTTGTACAATGCCTTGAGATCATCTGGGATGTTTGGAATGCGTTGGATAGAGCCACCGTCTGCGATGATTCGGTTCTTCATGTTCTCAGACCACAAACCACGGTCGACGAGGTCCTTAAGCAGCCATGGGTTGACAACCTGAAACTCACCAGCCAAGACACGTCGGGAGTAGATGTTGCTAGTGTATGGCTCGAAGCACTCATTGAAGCCCATGATCTGAGAAGTGGAAGCAGTTGGCATCGGAGCCACGAGGAGGGAGTTGCGCACGCCGTGCTCGGCGATCTTAGCCTTGAGAGCGGTCCAGTCCCAGAGATCAGTTGGAGTGACACCCCACATGTCGTATTGAAGTTCGCCCTTTGATACCGGGGAGCCTTCGTAGGTCTCGTATGGGCCAAGCTTCTCGGCCAGCTCACAAGACGCGGTCAAGGCGGCGTGGTAGATGGTCTCAAAGATCTGGATGTTGAGCCGACGTGCCTCAGGAGAGTCGAAAGGCATGCGAAGAGCAAGGAAAGCGTCAGCCAGACCCTGAACACCAAGACCAATGGGGCGGTGACGGAAGTTGCTCTTTCTCGCCTCTGGCACTGGATAGTGGTTGATCTCGATAGTCTTGTTCAAGTTCCTGGTGACCACCTGGACGACTTCGTGAAGCTTCTTGAAGTCGTAGGTCTCATTCTCAATGTCAACGTAGGTCGGCAGGGCGATCGAAGCAAGGTTGCAGACAGCTACCTCATCTGGAGCAGAGTACTCAATTATCTCGGTGCACAGGTTGGAGCTGCGGATTGTGCCAAGGTTCTTCTGGTTGCTCTTGCGGTTGCAAGCGTCCTTGTAGAGAATGAATGGACCGCCGGTCTCAGTCTGAGCCTCAAGAATGGCATACCAGATCTTCTGTGCGCGGACAGTCTCGCGACCACGACCCTCCTTCTCGTACTGCTCGTAAAGCTTCTCAAACTCCTCGCCATAAACATCGGCGAGGCCGGGGCACTCATTCGGGCACATGAGGGTCCATTCGCCGTTCTCCTCAACACGCTTCATGAACAGATCTGGGATCCAAAGCGCGAAGAAAAGGTCTCGAGCGCGGACTTCTTCCTTGCCGTGGTTCTTGCGGAGGTCCATGAAGGCAAGAACATCGGCGTGCCATGGCTCAAGGTAGATGGCAAAAGCACCAGGGCGCTTGTTTCCACCCTGGTCAACGTAGCGAGCAGTGTTGTTGTAGACACGGAGCATAGGAACCAGCCCGTTGGATGTGCCGTTTGTGCCTCCAATGTACGAGCCAGTCGCACGGATGCGGTGGACGTTCAGACCAATACCTCCAGCGTTCTTGGAGATCATGGCACACGTCTTCAGAGTGTCGTAGATACCCTCAATGCTGTCATCCTTCATGTCGACCAAGAAACACGAAGCAAGCTGAGCATTAGGCGTACCAGCGCTGAAAAGCGTGGGCGACGCATGTGTGAAGTACTTGTTGGACATGTAGTTGTAGGTCTCGATAGCGGCCTCAATGTCCTCGCCGTGAATACCCACAGCCACACGCATGATCATCTGCTGTGGTCTCTCAGCAACCTTGCCGTCAATGCGCAGGAGATACGATCGCTCCAGAGTCTTGAAGCCAAAGTACTGGTAGTTGAAGTCACGGTCATAGACGATAGCTGAGTTGAGCTCATCAGCATGCTTCATGACCACGTTGTATGTGTAGTCCGAGATCATAGGCGCAGCTTTTCTTGTCTTTGGGTTGACATAGTGGTAGAGATCTGAGACGACAGCCGAGAATTGCTTCTTGGTCTGCTTGTGGAGGTTGGAAACTGCGATACGCGCGGCGAGGATGGCGTAGTCTGGGTGAGTGGTGGTCATGTATGCAGCAGTCTCGGCGGCCTGTGATCAACGTCAGTAACGCTGCTAAAGTGGTTGCATATGAGACGCGTCGCGTACCAAATCGTCGAGCTGGATTGTGGTGACACCTTGGTAGACACCGTTGATGACCTTCATTGTTATGGCCGTGGAATCGACGTGCTCTGGGTCGAGGCCATAACAGAGCCTGGATACACGGGCTGTGATCTTGTCGAACTGGACGCGCTCTTTGCGGCCATCTATATGGGTGTCAGCGGAAGTCGAGAGGTGATGGTGGCGTCTTTGTCTGCCAGCAGTGGCAAGGCGTATGATGTTCTCTGAGACTGGGCCCAGGAAATATACGTATATGCTTGATACGTACCGCGCTTGTAGACGAACATGATCGTCTGTGGCAGCGAGGTCTCTACCTCGAGCTGTACTGGGTAATGGTGCAGATTGCTTCAAGCACAGCCTCCTGGTATGATGGTTCGACAACTCAAGCACAATCAATGCCGCTTGAGGAGAAGTTGTTAGAGGCTTGGGAGGTTGTTGTCGAGTGAAGCAAAGAGTGGTTGGTGCGATCCGGTGCACAGGAGGGGACGGCAGGCAGGATGTTTGGACCAGACGCGCTTTCCAACGCGTAAAGTCACGAAAAGTCCACGGCTGGCTAGTGGTTCCACCGTTCCAGCGAAACAGCGGCATCGGCGATCGGCGGATGACATAATCGAAAGGCACGTGCGCTGACTAGAGAATTTCTCGTCCAACGCGCTTCTCCGAGTCTCCAATAATATCGACATCCCATCGTATGACATTGAGCGGCTGAGTGTTCTTGCCGCGCTCAAGCTACTTCTGAAGCATTGCAAGCACCTCCTTCTACTTCCAGCGACCACGCTTCCTTTCTCTGGCACGGCAGAAACCTGCAACAATGGAAATGGTCGTTGAAGCGGTCCTGGCAACGATGACAGCTTGGCTAGAGAGAATTTTCCTGGCCATCTGATTGTAGTATCTGGCTCTTTCGAAGACTCGGCGACCTCGATTCTCCTACAGTCACGAGTTCAATTTGTAGCCAAGAACGAATCAAAAGGTCCGCCCGGACCGTCTCACTCGTGTTGCTGCATCTTAGCCTGGCTTTGAGGATGTTGCGTCTAATTGCTGAGATACATGCCATTCTGCACGATAAAACCTTGCCGGTAGAGATGAGTCGACTTCAGACATATCAAAGGAGATGAAAGGGAAAAGAAAAGGCTGAGTTTCGAAACTGCAATCATTGACTTTATATCTGATGCGCCTTTCGACACCCTCGTATAGCAGGACAAGGAAGTGAGGTTGCCTTCGTTGCCCTGAGCGGTATTTCTCAGCACAGCCGCCTTGTCTTGTTCGGCGATATCATCATACATCGACATGTTCGGTCGCTGAACCAAGAACACACTGAAAACCTAGTCCTGCAGACACTCATGGAGCACACTCTCAGTGATAGGCCTCAACATGCTGGTAACACACCCTCCAGAGAACGGCCTCTTCATTCTTCTTTCTAAGCTACTAACGAGGCGGCAACCAGTCAAAGTAGCCATATCCCCTGTAATAACTCGTCCGCTCGGAGCGTTCGTCGGCAAAACTGGGATGTCGACTAGAGTGAGTAATCTGATTGCACGGAACGATCAGATTTAAGCCGTGCGCTGCATTTAATAGCAATTCTTGCTCCACTTCAGTTCGTCGGACTTAACCTAGGACTTCGTTAAGGGGATCAACCAATTTCCTACCAGTCTTAGAAGATTGCCGAAAATAGTGAACGCAACGCGGAAGTGCACACAACCCTTGTCTGCGCCTGAGGGCCAAGAGCCAGGTGGATCGCATGTAATCAGACGTCGATCCCGTTTTGGGATTTCGTAGGTGATGAGGCAAAGGCGATTGACTGCTTCGTCGAAGAGGGCTTTCATGCCTTCAGCGTTGAGGTCTGGAGATGCTTGTGAGGACATTGGTCCTTGATTGCGCACTCCGTGCTCGACACATTTGCTAGAGAATGGATGACAAGATCGTTCAAAGTTCGCAGGAGCTGAAGTGTTGGCAATGGCAGGTTACAGATGCTTGTCTTGGTGAGAATGGACAGGCTAGGAGAGTGTCATATTTATGAAGGTCCGAGATGGAGCGAGAGTGGTTGTGAGATTCAAGTGCATCTTGGTTCAGTCCTACGCGGTCTTCGCGGAAGGTCTCAGTTCAAGTACCCGTGTCTCACGACTGCAAGAAGAGCAAAGCATGCGCCCTTGCAAGATCAGACAGCCATTCCTCAAGCCCTGTCTCAGGATGAATGAGGCCCTTCTCAAAGAACACCTGATGAACCTCCTGCGAAATATACGTGAACCACACGAACGTCCAAACATATCCGACAACCCTCTCAAACCTCGTCACAGGCGCTTCATGATTTCTCCCACCGGTCTCACGCCATACAAAGCGCACGCCGTCCTCTACCGTAATAAGGACAGCCTGACTCATAAAGAAGCGGAAATTGCCCATTTCGTCGGGTCCAGCACAGAAAGAGTACCAAGAATGTATTACGAAGCTTATAAAGAAGCTGGCGTAAAGCTTGGTGTATCTTGATGCGAAAGTGCCTTTCTTGAGTCCAAGAGTAGACACGAGGAGACCACTGTAGACCTCGAATGTTCTTCGGAAGGATTGGTGCCAGACTTGTCCCCAGGTTCGTCGGACTGACCATGCATTACCAACCCTGCCGAAGAGTGGTGGCCATTCAGCAGGTGAGCAGATGCCAAGGAATGTTGCGATGGCTGCGGCGGTTGAGTACAGCATTTTCGAGCTGTCCCACATGCGCATCTGACATGACCAGATGAACGTTGCCTCGATTGCAAGCGTGTATGCTAAGCTGCCATCGCCATCGTTGGTGTTACGTGTACGTAGCGTGGCTGAAAAGTTGATGAGGTACATTTCGACTGATCTTCGAATCCAGAGCTTGACTACTCTCATCAAATGGCGAGATGCAGCTTGCCGGTTTGTGAGACCGATGTCCGGGTTCGACGGGACCTTAGCGACTTGCCAGTTCCAGCCGATACCTCGCCAAGATGAAAGCAGCGCGCAAGCCCAATAGAAGCGTTCTTTATATGATACGCAATCTTCGAGTGCTACGCCTTTGATGCCGTGGTTCTTGAAGGTCTTGACTGTTGTGCTCGGACCTGATCGTGGTCCCTTCGGACTGTTCAACAGGCGTGCTTGTCGACCTTGGAGAGTCCCGATAACCATATGGTCGGTGAAACTCAGGAAGGTCAAAAGTGTGATCAGACAGACAAAGTAATCGTCGCTGATTGAGCCGGTAGTATATACGATCCGAGTGAATGCTAGGAAGAGAACGATAGGAAAGATGAAGACAACACGAAAAATCCCATCAAGCTGCGCCGTGCAAGATCCCAGGCAGATCGCTATCATGAGTGGTAGATGCCATCGCGGTTGCTGAGGCCTGGCATCGTAGTCAGGCAGATAGGGGGATAGCCGGGAGCTGATCAGATCTCTCATGTTTCCTTCGTAGCTGTGCTTTCTAATAGAGCCTTTGAAAAAGGTTGCTGTTCTGCTTGATGGCTACACGCTGCGGTGAGGTGTATATGCAAGATCGGATGATAGCTTGGTCAGCGCCAGCCTCCTCCAGCAAGCTCTACTCAAGAAAATGTAGGATCTGCATCTTCTTGGCGCTCGCAATGCCCTGCTTTGTGCGGACACACACCTGATTAGCCACTTACGAAGCGCTCTCACCTGTCCTCTCTGCTCGTCGCGTCACAAGCATGAACTCAAAGAGTGTCGCAAACAATACCTACTCTATGTGGCGTCCAATCTTGGCGGCGCACGTGCAATGCTCAGCGCCAAGGAGCGTATCTCTGGAGGCAAAATGTCATACAAGGCTGTCCCCGAGATTTCTCGGAGTACTTGGAGCATTGTAGGCGGTGTGGTGAGAAGCTGGAGTGCATCCTGGAGGCTGGGGTGGTGGTCACCCAGCAGCGCCAAGGCCGAGAACAATCGGAGCTCGGCCTGAACCCTGTCGGTCATCGTGGTTGATCTCGTGCCTTCAAAACTTCTCACGCTTTATTGTGTACACTGTACAGCATTTCGCAATGGCTGCGGTCACTCCGGAACAGGGCGTGGCCGACTTGAGCCTGAACGGCGACAAGTCCGTCGAAAAGCAGAATGGAGGGAAAGCCACAACCGGGGCCAACGACGATGTAGAAGGCGGCGACTCCGACGACGATGAGGCTGACGATGGCGAGGAAGGTCAGGCAAACGGTGTAGGTGGCGAGGGTGCGGCCAAGAAGAAAAAGAAGAGAAAGCCACGCAAGAAGAAGAAGAGTGGTGCGGGAGCGACAGGCGGCGGCGCAAAGGCTCAGACATCTCCTCCCACTAAGAAGGTGTCAGATCTGTTCCCCGATGACAGCTACCCTATTGGAGAGGAAGTCGAGTACAAGAACGAAAATGCCTACAGAACGACCAGTGAGGAGAAGAGGCATCTTGACCGGATGAACTCGGACTTCCTTGCAGACTACAGACAGGCTGCGGAGGTGCATCGAGAGGTCAGAAAATATGCCAAGGCTCAGATCAAGCCTGGTATGACCTTGACCGAGATTGCGGAAATGATCGAGAATGGTACGAGGCATCTGACAGGACACATGGGCCTTGAGGAAGGCGATAACCTGCTTGGAGGGGTGGCATTCCCAACAGGTCTCAGTTTGAACCACTGTGCAGCGCATTACACTCCAAATGCTGGCAACAAGATGGTATTGAAGGAAGAGGATGTCATGAAGGTCGACTTTGGAGTACACGTGAATGGCCGCATTGTTGACTCTGCTTTCACGGTCGCCTTCCAACCACAATATGATAATCTTCTGGCCGCCGTGAAGGACGCGACCAACACCGGTATCCGACTTGCAGGCATTGACGCTCGTATGAGCGAGATCGGTGAAGGTATCCAGGAGGCCATGGAATCGTACGAAGTCGAGATCAATGGCCAGACATACCCCGTCAAGGCTATTCGCAATCTCAACGGCCACACAATTGGTCACTACAGCATCCACGGCGGCAGTGCAGGCAAGTCTGTACCAATTGTCAAAGGTGGAAGCAACGAGAAGATGGAGGAAGGAGAGACATACGCTATCGAAACATTCGGCTCCACAGGAAAAGGCGTCGTCAGAGATGACATGGAGACATCGCATTATGCGAAGATTGCGGACGCGCCAAAGGTTGCGCTGCGTGTTGCAAGCGCCAAAACGCTGCTGAAGTCCATTGATAAGAACTTCGGTACTTTGCCTTTTTGTCGGAGATATTTGGACCGGTTGGGGCATGAAAAGTATCTGCTGGGCCTGAACAACCTGGTCCAGAGTGGCATAGTCGCCGACTATCCACCGCTTGTGGACATCAAGGGCAGCTACACTGCTCAGTACGAGCATACTATCCTGCTCAGACCGACTGTCAAGGAAGTGATTAGTCGCGGCGATGACTATTGATCAATGAGATATGACTTGCATGAGGCCACAAAAGGCTCGCCAGGAGTTTCCTATCAAACAAAATACCCTTGAAGCGTACAAATGAGTTGACATGTTTCTAGTATCCCGCCTATTCTTTTCTCATATCCATCCTCTTCCATCTCCCCGGCCTGCCGAGTGGGGCCAAGCCGATCACACCCCGCCGAGCCCGACTTCATGACATGGCTATGGAGAACCACTCATATTCCTACTTTACACCCTTGCAGCATATGCTAGCTTCCCTCGGATAGTCACGTCATACTCATGGCTCCAACACCAGTATACACGCCGCCATCAGGCCTTCGAACGAATCTTGAGGACTTTGCCGACTTCATCAAACAGCAGCACAATGTCAAGATAGGCAAGTCTGTGACCTCATACCGACAAGTTCACATAAATTAAGTCATTCTATCAGACAGCTATGCAGACCTTCACCGATACTCAGTCACTCGGATGAATGACTTCTGGATGTCATTCTGGAAGTTCACAGGCATTAAAGCTTCGAGACAGCCATCTAAGATATGTCAATCCAATCTCATACCGTCCCGATATTACTGACTAGAGTACGCTGTAGATGAGTCGCTACGTATCGATCAATTCCCGAAGTTCTTTGAAGATGCCAGACTTAATTACGCAGAAAACGCCCTGTGTGGAGCACGAAGCGATGCTGATCTGGCAATCATCAGCATCAACGAAGAAACATTGCAGTCGCCCGAGAAGTACACTTGGAAGGACATGAAGGATATGACAGCAAAGTATGCCGAAGCGATGATGGCGGCTGGTTTGTCGCTAGGCGACTATGTTGTATCCATTGGCAGCAACAGTGCAAGGTCTCTCGGTATTTTACTGGCAGCCGCGTCCATCGGAGCAGTCATCGCGAACTTTGCCACTGACATTGGCGAGCAAGCCCTGAATGATCGCCTTGATCAAATCCAGCCGAAGCTCATCATTGCTCAAACAACTTACTCATACAATGGCAAGCAGAACAGTATTCAAGAAAAGATCTCGAAATGCGCATCTGCCATCTCCAGGAAGAAGCAATGCCAGCTAGTGACGATCGGGCCTGATGAGAAAGTTTCTCACGATCACAGAACATGGCAGGACTTCCTCAGCCAAGCTAAAGGTGCACCTCTCCTGTTCGAGCAAGTACCATTCTCGACTCCTTTCGTAGTCATGTTCTCTTCTGGCACCACAGGTCCACCGAAGGGCATCGTGCATGGTCACGGCGGTCTCATCTGCCAAGGTACAAAGCAGCATGTGCTCCACCATGGTTCCGGTCCAGATGATGTACACATCCACTTCTCAGGCATCGGCTGGACTCTATGGAACATATCTCTCGGTGCGCTCTTCGCCAAAACAACCATGATTCTCTACGACGGCAGTCCGTTCTATCCCTCTCCGGAAAAGCTCTTACAAGTAGTCTTGGAAGAACATGGCGTAACAGGGTTTGGAGCCGGTCCTCGATATTACGCTGAATTGCAAAAGGCGGGCGTCAAGCCTAAGCAGTTCGCCAGACGACTTCACTCGATTTACTCCACTGGAGCAGTCTTGACCTCCTCACTTGCAGGTGTATGTATACTGACCAAGAATGCGAGGGTAGTAAACCGCCACGGCGGCTAGGTTTGCAGCGGCGGCTTGTCCACTTCTATGGTTGTTTGCAGGCCATATATGGACCGCTAAGAGGTCCAATTTCGAGCCAATTTGAAGCCTTGTAATCGCATAGTATAGGCCTGTAAACGAGGAGTTACAATAAAGCTAAACTAGACCTTATCTAGCGGCTATTTCCACCTCTTGTTTATCGACCTATTCTACCTCTTCCTCGCAGTTACGTGTCGCGCTTGTTTTAACCTCACTATCGCTATATATACTAACCATTTATCGCCGGAAGAGGTAAACGCGTTGCTTAGTAAGCTAGAGTGTAAGCAGCCGGTACGTCGTCTCGTCGCGAAGTCGATAATCGCTAAGGTATTGTTATCGCAGTTTAAGAGCCCGTTTCTACTAAATATATATTAGTAAAGGCAAAAATTCTTCTACCCTCGTAACCGTAAATACCGTCTAGAAGTAGACAATATCCGCCTTCTAACTAGCCGGATTGTCCGCGAGCAGTTAGGCGTACGAATAAGCGGCTTCGAATACGACGAATATCGAGCTTTTACTACTAATATTTAGCTTCTTAAGAGTCGACCGGTAAAGCTATCTATAGATCTAGCAAAGCGGCTATTTCGTAGGGTAAAGTTCGAGTATCGCCTTTACAAACGGTTTATAGACCATTAGTAAGCGGAAGTCGATAGGGGTAGTAATAGTAGTAGTAGTAGTAGTAGAGCGAGCAGTCGACGGCGGAAGCGTGTCGCTCGGAAGGCGTACGATTGCCTTGCGAAATTAACTATTATCGAGTTCTACGAGAAGGATTAAAACAGCGATTTAGGCGTATTTCTCGACAATACAGTGCTAGTAGACTTACCTACTAATATAACGGTGCTAAGGCCCTCGCGGGTTATCCTACTACCGCTAAACTATTGCTATTCGTATACTCTCGAGTTTATCGATAGAATATAGGTTAATAATAGTATAAAGGCTATTTAGAAGGAAATACTCCAATTTCGGGCAGGTAAGTGTAGTTCTAAGTTCTTAGCCGCTTATATACTAATATTGACCTGTTTTTAGGCTCTTCGACCGTTTCCGAGCTAGTTAAAGAAATAAGAAGGCCTAAGTAAGCGACAATATAGCGAGACGTAGGTGCTATAAGAATTATACGTAACCGAGTCCGCAATGCTAATAAAGCCGCTATTACTCGAATAAGCGACAAACGTAGGTCTAGCGCTAACGAGTCTATTTAATGTTAGTTATAATAGGCTCTCGAGTACCTAAAGGCTAAATTTGGCCTATATAGCGGCAATCTAACTAGTTAGGCTCAAGCTATCTATTTAGTCGGCGATAAGAAGAAGGGCACCTTCTAATCTAGTCTTATATAGGCTTCCGACTAGCAATTATAGCTTCTTCGCAACTATAGTAGCTTATTCTTGCTAGACTCTACATTTAGTACTAACAAGCCTCTCTAGCTATTGTTTACGGTCCACGTCCGCAATTAGCACCTCGAGTAGCTTCTAGCTAGCTATATGCTTCTGTCTTATAAGCAGGCGCACCTTATTGAGGCGGCAATAAGAGCCCTTCGTTCTATAGCCAAAACTGACTTCTAGGTCAAAATCTACTCTTATAATAGCGACGGCAGAAGGCAACACTTCTACTAGCGAATATACGTAAGCAAAGGACCTAACGACCTCTTTAAGCAGTCTGACTAGATACCACTTTGGTCTATTACAGACGACTCGGCTAGTAAGCAACGTGCTATTAACTAAGCGCTTAGCGATTGCTATATTTAACAGCGGCTTTGCTAACGCTACGTTGTTAAGACCTTTAAACAGCGGTTTAAGAAGCAACTACAGGTCCTTAAGGCTATGTCTAATGCTATGTTTATTGCTAGAGACTAAGACGAGTGTCAGCAGTTTATTAAGCGAGCGGCGAGTAATCTCGAGGCCTAGAAGGCAGTTAAGAAGCTAGAATACCTCCGCAATAACTGGCCGGCTTTATAGAGCGATCGATAGGCGACTTAGGTAAGGCTCGGAGATCCCCTTTTAATAGCTATTCGAACAACGTCACTACTCGAGGGCTATTACGCACACCTAAAGCGCCGAGACAAGCGTTAGATGCGCTAATAGAGCTTAAGAGGTGCGTATTCTTCCTATTCTTACCGTGTAGTCGGAATTCTATATAAAAATGTGTTTCTCGGTACGGCCGCATTCCTTAGAACGGCTTCGAGATTCATTAACTATCTTCCTTCTACATTCTTTCTATATTCTTTCTACTAACAACTATGCTATTCACTAACCATCTCTAGGCTTAGTAATGCACCTAATTCACCTCGATAATTATATCTACGAGCGCGCGGTTTAAAATAGCTAAATCGATATTTAGGGCTAGCTTCCGCTTTAGAAGGAAGAATGCTGTCTATCCTTTAAGAATTTGCCGCTTTCTATATAGAAGAAGATAGCCGATAAGCTTACACAGGCTTATAAGGACCGCGACAATAGCAAGCCTATATAGCGGATGTGTCTACCTGCTATAGACGAGACCGCTTGCACTGAATGCTTCTGCTACTTCTAGCATAGCTATTACCTTCCTTATAAGCATATATAGCGCTTCTATATCGATAGAACGAGCCGTCTTACTCCTTAGCGCTACAGGCTCTACATTAGTCGCTTCTAAGGACCTAATAGCAACCTAATCCATCCAGACTAGTATAATAGCAAGCTGATTTTTAACTATAACGACGACGACTATCGATCTACTAGATAGCTTATCGACCTTAATAAGGGACCTAGTATCTATAAGCTCCGTATAGTAAAGGAATACTTCTATTCTATATAAGAAGGGCTTATACAGACCTTCTTCCGCTTCTATAATAGCTAGGCTTCTAAGCTAAACGATGAATAGTAGTATAAAGCCTTGCTTTAGTAGGTAACGCACTACGGCAATATAGCTTAATTAGTAATAGACATTTACATACAAGAATAGCTTAATAAAGGCGCTCCGTAGGCCTATTTAATACCTCGTCGTAAAGCTAAGTAGCGCTTAGCAGTCGACGATAGGCTATTACAACAACTAGTCTTTAAACAACCGCTAGTACCGCTAGCACCGCTAGCACTGCTAGCACCGCTAACTCTAGCACCTTTAGCCGCCGACAAGGCTCCGCGGCGGCTATTTATTGTCGTTAATAGTAGTGCGCTACCTGTCTACGGTCTAGTTAACAAGCACAATATTATTAATAACGTTAACTTTACTCTAGTCGTTATAGATAGCAATAACGACGCCGATGTAAACCTCTCCGACCTTACCGATAATAATGCGCCTTATATAAGCGACGAGGACTTCTTCTAAGGCCTATGCGATACAGACCTTCTACAATCTATACTACTTAAAGCTAGTCGACTCGAGAGTAGTCGATTGCCGCTATCTTTACTAAAAGACGCTAGCAAAAGTAATTAACACGATAACGACGAGGTATTAAGGTATTAATCCTTACTAGACGATTTGCTATTACTAAGTAAGCTGTTTCTACTACGCTAACCTCTACCTTCTATAGAGCTACTACCTTCTTCGGCACTATCTATAGCTTAGCATTTATTACCTATATAGTTACCTAGTAAAGATACTTCAATTGATCTACTATAGCTATTAGGTAGCTCTTATAAACCTCGTCGTTAGAAGCCTTCAATTAGTGAGCCTATAACACCTTCGAAACGCGCTCGTAGAAGGTTATACGTAGGTGTACTACCTAAACCGTACCGGATAGATTAATCCTCTCGTACGCTATCTCCTATACTAATTGGACTACTAAAACGACGGATCTAAGGAGAGGTTGTCGCTTCTAAGCAGTAGAAGTGGTAGTGCTAAGGTATAGGCGTGGACTTAGTCGTTTTCGAGCGATTACGGCTGTTCGGAACGGTGGAAATCCGAGGTAATTGGGTTGCACAAGGGGTGTTTGCAGTACCCCGATTTGTACACTAATTTGCGTGGTTTCAGGGCACTTTGCAGGGGCTTATAGAACCCTCGAGGTATGCTGAAGCTACTTTGAATTTAACTTCTTGGTCAGTATACGTGGACCTCTCACTTGCCCGCTGGATTGCCGAAGCTTTCGGTCCCGTGTGTCAGATCCAATTCTCTGGTGGTACGGAACTTTGCGGCAATTTCGTGATTGGTCAACGTACAATGCCTGCGTATCCTGGCGAATGTGCTGTCAAGGAGCTAGGCATGGATATTGATGTCTTCACAGAAGACGGCAAACCCGCTCCAGAAGGCGAGAGAGGCGAACTAGTGTGTAAGAAACCATTCCCGAACATCCCAGTCATGTTTCTCCAGGATCCTGAAAAGAAGAGGTATCACGCTGCGTATTTTGAAGGCTTTGAAGGTGTCTGGACACACGGCGACTTCGTAAGGATCAGTCCTGAGACGAAGGGAATCTATGTACTGGGCAGAAGGTTCGCATCCTTCGGAAGTTTGGCGATTAGCTCTGACAGAACTAACTTTCTCGTAGCGATGGTGTCCTCAATCCTTCTGGTATCCGCTTCGGTAGTGCAGAAATGTACACCGTACTCGAATCTCCTTCAATCAAGAAGCACGTCATCGACGCTCTCGTAGTTGGGCAACAGCGCTCAGACTCCAAATTCTCAGACTCTACAGAACGAGTCCTGCTTTTCGTCAAACCCACCCAATCTTCAGCCTCTGGAACCCTCACTCCGAAACCCAAGGTCGCCGATGCTATCAAAGCCAAAGTCATTGAAGATCTGAGTCGAAGACACGTCCCACATTTCATCTTCGAAGTCGACGAGATTCCCTACAATGTGAACGGCAAGAAACTTGAGACCATGGTTAAGAAAATCGTAAATGGCGGAGAGGAAGTGCTGAAAAACTTGAAGATGACAGATGATGAGGCTCGAATGATGAGGAGTTTTGTAAAGTTCTACGATGTTGATCGTGTAGGAAAGGAGAAGGCAAAATTGTGAGATGGCAGGCTCGATCAGATGAAAGCAAAGCGGGTGACTGGAAGAATGCACGGACTCGCTTTCCACCCCCCCCCCCCGGTGAACTTCATGTATGCAAACGGCGCACCCCGTGACCCCGTGCTGTTTGTAGTTTTTCTAATGCGCAGCTCCGAAACCCCTGTGCTAGGCATCACCAGACGACCAAATCCGTTCCATCGCCGACTCCACCGTCCCCGACTCCACTAAGAAGAACAAGAAAACTCCCCCACAGCAATCGCCACGATGTCGATGGTCTATGGCCACGTTAACGACAACGACAATTACCTCGCGGTCCGCGTCGTCATCATTGCTGGGCATCGTCATCTGGGGCGATGCGCATCGCTCAGCAGGAGCAGGAGGTTGGTACTCTTGCGGCAGCGGTTGGACATGCGCAGTGAATGACTGCCAGTGGCATGTGAGTAATCGCTAGCGATAATTCCTTCATCAGGCAGTACACTAGGTTTCAACAGTTAGATTTTCAGGGATCACCCCCGTCCGCCTACAATTAGACATTTAACATTGTCCTCGAGATCTACATAAGTTATTACCCCGTCGCTCGGCTCGATCAGGACATTGGAAGCACTGCCGTGCTCAGAGCCCCGGAGGCTCTGGAAAGTCTGTAGGGAGTATACAACTCTAAAGAAATTAAGTACGTACCCGGGATCCCCTCAGTAGTGTTGGTCTGGTATCGATAGGGGCAGCAGCCTATATATACTGTAAGTAGAAGTCCCACAAACCATCGATCGCTTTCTTGCGAGTCAAGCTACCTCAAAGATGCAGCTCACAATCGTTCTCGCCCTGATTGCGGCTTTGGCCAATGCAGGATTGGCACCCATTCCAGGCTTCAGCCAGTCTAACGATGTATATTTTCGATATGCCTCTATGATCAAACGTGGCTTACCTAGCGATAACAATCCACCGGGTGGCGAGTCTGGTAAGAGAAAATCAGAGTCACGAAGCGAGGTATTGCGAATCCTAATCTGTCCTGTATAGGTTGGAAAAAATTCGACGCAAATTCAGGTTGCCCACACAAATGTTGCAAAGCTACTGAAGCTGCTGGTTGTGTAAGTCGACGAAGCGGTATTTCGGGATTACTACTTGCTGACTTTCTAGACTGGTTGTTGTGCCTGGGATCCAGATCACCCCCATCCGGCACCAGGCCACCCAGGCTACGTTGAGGGGATGCCTCCCCCTACTACTCCGCCTTGTGAGAAGACGCATAGTTGCCTCGGTTCTCCATCAGGTAGTCCTGGCAAAGGTGCTCCTGCTCCTGGGCATGCTCCTGGAGGTCCCGCTCCAGGTCATGCTCCAGGTCATCCACCACCTCCTGGGGGTTGTCACGGGAAGCCAGGTTGCAAAGTTTAACGAATTCCTGGGCCAAGTCCGCCGGACTGAAGTGGAGCAAGAATCTCTGTTAAATGCTGCGCACGGCTTAAATCTGATGGTTTCGTGCAATTGGATCACTCACTGTAGTCGACATACTAGTTTTGCCGACGAACGCCGCTCAGCAACGAGTTCTTACGGGGGGCAATGGGATTCCTGGAGACGGATGTTGTCAAGTGCGAATAGGTGTGAAGCGGCGTTTAGGGCAAATCACTCGATTAGCACCGCACTGTAGTAGATGTGTGTAGTATGCTTTACGATTTTCCTTGTACGTTTCTATGGCCTCTATACACCATTTCCGTATCAAAAGATGACAGTTGGGAGAATTGTCAAGCGGTTCTGTACTATGATCGGAGCGAAGCAAGGTCAGCAGACAACACCTTCGCATCCTCGTCGCAAGCTCCTTGAATGCTCTAGCTTACGCCTGTTTACGAGCGGAGTGGAACGTTTATGAACTTAACATTGCGTGTGGAGTGTTCGCCGGCGGTTCGGTCTGAGGATCCGCTCATACAAACCAAGAAAGACGTCTGATTGCAAGAAATCGAAAGAAGTATTGGCCTGGATAGCAAGAGCAGGAAGGACGGCGGGTATCAACCGTATCATAAGAAGCCAGAGGGCACCAAATTCTGACAGTTCTTCCACTCAGCAAGCCCCTCGAATCCGGCTTACGCCTGTTTACTTCGCTTCGCTCAGATTATCGCTAACTGTCTCCCGACGCTGAAAGCTCTGGTTGAGAGGGAAGTACTTTCCGAAACGTTTCAAGAGCTCCCCTTCCATGGGGAGTAGTGGTTTCAGAGGTATCCCTTCGGCAGACACAGGGGAGGGTCGATAGAGAAGCACGTCGAAGAAGAAAAAAGCCGATGTACAGGTTGGAATGGAGGTCTTGACAATGATGAGCAAAGGCATCTTGCTTGTTTCGTCGGGCCGAAGATTGTTGGCGAAGCACACGATGGCCCACCTCCTTCCTTCTACCTTCCACCTTCCACCTTCCGCAGTGTAACTTCCATCTTCTTCTTAGCCTCGATCGATACACTCGGATCTTCTCGCCATGCTCTATCTATAGAAGAAGTCTTCATCGCAAGGAGAATAGTGTGGTTAGGTGTGGGTCTTCTCGCGTGGTTGTCCGACATGGACGCAATCAATCAGCAAGGCGCTGAAACGGAGATTGAAGATGGCAAGGAAAATCTTCTCAGTCAGCGTCGAGTCACATCAGCGTGAACTTTTGTTTCACATGTCTCATTTTCGAAACATCCCTTCCTCCCTCTACCCTTCCTCTATCCTTGATGACACAAGGAACCTTTCCGCGGACCTTGCATGAAGCTAGTACCACCTCTAATAAATTTAGAAATAAGCATCGAAGTGATAAAGTCCTCATCAACAACCGCACCGTCCCGGGACTATGTGGAGGCATCTTGTTGCAGCTAATAAAAGTTTTGTCTCGAAGAAGAAGAAGTGTCACCACTCCCTCATAACGAGTAGGGTTTCGGATTCTAGCGGCATAAGTGACTTTGACAAGAGAATCGACATGCTCCACTCTCAACAAGCCACGACTTACAAATTAAACCATAGATTTCCGTCCTGCTGCCATATATGATAATAATGCCCGACTTGTGTCGGCTGCTAGGCCAGGACAAAAAGAAAGTTCACGCGATGCGATACAGCATAGCATTCTACAGCACCTTGCCAAATCAAACCAGACCATCTTTCGGCGAACACATGTTTCACCGGATAGTTGTCACCTGCATATAGGAAGTCGCTCTATATGGTAGAAGAAGCCTTCAACTTTAGATTTCCAGTTTCTAGTTTCCAAATCCTCGCTGATACATACAAATCATCACCACGTGCAACGGAAGGGAGGGCCGGCATCCAGGTTCAGTAAACACCAAAGTCATGTTCCTGCATACATAGGGACCTGAATCGAGAGCCGGTACTCTACCGACTCGCGTCGGGAGTCAGATACCTATCATAACAGATTCAATAATCAACGCCGGGGATTCGCTGTTAGGTCAGCGAAACGGCGAAAATTTTTGCAAGATGTTTCATTTACGTGGGTTTGTAGAAATTTTAATATGTGTTTTTTTGGGCAAACCACTCATCGTGAGATGCAGTGGTCGCGTATACTATATCAACTGCTCTTTTTTAAGTGATGATTTCAAATACCCATACTTTGACAGTTTCGAAGTGAAGATGCTCCAGGACTGCAAGCGTCTAGCAAAAGCAGACTCGTCCTTTCAACACATCGGTGCAATTGGGTATCCCGGTGACAAGTCCCGCCCATTCAGAGGCCAACACGAAAGCGTTGGGCTCATGAGATCAAACTCCTGTACAGCAGTAGTAGTGTCCTTTTTTTCCCTGGCCAGGGCGACATCCAGTCAAGCCCTCGTGTCCGTGACTCCGCGCTTGCAGGCCCGCAGAACTTTTGTTTACTCTCGCTTGTTTTTTCGTGAAGGTCGTGATCGTGATTTTCATAATAATGTGTGCTGTGTGGTGTGCTGTTAAGACAAAACGGTGAAGACAAGGTGCACGCATCCTCCGAGGCTCCGAACATGTGCCGCCCATGGGTATTGTCACCTACGGGCGGCGTTCCCCAAGGTCGCGCGTGGTCCGAACAAGGATGTCGGGTCCGTAAAGATTTTGAGAAATGACTGCTTTCTTGATGGCACCCTCCGATGCTGGATTTTGGCGTATTGAACCATTGGTCCAACGATGTCCGCTTCTTCCACCTTGGGGAACTTTGATGGCTGGTTGGGATCCTCCAGTAATGGCATTTTCGAGATGGCCTGCGTCTCGGCCAAAGGCTGATAGAATGTGTTATCGGCGCTAACCTGAGCTTCGGCATTGGCTATCTCGTGGTTTGCCCGCCAAACAGCGTCTATCTCAGCCCACTTTTGTGCCGTGAGTTTGTAGGTCTGCGATGTGACGCCGTAATGCTCGCTGATGTGAACGGCTTGACGCATGAATTCGACACGAGCAGCCTCCCAATCATCAAGCAGTTGCTTACACGAATGTGCGTCGCAAACTTCCGGCAGGTAAGGTTCAGGCGTGATGTGAAAGTTCGCATGGCCAAGCTTGATTGCCCAGGGATCAGTCTCTCTCTCCGCAATTGACAGCGGAGGAATTTCCGATGAAGGTTGTAGTACATGGCTCGAGCGAGACGCGTGTAACGAAGCCATAGAGTGTTTGGTCGACAGTGGCGGCGTCGGGAAGCTCGTAAATACTGGTGTTCCTGAAGGAGTGTTGGCTACGGATGCTGCTGCACTTGGTGATGCCACCGTGGGAGATGGCAGCGGCGATCGAACTTCGTCCAACGAATGGTTAAAGTAGCTTTCCATCATGGGTGGGAGCAAGGGAGTAGAGGCAAGCTCCTCGCGATCGATTGTATCTTCTCCAGGTGTCGGAAGCGTGATCTCCACAGGCCTAGTCGCATGAGAGGAAGCTCTAGCTCTTGGTGGGCTCACTGAGCGGTCGCTATTCGATGTGGGTGCAGGCGAAAACGGCATCGGCGGCGTCGGCGGCGTGCAGTTCCGGCTGTCATGCACATTCGGCATGGTAAAAGATCTCGTGCTCGGCACGCGAAATGATGAAGATCGCGAGCCAGGTGCGCTCCGAAAATTGGTAGTGGAGGCAGACGGTGTTGATCTGTGACCTCCAAATCGCTTAGAAATAGATGGGAAATGTCTGCTCAAGCGGGACGATAGATTGTCAGTGGAGAAGTCTCCAGATCTGCGTCGTTTGGTCGTTTTTGGTCCTGTAGGCAGTTGAGCAGTCTCGAAGTAGTCATCGCCGGGCGTCCATTCGGGCGTTGATAATGAAGCCGATGTTTGTTGTGAGATTGGATGTCGTCGATGCTCACAAAACGGTGTATCGCAGATACACAGGGGCTCGTGTGCGCTGCCACGAGGCTCATCAAAAGAATCGTCGCGCTCAGATGGATCTTCGACCAGATCGTGAAGTTGCGTCTTATTTGGATTAGCTGGCGAATCCGGGTTGGTGACCAATGACGAGGAAGAACTGGGCCATCTGGAGTGACCTCGCGTGGAGAATGTGGGTGTTATGGGAGACGAGGCTGTCGAGGCAGCAGACGAGTCGCGTGAGTGAGTTGGCGAGAACTGATGTGGCGACGGCATTGGCATTGCAGACATGTTTTCATCGAGGTTTCTGGAAGTGTTGATTCGCGGGAAGGAACGAGAGCGTGCCCTGTTCATATTGAATGAAGCACACAGCAGCGAGCGGATGGATACTGCTATAGTAGAAGATGACGAGACATTGTCGGCGGTGCTTGTTGTTATTGTTGTTCTTATCGATGCATGTAGGCCCAGTCAGAGTCGGGTTCGTGGCGGTGGCGGATGAGAGTTTAGTTTCAGCGTGGCACGAAGCGCGTCTTGCTCCGAGGTTGTTGTGCGTTGGCAGAGGACCGGTAGGGTTGCTGGGCGCGGCGCTTCGAGGTCTAACTCTGGCGCGTGTCGATTTGTCCGGTGTCGACAGTCGGGTATGGGTGTGGGATGGGTGCAGAGGTGGTGAGGCGCGCAGTAGGTGAAGGTGAGGTTGGAGGCGTGTGCGCGTGCAGGACACAGAGAGGGAGTGTGTGTAGTGCCTGTCGATCAGGTGTGGTGTGGGTGTGGGTGTCGATGTCGATGGCAGGTCAAGGTTGAGGTGGGCGCAAAATGGATTCTGTGAAAAGCGGGCATGGGCACGGGTGGAAGGCTGGCAGCCGAATAGAGCAGGCACTAGCACTAGCCCTGCCGACGCTACGCCTAGTGCGAGAGTGGGAAGTCAAAATGCTGAAGCGATCGCTTACAGCCTGCAACCGCCGTGCCTGTCACGTGACCAAGAACCCCAAATGGTTGTCCGGCGCCGTGATGCACGCACGCTGTTGTTCGCTGTTCGATGCGGCTACCTGCAGCATCTCGCCGTCCCCTTTTGTGCCAATTGCATGTCGCCTGTGTCAAACGCAGCGCGAAAAACAATTTGTTTCGTCCAGCAGAGCAGCCCCGGCGGCGCAGAACCGCACTGCCGGGCCTGCCACATGGGATGCGATGCGATGCGATGCGATGGGATTTCCTGACCGTGGTAGCCACTTCGCCTACGCTATCATCAATCCATCTTCCTCTCCTTATCCCTTTCCACCGACACTGAACTGCCGCCTTGCCCTCGCCGCTCCACGCACGACTTTCTACCGTGAACATGATTTGTGTTCTGTTCACGTACCACTGAAACCACGAACATTTGGCTGAGAATTGCCAGACCGGCAGGATGTTGTCGACCCATTATTGTGCTTGTACGGAGGGCCACGTTCTGCCGTTGCAACGGCGATGCAGCGTCTGCGATGCGCATCGATCATTACTGATGACCTGTCATCTGCCTCCCCCAAATCTGATACATCTGCTGTGCGACCAGTACAAACCGACCACCTGATTGATGGTGCTCATCTCGACCCGGATGGCAACCCCTCTGTGTCCATCCTCTGCATAGCTTAACGCTCGCGTAGATGTAGCTTAAACTGTCGTGCTCTCTTTGCCTGCCTCGCAACACCCTGTCATCGCACAATGTGTGCAACCGCTGCGTACCGTATCGTTGTCTCTGCAGCAGAGATTGAATGGGCGCGAGGCGTCATCTACCTGCGGCCGCATCTGCCAGCCACACACCTTTCTTCACGACCACAGAGGGAAACACTTGCATCTGCGGTGTTGACATGTAAGCCGACACCAACATCTTGTCCAACACACCTACAATCTCTCCACATGCAGATTGCTCAGCCGAATGTTCAGCTTTGATGAAGAATTCGAGCAGCCCAACGTCAATATCGAGCATGTCCGTAGATGGATCAGAAGGATCCCTCGTCAGGCCGAGATCGTATTGGTCCTTTGGTGGGCTCATCACTTTCCTAACTTAAGCAAGGCAGGCGGGACTTGTTCGCCCAACAATGTTGTGCCCTGCTGTGGAGCACAGTCCGAAGTGACGAGCACAACAAAGCAGACTTTTCGGTTTCCAGGGTGCGGATGCAGAGTTTGACTCCATCCCGGGTCCTTGGCACCCACTCGTCGCACGCATTCGCTGCCTCGCAAACTTCGACGAGAGAAATCGACGTCAGACTCACTTTTTTCGCGACAGATGACCAAAGTTTCTGCTGCGAGATGGTCTCTCATGATGGCGTCGGAGTGACTCGCATATTATTCTGAAGTCCACAACATTATTATCCGCACATAGCTCGCGACTCATTCACCCGCAGAAGGAGCAAGAAGAATTCCTCCGTAGAATGCGGTATTTCTTCCTACTTGTCAGCACTTCCCGTCTTCTCATCGGCAGCGCAAAGTAATAAGGCGTTTTTTCTGATCGGCAAGCCTTTGCGTTCATCCGCTGCCCGCTGCCCGCTGCCCGCCTTCTGCAGGTACAGCCAACAGGGCTGCAGAAAACAACGTGTCCTTCGACGACAAACAAGAATAATGCCTGCCCGCTGCCGTCAAGCGTCGCGCCGTCAACTCACTAGCAACCGCGAAGTCAAGTCGCAAACAGGCACCGGGAACGCAGAAGCAGGTACAGCGCGAAGCATCGGCGATTTCTTCCCTTCGAGAACTTGAGCTCGAACGGCGTCACATGACTGTTCTAACGCTTCGCTTCGCTTTTGCGATGTTCCCACTGCCCAGCGTGCGAGGAGAAGGGAAGGGTCGAATTTTTGTTGAGAATTGTTCCTTTCACAAGATGGCAATTTCCTGTCGCTCCACAACAAAGTATTGACCATTGCTCGATTCGGAGCTCTACCTGCATTTGTAACCCAGGTGTTTGCCAGGATACGATCCACATGATCACCTGGTTGCTGATTGGTTCACAGCCCTTGCAAACGCCTGTTGCCGATGCTGTGTCTGTGCCGATTCCATGTCCGTACGAAGAGACTGGAAACGATGGCACTTGGCAGGCGCAGCACGTCAAATGCACCATCAATTTGTCGGTGAATCTGTTGGGCCAATTGCTGGTGTTGAGTGCTGTAAGTGACGACAAGCGAGCCAGCAGGTGATATGCGCTGTCAGTTGCTATACAAGCTTCCGCGTGGCCAATGGCATCGCCAAATGTACTTCTAGCGCGGGCATGAAGACAATGTCGCTGTTCGTGATGCGATAACAAGAACGCGTGTCGCGGCAGAGGATGCAGATTTGCTATGCAGTGACGGTCATCGGGCTCATGAGATCCAAAACTTGGTCCAGACCGACCTCTGCTCGTCAGTGCCATCGAACTTGAAGTCTACCTTGACGATGTCCTGGAATCCTTCTTCGGCTCGTGGTTCACGATATCGGGACGTGAACCCCGAGAATGCCATTGGCGGTAATATTGTCCTTTTCTCGGGGTTCATCTAGGCGATTGGTTAGTATCTGACGACAGCTGCATGAGCCGCATCCGCTAAAATCTGACATACCAGGCCGTTGGACAACGCACGCACGGTATCGTTGTGCTCGCAGAGCTTCGCTGGTGCTGTGAAGTGGACGAGACGAATGGGCACTTGTAGCTTTCTGGCAAGTCCAATCCAGGCTGCGCGGACCTCAACATCTGCGTTAGTGTTATCTACCACCACAGATGTCTTCTCCTCAATGAACTCGGCAGCCTTCTTCATGCACTTGTCTCTCGTTTTGAGGATGTCCTGGTTCACGCGCTCATACCCGAGTGGCTGCAGACGCTGCCAGTAAAATGTAGACTTCCCAGCACCAGGACTGCCACAGAATAGCACAATGTCCAGGTCGTTCTTCTTGGTAAACACGACAGGGTCAAGATCAGTCTGAGAATCCAATTTCTTTTCCACGTATGGCGCAGGATCGAAGCTTCGGATAAAGGATTTGGGTTCCTCTTCCAAGAAATATTCCTCTGGCGTCTTGAAAGGGATTCCCGCATTTGCAGCAAAGTCGCGATCTGAGCATGAATGATCCTTGCGCACCTTTGCAGACTTGTCGCCTTCGCGACCTGCAGCGTCCCCAACAAATATACAGCTGTCGTGATCGACATCTGTACTGCCGTTGAGTCCGTAGTCCTTGAGCATTTGCTGCCACATGCCACTCCTCGGCTTCCGGAACATGTCTTTCTGCGTTGCTGCGTACGCCGTGATCGGCAGGTCCAATGCAGTCAAGACAGCTGACACCTTTGACTTGAAATTGCTGAGGCTCTTCATGTCACCTGCTTTCTTCGGTTCAGGCTTGAGCACGACCCGACTCTGGTTGCTCACCACAATCACAGCATAGCCGTCTCCATGTAGCTGCTTCAACTTGAGCGGCACGCTCGAATGCCACCATTTCCAGTCGTCGGGCCCTTTCGAAAACGTGTTTCCAGATTTAGTTGTAATCAGTGTGTCGTCAAGGTCAAAGGCCGCGACTTTCACAGGCTTCGGTCGGGAGAAAGTGGTTGCACCTTCATATCGCCCGATGAACAAGCTATCACCGATTGTGGAGAAGGTGACCTTTTCTGGTTCTTTCTGTGATGCTGGCTTGAAGAAGTTGGCCACAGCCTTGGTGGTCGTTGTTGCTGCAGCTTTCCTTTTGGTGGGCGGAGGGGAAATGTCGCGGTCTGTTGTACTCTTGCGCTTAAGGGTAGACATGGTAGGTGGCCAGAGCATGCGCGAGAGCGGTCGGACTCTCTCGGCTACTCTACCTTTTACAAAATGTGTACTGGTGTTCATTGATCATCGAGTCATCGAGGTGATGGCAGGACTACAGCTGGAAGTCGTGCTTGAACAGGTACGCGAAACTGACGCGAGGCCACGCGCCGAGTCGGCCCACTTTCCTGCCCAGTACTTTCTGCTCTGCTCCTTCCCTTCCTCCAAATTACCCTCTGGTGTGTCCATCGAAGTCATGCATCATTTCCTGTCCAGCAGTCTTGGACAGTGGGCGAAGGTGCAATTATCACTCGACGCAAACCAACCGAAGCATGTCAAAGAAACAAGACACAAGCATAAGAGCCTGTTGCTCGAATTGACACCAGTTTGCTGAGAAATTGCCTGAAAACATCTATTTCTCGTGAATCGTGACCGTCTAGACTTCGAACCAAACCAAACCAAACCATGTCGCTATGCAAATCAACCACCATTACAGATATAACAGTTCTGAACACGCGTATATTTCTAATTCTCTCGCTTCGATCTGCCGAACACAGGCAACTTTCTCTTTCCAGGCTTCTCGCTGATGCCGGGTGTCTCACCGTCCCTCCATGCTTTCTTACTTCCAGTCTTCTTTCCCCTTCTGACATCTCTTCTCGAAGCACAGCAGCAGCACATGCCCATCTGGACGAGGAAAGCAATGACTGAAGCTCCTGCAGCAACCCACATAAAAGCGAACATTTGGGTCCCAATACTGGCTTTGATATTCAGCTGAGTGGCAGATGTAATCGCGTTCTGCATGATGATGAACATGACTGTTGCAATGACCGCGGCTACGGTGGTGGCAAAGGCGGCGAGGAAGGTAAGAATCGAAAGTGGCAAGCTGAGCCATCGTGTGTAGACGGAGAGCGGAAGGAGAAACATGACCAAGAAGTCGAGGCAGACACCGGTGAGGAACAGGCCGAACATCCAGTGCGAGACCTGCTTGATTAAATTGAGGATATCGTTGATCTCTGCTGGCAAAGCGACTGTCACAAGGTCAGCAAAGTCAGAAAGGCCAGGCATAAGGCTCCCATGCGAAATCAGAACTTACTGGTTGCGCCGGCAAGCAGCTCGCTCTGAATGATCTCAACAGGATTGAACCAGTACAAATTCTGTGGTGTGCTGCATGCTGTAACACCCTGGCCATTGTAGCCCTCGCAGAAATTCCACAGGCCCACGGAGTAGAAATCGTGAAGACCCAAGGATTGAGCTATGCTGTTGATGAGCACGGCATTCGGGACGCTGACCGGAATGATATCGGAGACATCGATCTTGATGAAGTATATCTTGTTCCGTATGCTTTCGACTTTCGTGTTGCCAATCTCGACAAGAATAAGGAAGACGACAGATATCAGAAGCAGGAACGAAGAGAAAAGAGCCCAAAGGAATCGCGCTCTCGTCGCTCGTTTGACTTGGGCCTTGGTGGGTTCGAAGTCATTCGTGAGTGTGTTGTCCGAGTCCTCGTGAGGTGCGTCCGGTGCGAGGTCCTGATGCTGCTTGCATCCGAACATTGTGCTGATACTGCCCTCCCGGTGCTTTGAACCTCCTCGCTCGTGGCCTTCCGGTATCACCACCTGAGCAGAGTTGTCCCTTCCAAGCAGTACACGAGAAGCAATGACATGAAAGGGACATGCGCCAGAACTCCGAATCTTTCGAGACCGCGCAACGATGGAGAAAGCTACTTGTTTAGCTTACCGTGCGTAAAGAAGCGGGAACGCGCATCATAGCCACTGCTAAAACCGTGTCTTGCGCGTCCCCGCGGACATCGCAAATCGCACATGGCGCTCGCACACGCCTACACGCGGAAAACAGCTCTTTGCTGCAGCAGACGTCACGGTTGTTGGGAGAGAAGTCGATCTTTTCAGCTGCGACAGGGGTGTGAAATGTCGGCAGGCTGAGCCTAAATGTCGATTGTCGATCCACGAAAGACACCGCCAACTTTCTACCCAGAATTCGATTTGGAGTAATGCCCTAATCTCATTGAAGTTGCTCTCGGCCAGCTCTCTCCCTGTGCAAAAGCCATTGCATACAAAAATGGTATACAGTTCAATGAGAAGTCCTCTCCCACACCAAGCGGAGGAGGCCAATGCCCGTTGCCACAGCTTCATAAATGGAGTCCTATTGCGCGGCATGCTTGAAATCTGCTCTCCACATACGTCACGCAGACAGAGCGACGATGCACCTGCAGGATTGTTGCGGTAGCTTCGCGGTAGCGCTGCATCGCGCTTCTGCGCCGCGAGTTTGGCCTTCACCACGAAGTCGCTTGAGAGCCGCGATGTTCCTAACACCGTGATGCGTGTACACTGTGGCTCTGTGTGATTGCACAACTCCTCTTTGTTGCCCTCCAGAGACATCTCCAGCTTCACTTCCCGCTTCTTCTGGGCGCAGTGGAGCAGAGTCGGCTGCCGAAATGATCCCAAGGACCCTATGGCTGCTGTGCCTGGCAGCACTGGGCGTCAGCGGACGAGACAGCAGCTCCAGCAGTAGCGACACGGACGATTCGACCTATACATATTCGGCATTGTCCTTCACGAATTCATATAGGACCATCACTACGAACATTCCAACATCCGCTTTCACAGGCTCTGAGTACACATATGTCCAAGTCACAGGGCAGAGGACGGTCGACCAGAGCTCGTCAACAGCCACCGGAACAAGCTCATCGAACGCAACCGCGTCGTCGACATCATCAAACTCGCAGATTACGCTTTCGTCAAAGTCGGTGTCTCTCACGATAATCGGCGGAGTCACCACTACAGCCAATGCCACCAATGCCACTGCAAGCTCGACCACAAGCTCGACACAACCGATGAACACTGTTCCTTGTAACGGTTTCCCAGAGTTCTGCGCGCGGAAATACTCCAACATTACGCAGGTCACAGCTCATAATGCCGCCTTCTCTGTGAAGAACAACGCAGCTTCAAACCAAGAGCTCTCCATCACCGACCAGCTCAACGACGGCATTCGCATGCTTCAGGGTCAGGTTCACTGGGAGAATAACACAATGTGGAACTGCCACACATCCTGCTCCGAACTCAATGCAGGACCATGGCAAGACGAGCTCGAAACTCTCCGAGAATGGCTTGAGTCCCATCCCTACGACGTCGTCACGATTCTCGTCGGCAACAGCGACACCACTGATGTAGAAAACTTCGTGCCAGCCATCACCAACGCAGGTCTCCTGCCTTACGTCTACGAGCCCGCCTACGTCCCGCAGTACCGATTCCAATGGCCCACGCTGGGCGAAATGATCATCAAGAACCAGCGCGTCGTCATCTTCATGGACTACGAGGCAGATCAATCACGAGTCCCATACATTCTCGACGAATTCACCCACATGTGGGAAACACCTTTCTCTCCCGTCAACCGATCCTTCCCCTGCACAATCCAGCGTCCCCCGAACTTGAACGAGACTCTAGCTCGGAAGCATTACATGTACATGGCCAACCACAACCTCAACACCGCCGTCGACCTCTCCAGCATCGGACTAGGCAGTGGTGAAGCCATCCTCATCCCCAACACCGCCGACATCAACCTCACCAACGGTCAACAAAACCAAATCGGTCGTCTTGGCGCCACGAGTTTGAACTGCACCCGTAAGTCTCCCGTCTCTAAACTAAATCAATCCATGACTAACAAAACATCCTCTGCAGAAGCCTGGGGCGTCCCACCCAACTTCCTCCTCGTCGATTACTATAACCGCGGATCTCCGGAGCCGGGTTCCGTTTTCCACGTCGCAGCTGCCGCGAACGGTGTGACGTATACGCAAGAATGTTGTGGCAAGGAACAAAACAGTGCTTCACTGGTACGAGTGAGTTTTGCTGTTATGGCTATCGCTTTGTTTGCTGGTGCGATATTTTTCTGGTGATTGTATAAAAAGATAGAGATGCATAGCAAGGCGTTTGTTGGTATTGGAAATTTATGTCAAGAGCATTTACGAGCACATGATAAAGGTACCTTATTGAATAATACGGGTTTTAATCACACGACTAGAACCAACTCACTTGCTGTCAATAGACGAAGTAAGTGAAGATGGAGATGGTGAAAATTTGGGTATGGAAGGACGTGAGGATGACTAGGTAGTATCGTCAGCATCAGCGGTCTAGCGAGAGAAGGCACGGGAGGCGAATGAGGGAGGAAGGCACGAGAGAGTCTCACACAAGAAAAGAATCTCATTCTTCGATCAGTAGATCAGTCAATCAGGGATTACCTGGATATCAGTCGGCCACGCCATGCGCGTGCCTTCTTTCGTTCATATAGGCCACTTCTCGGGCTCATCGTCTTGAAAACAAAATGACAGTGTATCCCTCCGTATGCAGAAGTCACCAAGCTCCCAACGCCGAAATTACGTAGCCCTCTGTAGCCATCCCAAGCTCCACGCGCAAAGTCGACACCGGATGTCCCATTGTATGCTCAACTCCACCCTGCAAGAACGTAACGCTCACGATGAAACGCTGCAAATCAAATATCCCATCCCATGTCTGCAGTGCCGGTTTCAATGCCATGATGATGCTACCATCCGCTGTGCTGACCGATTCCTAATTGAGATGGTGGTGTCGGCTGGCCGTAAGTGCCTCCGAACAATTGTTGCCGTATGCTTGCGCGCTCTTCGCTGATGCCTGGTGTGGCGGGAGCCGTGCTTGCTCCGGCTTGAATGAAGCCTAGAGCTGCCTTCAGCTCGTTGACGGCCTCTTCCATCTTGCCGCCACTTCTCTGGTTGTGCTCCACCAGCTTCCGGTCCCAGCCGCCGAACTGTAGATGGAAGCCGCCGGCACGCTTCGCTGCTTCTCGGATGACCAAAGCCCAAGCCTTTGCAATTTCATCGTAAGCTTCGTTTTTGTGTCGTTGATATTGGAAGGTATCCCAGTCTGGTAGGCGATGGATCATTTCGGTGACTGAGTCGAGATAGGCGAGAGAAGGACCATCTTGCGTCTCATGGGGCGGCAGGAAGTGAGGTGTGTATTCTCGTACAGCATCTATCAGCTGCGATAAATGCTGCCGTACCCGGTTGAATGCGTAATCTGAAGTGGGGCGGTTGCCGAGCGGGAAAGATTGCCGGAAGGCGTTTTCATATTTGCTGAGGACTTGCAGCGTGGACTCGACGGAGGGCCGCGGTGCTTTGGTGACGATCTCGTGCTGTAATTCCGGGTGTTGATCGCAGACATTTTGTAGAAGTTGACGCATCTGATCGGCTGACAGTGTCTCGAGCAGGCGTGGCAGAGCAAGCGGGCGGCCTTGTGCTGCTCCCGTCCTGGTTCTCTTTATGCTGCGGGCTTGCGGCAGAGTTCGTCCGGGTATTGAAGGCGAGGCTGAGGGCGAAGTCGACATGCGGTCGTTGTCGGGCTCTTCGGAAGCCTTGCGCTTGCGGGAGGAACTCATGTTGTGCGGTGAGGTGTTGAAAGGCTCTGTAAAGACGATTTAAAATGTCAGGCGATGTCTGGGGACACCAAGGTTGTAGATTTGCTTACCGCGAGATGGAGAGAAGCGGTTGCGGTTGCGGGCGAGCAGGTGCGGGGCGGAGAGTGCTGGTGGGAGGACGTTCATGGCGCTGCTGTGTGATATAAGGTGCCTAAGTGCCTCTGCGTCTGCGGGTGATGTGTTATGGGATTGTGTCGCCGCGAAACAAGGCGATTTGTCTGCGGCGCTCGTGAAGGTGCCAGGCAGCGCGACCGATGGCGTGAGGTGAGGACTCGAGAGCGGCGGTGGTCAGCGGGTGCCGGGCGGCATGGGTCGTTGTGTTGTATATGTGAGGAGGAGCGAGAGCTGCGAGTCGCGAGTAATGGTCCAGGTCAAGCCTTGGAGACGGTTCGGATCAGGTGTGCAAGCGAAGTGGAGTTGCTGTGGCGTCGCTCCTGCTGCCGCTGCCGCCCATTCACAATCACAAACCTGTTCACCTCGCTCTTATTGACCACGCCGCCGCCGCACGCTTCCTGCTGCGATTCACTCTGCGTCCGCCCTGATCATCACCGGAAACTACACTCTGTCTCACGTCTTGGCCTCGCCGCCGCTGGGGATATTACGGAGCGAAGTTTGCGCCGCGGGAAAATGGCAAGGTAGCAGGATCACCAAGTCAATCGGCAGAGGGCGGACCCTTCCTGGGAACTGGCCTGGCATTATCGGGGCACGGTTATCTCACAAAGCGCCACATATTGCAGACACAATGAGTCGCCTTGTTCCCAATGGACCGCGAAAACCATTCGGCGACGACGATCAACAAGAGCCATTTCTCGAGTCTGGACGGGCCAGCCAGGAAGATGACATTGAGCTCGACGAGCTGGACGCTGATCTTGGCGGGGAGAGGACTCCCGTATCTCACTACAGAAATTACGATGGAAGTGACGATCAACCTCCGCCCAAGAAGAAGGTCGCGTTCTGGCTGATTGGACTCACCCTGGCGATATGCGTCCTAGGCTTTGTGGTCAACACAGAAGCTACTGCTTACGTGGAAGACGAACTGGGCTGGAAAAAGCCCTTCGCAACCATGTACATCACTCATTCCTCCCTAGCCCTGCCCTGGATACTGCACATATCGTATCTGCGCTTCAAGGACAGGAAGTCTCCCTACATGCAATGGGTTCGCGACTACAACAACCAGCTGAGAGGATCCATCGCGGGCATTGATTCGTATGCCACTTGGGGTCCGAAGATGATCTTTAAACGCCAAGGCCAGCAAGGTGGGCCTCTGGACTTTCTTGCGGCAACAATGGCTATTGTCACGGTCGCCCTCACCGTTTCTGGCTTGTCTTGGTTCACTTCTTTGTCTCTTACAACGCCGGCCGACTTGACTGCTATCTACAACTGCAGTACATTCTTTGCTGCAGCATTCTCTGTGCCCATCTTGAAGGAAAAGCTGGGATGGATTTCCATCGCAGCAGTGGCCATCTCGATCGCCGGTACTTTCACTATCGCATATGGAGATACAACGGCGGAACACTCGGAAGAAGAGGGCGCAATTGGCGCATCCAGACTTCTTGGAAACATAATCGCATGCGTAGGAGCATTGGCATTTGGACTTTACGAAGTCTTGTTCAAGAAGTTCGCTTGTTCTTCCAGACCCGAGTCGCAAGAGAGCAGTCTTCCTCTGACACTTGCGGCAAGTGCTATGACTGGGTTTTACACATTCTTTATTCTATGGGTGCCTTTGATACCCCTGCACATTCTTGGCTGGGAGGTTTTTGTCTTGCCGACTGGATACGAAATCCTTTGGATCATCATTGCGGTGCTTGCAGGGTCCCGTGAGTTCTCCCCTCTCACATATCGCATATCCACTAAGCCATCCTACAGTGTCTCTCACGCTGCTTGCCGTGCTTGTCATCTGGACCGACCCAGTCTTTGGGTCGATGGCCAACGTTCTTAGTGTCTTTTTCGTCGCCCTTGCGGACTGGCTCGCATGGGGCATTGCACCTTCCTTTCCAACCTACATCGGTGGCGCGATGATATTTGTAGCCTTTGGTATGTTAGGCTATGACACTCTAGGTGAGAAGAAGCATTAGATGGCTCTTGGGGTAAGAGGTGTACTACTAGATGTGTAGATACAGCTTAAGCGACAGATTCAAGTCTAGTCTCCATGCATTGCTCTGGTCTCCATGCATTGCGGCTTGGTTCTGACAAGTTGTGGACCTGCTGCCACCGACAAAAGCAGGCAAGCAGTCAAGCAGGCCTTGCGCTCCAGCCACAGGGCCCATGGCAGATCAAACTCAATTCGGCCTTTCGTTCCGAATCCGTACATCCTGGGCTTCCTGGCATGAATCAGTTTCCGATATTTCATGCATGAGATTTTCAACGCCAAGTGGGATTCTCAGCGTGGCTTGCAGTATTGGCTCGCGGGGTCGAAAGTCACTTGGCGAAGTTATGGTCGACATGACCAGAACCACCACCTTGTCAGTCATAAAATTACTCAGGACTGGAGAACCTGGACTCTAGAAGAATGAATCGGCAACCAATGCGGGATTTCCAGCATCTGTCGGCCTCAACCTGAGGGTTGTAGCCGCCTGCGTGAACGAGGATGGTAGATTTCCGCGAAGAGACTGATGGAACTGGCAGTGAGCCTTGGTCGAATAAAGTGCCCCATCCAGAGGAACTCGTGAGTGAGGGCCACTACGTTCACCTTGTGTTTTTGTAGGGTGAGAATCTGTCTTAGATGCGGCACGAGAAGTGAAAGGTGAGGTGGAGGTGTAAGTCGCACAAGCACAAGCAAAAGCACAGGCCCGAATTGCTGCCTCCGCCACTTCACTCGCGCGCACGCATTAGGCGCATTACATACAAAGCAACATTCTGACTTCGGACTTCGGACTTTCAAGACAACAACACACTTTCTGCGACACATCGTAAGCAGCGCTCAACCGCCATTATGAACAACCCCTCGGACTCGGCTGGCGCAACCGATTTGAAGCAGTCACGTCACTACGATCACGCGAAGCACACCGCAATACTCGTCGTCATCATATTCGTCTTCGCTCTGCTCCTCATCGCACTCATCTATGCACTGATTAGATGGTATCGTCAGAGAGCGGCCATGAAATCTGCGCGGTCAGAACAAGAAGTCTACGAGTTTGCCCAGCGGCTTGATGCTGTATTTCCGGAGCGAAGGCCGCAGGCGTGAGAGACCCACCCATAAATACAGGCGAGCGCACCAAAATGTATCGTCCGCAACCTCATCCGCCTGAGGAAGCGAAAGACGTCTCTACCGAGAAGAACACGACTCTTCAGATACCGGCATTACACAATACTTCCTTCTGTTTTACAATTGTTTCCTGCGCGCGACACGAGTGGATCTACAGGTATCAACGCCTAATCGCTACCACCATGCCATCGCTCACCACGAGCAAAGGAATCCCGCTTCCATGCGTGTGTCGACATCCTGCATATGACTCAGTTCCGCGCGCAGCATGTGTTCACTTATTGCTGTGTTTCACAAGCAGCATGGAGCGCATGTGAACCAGTGGAACGAATTCATCTTACTACTAAAGATTCTGAAAATGATCACCCACTACACAAAACACCACACTACCACTGAACACCAGCAACATCTGAACATCAGTACTCAGAACACAATCGACTTTCAGCCCCTTCAGAACAACATCCAGCACGCCCTACTCGCAGACGGAACCGCTCGACTATCATCAATCTAAGCAACATAGAGACGCTTTCGACCGACTCGACAAGGCTGCGAATACCAGGTCCAACCTTGCCGCGTCTCCTAAATATCAGTCCGAATTGCGATACTCCGCGCGAAAGCAGCGCTCAACACGACCAACATGACATCTACCAATCACCCTAGACCAAATGAGTCCTTCCGCTTCCTCGACCTTCCAGGCGAGCTACGAAATCTCATCTACCGCATGGCTCTCGTTACTGATACTCCAACCATCATCACTTCCTCAGGATACTCTCGCCCCGCCCTCATCTCAGTCAACAAAGAAATCCGCGAAGAAACAGCTGGGATCTTCTATTTCGAAAATCGGTATCTTGTCGATACCCCTCGCTTCAGCGTTTCAATTCTGCGTCGCTTCGTCCGCATTCTCATAACTTTCTACAAGCAAGGCTGGAAGATCAAAGCCAAAGTAAATGCATTTACATCTGATCGTACACCACACTGGTCCAATTTGATGGAATGGATGCGTCAAATTCACTTGAAGCAGGTTCCGAATTCGATTCCGACCCCAGATTGGTTGTGGCAGCACGGGTTTGGGCGCTTTGGACATCAGGAAGTGAACGTTCTTTCAGTCATGTTCAAGACGGCGCACGATATGGAGGGTGTGGAGTGGGAGATGGTGAAGAAGGTTCTTGGGAATTCGAGGATGCTGCTGGGAATGGCTGATGCGAGGTGGATGCAAGATGGACCTTGATTGAGTGATAAAGGGCTTAGGAGGGAACGAATTAGGTTCACGCGGTTCTCTATAGAGCGAGAAGATCCTCTGATCCTGATATGCCAAATGTCTCATTCTTGCAAACGCTTCCGTTCTATTTGCTAATCAATGCGACCAAAGCTCTGCGTGTTACAACCGCATGATATAGCTATCACAAGAGACGAAGCAGGTGAGGACCCGACGACTTCACTTAAGCAGAAGTGATAAGTGAAGGGAGTCAAGTTTGGGTCTCTCAAGGGATAATTTCATCGATAGCTGTGCTTGTACACAATTTTTAGGTATAAGAGAGACTTACAATGGAGCAGTGTCTAATTCTAGGATGTATCCTGCACCCTTCGAAACACACATTCTTGGGCCACAGTCATGCTTCATCGGGCAGAACGACAAATCTCCTCCGTGCGATAGCTTGACAGAGGAGCAAGTCGCTTCAATCGGAGCCGCGGAGCAGCGCTGGAATAACTCGGATATCGAACATGGGCTACCTTCCCGCAATTGCACTGACAGCTGGGACATGACTGTACATCCGAACTTCATCGGCTCAGACGACAAGCCATCGATTCACTTTCATCCCTCGAAACACCTCGTTGTATGCTCTATTCAAGTCTTCCTCAATCTAAACTTCACCTTCAACAGTAAGACCATCCATCTATACCAAGCGATCTGATCATGCCAATGCATTCCAGCCAACCAGTCGAATTGGGATTTCAACTACGTCTCTGGGCCCGATCTCTGGATGCTAGTGTACGACGGCAACGCAATGGACGCTGCTACAGCTTACACCACCGGAAACGGCGAGTATACGCTCGTCAACGTCGATTCCACGACCACAGTCACCATGGATCCGGTCTACATCCAGTATCGAAATGGAACAGCTACATATCAATATCATGTCACCTTAAACCGAACACCCAATGTTTGATCCTACTTGCGATGTTTCTGGAAAGATTCAGAGTCCTTTGGACCGGTACTACCCTTGCTCAGGCTGTTCCGAGTCCAAAACTTCCAGAGCAGCGTGCTGTATGAGAGAAGAAGGCTGGAGTGGGGAAATTTTGGAGAGAGTGTTGGGGCATACTTTGCGCTCATCCAGGCCATCAGTTGCTTGCTGAGTGCTCTGGCGTTTCAAAGGACCTAGTCGTCAATGGTCGACGAAAAAGGCCTAAAGCTTCTTGAAGCAAGTAATTTTAAACTGTGACCCAGGAATATCTTAACCGCACGATAGATCGGAAGTGTGCCAACTGCAGGCCTCTTGTGATCATTCAATGCGCACGCACGACCTGTCGCAAACCCATGCTATGCCATTCCATTGCGCAACGAAAGGTTTTGGCCTTGGCGGTCTTGTCTACGCGGTGGCGGAGTCATGGCTGATCACACGAGACTTAGCAGGCCAACAAGCAATTCGCAGCTTGATCAAGTTGTCTTGACAGGTGGTGTACCCGTGGAGAAAATCTGGAGTCTTCTTCGTCCTTTGCAGGTGTTTGTTTCAATATGCCACCAGAAGCACACCCTTCGGCAGGGAAATTGCGGAGACATGTCTCATCACAACTGCATATCATCATCGTCCTCATATCGTGAGCTCCCGAATGCACCACCCTCTCCATTCGCCTCTTCCTCCTTTTGCGTCTCCTCTCTCGAACGGTTCAGCCTCCTCATCCCATCTACAACACCTCCAACGAATCCTCTGACCTCCGCGACCTCCATCCCTCCCACACCGTTGACCTTCAAGCCAGCGCCAGCTTCCAGTGCCTGGTATCCCTTCCTCAATTTACTCATTCTCACCTCTCTCAAATCCCTGACCAATCTCCTCACAACCTCGGCATCCTCAAAATCATCGCTCGCATGTGAAAGCAGCAGATGACTGATCTCGATCCAATGATATGGCAAAGCATCAGGTTGTGCGCGGGTCGTGGAGGAGTCTGAGAGGAATGGTGTTGAGATCTCCTGGGACTCGGAGGATAAGTATGGGTCACCAGGCAGGGCGGAGACTCCGGAAGGTGGAGGGAGGGCTGGCGCTGGGGAGAAGACTCCTGCACATTTCTCGTCGGTTTCGAAGTCGAGAAGTGCAGTGAGAGAGGGTATGGAGAGCCAAGGTGGCGGAGATATATTGGCGCGTTTCTGCCGTTTGAGGAGGAGTGCAAGCCAGAGAGGAATCTGGGATGGGAAGGGTGGATTTAGGCGGGCTGATGGTCCCTATGAAGGGTTAGAGTATGGTTAGGAATTATGCTGGGGATGTTGCATACGCCGAGTAGTTCAAGGCTTTCGAGTCTTTGGCGGGGGATCACGGTGACAAGCTCCATTTCGCAGAGAAAGCCGACTTCATTTGGCGTGAGGCCGGACGGAAGTGGGAGCGCCATCTTGTGTCGGAATGCATCGCAGAATTGCAGATCTGGATTGTATTCGGGTTAAGGATTGATGAAGGTGGAGGCGGTGGTGGAAGATCGACGCGTCGCGCTTGCGCTTGCCAATGAATCGCGCCCCTAAACTCTAAACTCGACCTCATCCTCGACCTCCTTCTCCCTCCTTTCCCAAACATGCGGTGACAAGATCGCTGGGAGTGATTATTGATACCCAACATGGCGAATGAGGCCGCGTCTTTGCTGTCGCCGCTGTTCGCATGGTACAATACGGTAAACAATGCCGTCCGAGAACCTTACCTGGTAGGTCATCCCGCTTTACGAACAAGGTAGGGTCAAACCACATCTCATATTCTACACAGGACGAAGTCTTCCATGTTCGCCAGGCGCAACACTTCTGTGCAGATCACTGGGATGTCTGGGATCCAAAGATTACTACGCCACCAGGACTCTACCTGCTTTCAGTCCTCTTCAGACCACTCCTGGGGTGCGACGTTCGCAACCTCCGGCTGCTCAATGCAATATGCCTCGTAGCATTGATGCTAGTCATACGCGCGACCTACAATATCAGACGACAGAACAACAACCAGCATGGCCATATCAGTGGAATCTTAGCCAATCACAGCGCGGTCAATATTGTATTGTTTCCGCCCCTGTTCTTCTTCTCGGCACTTTACTACACGGATGTGGCATCGACGTTGTCGGTCGTGCTTTTCTACTGGTACTCTTTGCAGGTCGTGGCGAACCGACGAGGAACGATCAAAGACGCAGCAGTGCAGGTTGCACTTGGAGTGGTTAGCTTAACATTCAGGCAAACCAATATCTTCTGGGTGTCAATCTTTCCTGCCGCTCTGTCAACCTTCATAAACCTGGATCAAGGTCACAGAGTGGTCAAGGAGTCAATGTATCGTAGGGCTGAGGGCTTCGGCGATACGACCTGGAGTGTGGCGAAGACCAGCTGGAAGATGAACGTTATCTATGATCCTCCTGTGAGGGATGCTTTTGTCGAAGGTACTGCATCTCATCGGATCGTAGCAAGAGACATGTGCTAATGAGGTCAGACTACTTTCGAACACTCATCTCCATTGCTGCTTGCGGCGCACATGCCGTCACTCAACCAAACCGACTATTGCAGCTTGTGCAGACCCTGATGCCCTATCTGACGACTCTCGCGATCTTCGCAGGTTTCATTATTTGGAATGGAGGCGTTGTGCTCGGCGACAAATCGAATCACGTTGCCACCATCAACCTCCCTCAGATGCTCTATCTGTGGCCCTTTCTGGCGTTCTTCTCGTGGCCCCTGCTGCTACCACAATTCATCCTCTTCCCGATCACAATTCTGTCGCGGATTCCTGGCCTTGCTAGCATCGAGCCTATGATATCTTTTCGACGACGATTCTTCCTGCCTCGTCTCTGGGTCGTTACAGCCTTTATCGGCTTGGCATGCCTGATCGTCCACTTCAACACAGTCGTACATCCATTCATGCTGGCAGACAATCGACACTACCACTTTTACATTTTCAAGCGGCTGCTTCGACCTCAATGGATGCGTTTTGCCGTGACACCGATCTACGTTTTCACTGCGTGGGCGTGTATCGAAACGAGAGGCGAGGCTGGAAAGATATTCCGGAAGATGGTGCAGCCTGATGCTGCAAGCAAGTCTGCACCCAAAGAGCCGGTCACGCGGCCCTCTTCCGATCCGTTGAAGTCGAACGCCACTGAAGATGCGGACCGCCGTGCCACGCGTGTGCCCGACGGTAACAGCACCGCAATGGTGTCTTTCGTTCTCGTCTTCATCATAACGACAGCTCTCAGTCTATGCACAGCGCCGCTGGTCGAGCCACGGTACTGCATCATTCCATATGTTGTTTGGCGCATGCACTTCCCACTTTCTGCTGGCTCTCAGGACAAGACGAAGGACTTCTGGGGCATCATGGCGGCATATGACTACCGAGTCGTGCTTGAAACGGTGTGGTTCTTGGCAATCAATGCAATCACTGGATACATCTTTGTCAATTGGACCTTTGAATGGCCATCAGAGCCTGGTCAGCTGCAGAGATTCATGTGGTAGATAAGTATAGCTCACAGGCCATGTTTAGCTCTGTAGCCACGAGACGCAATTTCGCCTCGCTTTGAATCGACCAAGACCAATCCATGCCCGTTCATGTCGTGACGCTCAATCCTTCTTCACTTCCTCTCCTTTCCCTTCTCCTCCCGCCTACCACCTCATCAGCATAATTCCCTTCTCCCAGATTCATCAACCATTCAAGTTTCAACTCACCTCTCCTCAACCCCCTGCAACTCCATAACAAACCTAACCCACATCCTATCCGCCCTCCCCAAAACCGCATCCCCAACCCTCTTCTTCAACTCCTCCCCCTCAAACCCACACTCCCGAATCCTCCTCTCCTCAAATCTTCTCCAACCCTCAGGATCCTAGAAAGAAAGAAGAAAAAAAAAACTCAGCACTCACACACATCACATCACATCCCTCTCTCGGACTCACCTGTTCCAAAAACTTCTTATGCTTAGCCATCATCAAGTGAGCGCGCAGTTTGGGATCTGTGAGGGAAGCTGTGGGGTAGATTTGTTTTGCGCTGCTGGTGCGAGAGGATTTGGGCAGGGTGTCGAGGTAGGTGGTGTAGGCTTCTGGGTTGTGGTCGAAGTGGAGGAGCCAGGATAGTGTGCCTGGTGGGGATTGGGTTATGGCGAGGGTGTAGGTGGGGTCCATTTTTTTTTCTTGGTGGAGGAGGATGAGAGGTGTGTGGTTGTGGTTGAGGGTGTGTGTGGTTGAGGGTGTGTGTGGTTGAGGGATGGGGAGGTTGATGAGGTGGAAAGAATGGAAAGTGGAGGGAAGACGCACTTGCCTCCTATTCGATGACATGTGAAGCAAAGTTCGGGAAGGAGCGAGATGCGGGAGAGAAAGAACGTGCAAGTGTGATGGACTCACTTTACTCTACTCACGTTCTGGCATTCACTTTAACTTCTCTTCCTCCATCAACGGATCAATATCAACCGCCGGTCCCCTCGGCGCAACAACCTCCCCACCACCGCCTTTACTCAACTGCCGTCCCCTCGCCCTCGCATACCCCTCCTTATACGCCTGAAAATCCGTCGTCTTCTTGAAAGCTCCGCCATTTGTCAGCTTACCCTCATCCCAATAAATCCTCTTCAACCAAAGATTCAGCTTCGGATAGTCATGTCTGAGAGATTTGAGATTTGTCTGGAAGATGGTGTGATACGCTGTGTCGAAGCGGATGAGAGTTGTGAAGAGTCGAATATCAGCTTCTGTGATGAAGTCGCCAAAGAGAAAAGGAGTGCCTTTGCTTGTGAGATGCGCTTCGAGTCGGTCGAGGGATTCGAAGAGGGGATAGATGTTGGCGTCGTAAGCGGCTTGCGTGGTGGCGAATCCGCATTTGTAGACGCCGTTGTTGATTGTGTTGTATACTGCATAGTCGTTAGCATCAGATCATGTAGACAAGACACATGAAACATTACCCCATTCATTCATCTCTTCGATGTCCTTCCTCAAATGTTCTGGAAAGAGACCTTGATCACCTTTGCTCGACTCTCTCAGCTCCTCTGCGATGAGATCGTCGAATTCCGTGTAGAACATCCTGATGATCTCACTAGATTCATTATTCACAATCGTCTCAGTCTTCTTATCAAATAGACCTAAGCGCGAGCGTTCGACCATCAGCTTTCTCCACACATTGCTCACATGTGATACAACCTCACTCACAAGGAACCGTATATCTCCCCTCATACTCAGGTTCAACCTTCAAATACAACTGCTTCAACCCGGTGAAACCATACAACGGATCCTTCTCCTCACTCCCATGCTTGCCGGTGAATGTCCATCCATTTTCAGTCAGATCGAAGTCCGTCGGAATCATCTGAATCACATCCTCCAAACCTTTCAAGGCCCGGACAGCAGATGCACGATGCGCCCATGGACATCCATAGTTCATATACAAAGCATACCGGCCTTTCTCTGGAGGATACTGCGCTCCAGGTTCTTTGGAGATGAAGTTGCGGAACGAGCTAGCTTTGCGTCGGAAATGCCCATCTGCATCGGCATGGGAGTGTGTTGGACGAGACATTGTTTTGATCTCAACGCATTGACTGATGCAGTGCCGTGGAGTCGGGATGCATCATATATAGGCCGAAGCATGAAGGTGAGATCTAGAGCTCGGATTAGGAGAGCTCTCGGCGGCTTTGTCATGTGCTGTTGTCATCCTGCGGAATGAGCGCCGATTTGCTTGGCGTCAGTTGGTCACCAGCTATTTTTTGCCTTTGCGTTCTTTCTTGTCACCTTTTGGTCGCATTGACTTGTGAGCCATATCTCTTGTTTAGTCTGATTAGGATTCTACACCGTCTGTTCAGGTTTCGGTAGTATTATTATACCCCGTAGAAGAGCCTCCGAGCCCTGCGAATACTGTTTTATGAACTTTTATCCAATAGGAGAAGCAGATTATGCCTGTATTAAGGTATAATCTACCACTCGGGCGGCGGACGCTACAATCTTGACACAGGATGTAGTCTGCTGCGTGGTCTTGTGAAGCATTTGACCCGCGTGGGTCGATATTGGGCCGGCAGTGGAACGTGGCAAGCGCGTTATTGGCAACCAACAAGAACAAGTCTCTGCAGCTTGATGAGTGGTCTCGAAGTGCTGGGATGGCAATTGTACGCCTCTGGTCGAATACTGATCTTCATCTGTCTGATACGCATCTCTGGGGTATGGTTCAAGCGCGCCCACGAACTATTGCCTTTGTCACTTCTGCCACCATCGGGATGAAGTGACGCGTGGTCACGTAGTGAGTGATTATGAGACAGTGGTTCTCCTTATAGTGTGAAAAGTAGGGTTTGATTGTCTTCCGAAACAAGACCGGCAATTGGGCTGGCCGTCGCGTTGGCAGCGTGCTGATAGAATATCCAGCTGGATGCCGTCGCATAATTAGCACTGCGAACTACAGAGGTTGACACCGTCCACGAATGTCTGGCAATCAGGCCGTGCAGTCGGTAGCACCATTCCAAGTGACCGCATGTAACCGTTTTTGATGCAGATCTAGTCGTGTCACTATTGGTAGCACAAAGGGAAGCGAGACTGCCAAAAGAGGATGTTGATACAGTAAAACGAGGCGTCTGTTCCAGAAAATCAGTCGAAGCGAGGCATTTATTCAATACATAGTACAAGCCTCATCTCCAGATCTTTGTGTTACGTGAGACGCCCAACATGCCTTGTGCTACAGATCACATCTAGGCTTTGCACCGCGGTCCTGTGTTGATATAGACTCCGCTGCTCCCTCCATTTGTGGCCGGCATGAAGAATGTGGTACGGACAAAACGGCCCTTTGAGCACCGTACCACTTTGCATACCGAGACTTTCGGCGCGCGACACGATTTCTGTAAACGCACTGTATGCGCAGGGAAGCTCAGATATGCTTTTCGCGCGGCCTGCGCGCCGAAAGTGTAAATCTCGTGCACGAGTTTCAGGACACGCGTGGTTGAGCGATCAACCTGGTGGATGTCTTGAGATCCCTGTGGAAGCGGTGACCAGCACCTTTTCATGCCTGTTTCGCCGAGGCACCGTCCAATGAGGATAGCAAGTTGCTTGCTACTCCGGATATTGATGCCTTTCATGTGACCTGCTCTATACACCCTCTTTCAAGAATCGAGTAATAGCGTCCGCCGCCGGAGTGGTAGATTGAAACTCAATACAGGTATAATCTGCTTCTGCTATTGGATGAAACAGCATTCGCAGGGCTCGGAGGCTCTTCCACAGGGTATAATAATATCGCCGGAACTTTGAAAGAGGGCGTAGGTGGACGTACGGCTGCCCTTCTGTACAGCCCATGTTCTTCGTACCAAGTGTGCATGAAGTTGAAGCGTGGCGCTTGAACATGAGTCAGGTAAGATCCAAGTTCGTTATACCTGGCTCTTCAAAGATCTTCTGGGAGTGGTTTCGGAGTCGGGCCTTCCCTGACGAATGGAACAATGCCCATATCGGGCGAGACATTTGGCCATGGTTTCTTGATGGCGTCTTGGATTCTCACGATGGAATTGCGCGGTCCGGGAACAGCTCCGTTCACCACAACGATTCCGTTCTCTGCATCGACTTTCATGACCCTCAGATTTTTCACTGTGTGATTTTTGTGTCCCATTCGACCTGCCATCTTCTTGCCCGGAAGCACACGTGACCCGCTGCCTTGGGAAGCACCAGCTGAACCCATGGCTCGATGAGTCAAAGAGGTACCATGAGATGCTGGCTGACCAGAAAATCCCCATCGCTTCATGCCTCCTGCAAACCCCATTCCGCGAGTGACACCTCTCGCGTCAACATGTTGTCCTGGCTGAAAGAGGTCTGCTGTGATGATGCTGCCAACCTTTGGCAGGCCTTCTTCATTCTTGACTCGAAATTCAGCAACCTCGCTTTTGAGAGGCACACCTTGCGCAGCGAAATGCCCTCTTTCCGGCCGCGTGACATTGCGAGCCTCTCTCGTGCCGAAACCAACCTGCACTGCCCAGTACCCATGTACATCGCGTCGTTTGTGGCTGACCACTTGACATCTATCCAGCTGAAGCACTGTACATGCTTCTCGTTTTGCTGTTGTCGGATCGTAAATACCCGTCATGCCCTTCTTGATAGCAATAGCGCCTGTCCGTAGTGGCATGTTGTGTTCTTTCCGCAGAAATGCAGCCTTTTGGGTGGCTCGTAATACTGGTAGATCCTTGCCATGATTGAACTTGTGCAGCTTCTTCGGAGGTGCTATTGACCGTATTGTGCGCACAAATTGGCGAGGCACTGATGGGCAGAGGAACCTTGGCGGTACCGCAAATATGCGGATGGAGGGATTGGGCGGCATTGTTGAGAGGGTGGGAGTTGGTGTTGGTCGTGATGGATGAACATCTTACGAGAGTGACAGCAGCCATTGGCCGCGGGAGAGGGTCTTGGCATTTTCAGTTGACACCTGAGGAAAACACACTTTCACAACATCTCCTCGTCATGCTTCGCCTACAGGCTACATACAGGGCGACTCCCTTGTCAAATTCGGGCCACACGATTCACGTAGCTCTCGTCTAGGCCTGTTGAAGCCTTGCGAACTCTGCGAAGGACGAATCAAGTATTTAAGTAAGCGAACTTCGAACTGAGGGTCGGCACAACCTTCAGTTGTTGTCGGAGTTGGCCACACCCTGTATGCTACCATCGCCCCCGTCATTTTGTTATATCGAAATGGCACCAACGACCTGAGCGGACGTCGCTCTACGTACTTCTCGAATTCGGCTATGTCGCCTAATTTGACGGAAAACTCCGAGCTTCTCCTCGAGGAGCTCTCTCGAACTGCACTAATCTCGCCTGTCCCTTGACGGCTGTGGCCCGACGACATGGTCGTTCGCTCTAGCGAGGCTGTGTAACAAATGCAGACTTCGAATCACAGCAGGAAAATGACCCACATCTAAAGTGTGGCTGCCGACGCGGCGGATCTTCATAAGGTCACAGCCGCGGGAAGCGCCTAATGACTATTGAGCTGCTTGATGATTCCTGGTTCCGGCTATATATTACTGGACTACTACAGCTTTCGCAAGCTGTCACACTCCGGTCTGGCTCGGGCTCTTTCTGAAAATCCAGTATCGGCGATCACATTCACCCGCACGCGGCACGATGTTAGCTCTCAGGCCTCGGCCTCCCGCACTCAAGGACCATAGCACTTCTTGAGAATGCTCTACAGTGCACCATCTCGCGCATGTGCTATCTATGTAGTAAGGGAGGATTCCTGGACTCTTGGCCTGTGCTGGCTTGGCGCACACTACAAAGTTCATTCACAAACATCAGCATTATGCTCTCGAGCCAGCTCGGCGTTATGAATGTAAGCCGAGCACCATCTCCTGAGCGGTCAACATCTCCTTCATCTTCCAACATGTTGGTTCTGCATGCGGCTTGAAGGCCTCTAATGGCCATCATCATCTCGATCGCATGATGCGGCTGGTTTTCTCATCCCAGCAACGCGGTAGCGAGTCACCGACCCTTTTATGTCATCCTGCGCGAGACCCCGGAACAGGAACGAAAAGGTAAATTGGCTGCCTCTACGTCTCCGTCTTGCATTATTATCGAGTTCAAATCACGCAGCGTTTCTGATATATCCACAGCATCGTACATCGTGTTTCGTCGGGCGCGATAGACGCGATGGTAATACCACTGGAGGCGGCGTCCGAGACATTTAATACGTCGGCGGCACCGTGCCGTCCCAGCAGTGTACCACACTGTCGGGGTCAACAAAATCACTGACTCAAGAGCACGACGGGGTGGCAGGTCCGAAAAGCGTCTCGTGCAGCACAGGGCCATAGGCAGGTTGATGGAGGAGGCTTGATGCTTGTTTTGCGCGAGACCGGCCCGGGTCGTACTTCCGTGGTGCAGGATTTGGGTTCGTCGCTGACAAGGGTAGAACGTTGAATGAAGTTTAGTCATCGAGGGAGTGTGTGGAGGCGCTTGGAGCTCGCCAGACTCAGGCGGATGTGTGCCTCAGCGCTCAGCGCAGTGTTGCCGCCGAGGCCGACGCACAGATTGGGCGAGCAGCGTGGTGGCTAGGCTGTTCAGACTGTGCCTCTCTGGGCGTGTCTGCTCTGCTGTGCGTGCTCTGCGTACGAGGCGACCCGTGCCGCGTGGATCACAGCTGATGAGTGGAAATGCTGATGTGAGGCACATGCCATCCTGGTCGAGTGCACATTATGCTTCAGAGCGAAGTGATCATGCACACGCTAGCAGTAGCGCACGCTGGGGCTGCGCCGGGACGCGAGCAGTCTGCTGTCTGGACTCTGCTGTCCAGCGGCGGGTACGGGGAGCAGAGGTGGGTGGTGGTGACGGTGATGGGCCTGCACACACGGCGACGGCGCAGGACAGCGAGGATGGCGGGTGATTGGGCTTCTATTGGCTGAATTCTACAAGAGAACCGTACACTCTTATTACGTGCCTTTCTTCTACGTCACTTCCTTTAAAGCGCGACAATAACAATGCGCTACTACTACGCCTACCCTCTATACAATGCGACAATGCTACGATGCGCTAATAGCAAAACGCGTACCGTAACCTCCGCTAACCGTACCTCCGCTAACCGTACCTCCGCTAACCGCACCTCCGCTAACTATACCTCCGCTAACCGCACCTCCGCTAACTACACCTCCGCTAACCGTACCCTACCTCTTCCGCAAGCAACCTATAGCGGCCTCCTATAGCAAAATAAACTACAATCTATAGCGGCCTTTAATAGATAAAGGAAGGGCAAGGATAAGTAATTAAGGACCTAGAGACATAAAGGACTTAGTCAAAAAAAAACGGAGAATACTAAAAGGCAAAAAACTGTAGACGGGCAACACCCGGAGTTACTCTTACGGATACGATATAGACCTCGAGCTTTTGACCCTTTAAGACACGTTACGAATTAACTAAGTAAATATGCCTACTAGACTTCGACCTTATACGCTTCCGAAGAAACGCCGCTATAGAAAACCTATCCCGGAGAACTGATTTCTTTAGGTTTAGATAATAGGCAGTTACCTCTACTAGTTTATTAGGCTGCTAGCTGCCTTAGAAAAGACTATTAAATAGCCTAAATCCCTTAGGTTCCCTACGTAACTTAATAACTCGGCGTAAAGGATTACTATAACTCCTTACCTAGTTACAGCTAGGCGACGCTTCGTCTTAGTCGATTATTATTAGTTAAAGGTCGTAAATTGCAGTGTTATTGTATACCCTTATTGCTACTACCTAGGACAGCTTAGATAGTAATAGCTTAGTTAGAAGGGGAAGGCAGAGGGGTAAGGTTTAGTTAAGTATTTAATTCCCCGTCTAGCAGCTATATTATTAATATTAACTTAAGTTAGTATCGACATTAAGATTGCTCTGCATCAAACTGCTACTTAAATTGCTACCTAAACTGCTAACTAAACTGCTACCTAAACTCGCTATCTCCGAAGCTAAGTTAAGTCGATTAAGCGCACTTCTAGCAAAAACACGCTAGCAAAAGTGATTAATACGATAACGACGGAGAGACTAGCTACTGCTCCTAGAACAGTATCGCAGCTTTTAGCCCCCCTACTCCCTCTACGCTCCCGTAATCTATAAAGGCCTTGCGCTTAAGACACCCTTTACTAAGGCAAGACCTGTACGTGCCGGGCGAGCAAGAACGGTATTACAGTAGAGGGCGGTTTAGTCGAGCCTTAGCGAGTGCTTAACCCGTCCGGAACGCTAACGTTAGCAAGAAGAGGGTACTATAGTAGAGGGCGGTTTAGTCGAGCCTTAGCGAGTGCTTAACCTGTCCGGAACGCCAACGTTAGCAAGAAGAGGGTACTATAGTAGAGGGCGGTTTAGTCGAGCCTTAGCGAGTGCTTAACCCGTCCGGAACGCTAACGTTAGCAAGAAGAGGGTACTATAGTAGAGGGCGGTTTAGTCGAGCCTTAGCGAGTACTTAACCTGTCCGGAACGCTAACATTAGTAAGAAGAGGGTACTATAGTAGAGGGCGGTTTAGTCGAGCCTTAGCGAGTACTTAACCTGTCCGGAACGCTAACGTTAGTAAGAAGAGGGTACTATAGTAGAGGGCGGTTTAGTCGAGCCTTAGCGAGTGCTTAACCTATCCGGAACGCTAACGTTAGCAAATAGATGCAGATACTAAGGCGCTTACAAAGATACGATTAGGTATATAGTAAGCGGATACGTATAGTAGTTTACTATAGTCCGTACATTTATATACAAGAAGCCGTAACTTACCGCGCTATAGCTTCTAGAAGCAAACGGACGACTCCTTGCCTTTCGCAACTCCGCTTTCCTCGTACTCCGCTTTCCTCGTACTCCGCTTTCCTCGTATTCCGCCTTCCTCGCACTCCGCCTTCCTCGCCTTTCGCAACTCCGCCTTTAGCCTTTAGCCTTTCGCCTTACGCCTTCTACGTTCTATACGCTCTACGCTCTACGCTCTATATACTAAGCTAGATTAGAAGACGATAGCTATGCGACTCGGTAGCTTTAGTAAGACGCCGCCGCCGCCGCCTAGTAGATAGCAGCCTCTACTATTATCTAGTATAATCCCGCCTAGATACTAGCCTCCGCTATCCTCTGCCTCTACGTACTAATCTCTTCCTGTCCCGCCGTTTCTAACAAACCGAGTATAGCTAGCTACTATAAAATGTAATCGCTACTTAGAGGTTAAGGATACTATCTAATTTCTCAACTTTAGGAACAAAGGCGGCCCTCCTATATAGCGATGCGCTACGTGCCGAGACATAGTCGTTAGCCTAAATACATCGGGCAATTAGGAGATTAAGAAGACTACTAAGCGTCGCGCTCCTACGGATAATACGCCTTCTAGGCCTACTCGTTCGCTTACTCCTGCTACTAGCCTTACTCTAATTACCCTAGGTCTAGCTATTGCAGGTCTAACTAGAACTATAGCACCTCCGCCTCGCCCCTATTATCCTTTAAGTTAGCCTAGTCTAGATACATCTATTGTATAGTACGCAGCAATAGTCGCTAGCCGGCAGTCTCGTACTATAGCGCGGTCTACTCGTTAATCTTTAGTAGAGCAGGATATACAAGTTAGGAGTCGCTTATAGTTTATATATATCGAGTGTAGCATTCTACGCCCTTAGGACGACTAGAGTAGTAGCCTAGAGGATTAATGCTTCTAGTGCTATTCTTATCTCCTTAACGAGGACCCGCTTACTAAGAACAAGTAGTGTATTAATAGAAACTATAATAGCAATCGGTTTAGCTTTTAACGCTATCTACTTCCGGAGCTACGTAACGCCTACAGACAACACTTTCCTTAATAGAACGTAAGCTTAGTACTAGGAGACTAAGGCTTAGGTGCATAAGAT